GAAACTCGATATCCTACGCACGAACAGGAGTTATTAGCTTTTGTCAAGATGTTGGTCGCCAATCGAACATATCTCATCGGTCGTTATTTCCGATGTTCTAGCGATCACAAGGGACTCGAATTCATCCAAACGCAACCCCATTTGAGCAGAAGACAAGCCAATTGGGTGGAGAAGCTACAAGAGTATGATTTCGACATCCAGTATTTACCTGGACGATGGAATCATATCGCCGACATGCTCTACCGTAATCCAATCTATGCGCCTCGGTGTGTAGATTGTCAACGACGCCTCGACATGCATATGCAGATTAGCAACATGCTTGTCAACGAACCTTCCTCCAATGCTACGACAGACGATCCACAAAACTCACCTACCTGCTCAGATGAAGAATGGAAAAAAGCGCTACGCGAAGATCCATCTCCGGATTATCTCGATGAAATTTCTCAAAGGCCTCAACACGAGAAAACTTCGAAAGAACTCCGTTATACGTTCGAAAATGGATTAGTACGACATGAAGGACGTCTATACGTTCCTGAAGACATTCGCCCAAAGATTTTACGGAAATTCCATGACGAACTCGCCACCGGAGGACATCTCGGTGTTAAGAAGACTCTCGCGAGAATTCTTACAGACTATTACTGGCCTAACGTATGCTCTGGCGTTATCAAATACGTTGGAACTTGCAAGTCCTGTCGACAATTCAAACCTGGTCATCGTCGATACGTATTTCTTCGACCTCTTCCTATACCTTTTGGAAGATGGCACACGATCGGATTCGACATTTTCGAAGTAGATGAAACAAACTCTTGTGTCGTCTGCATTGATTACCTTTCCAGACGTGTGATTCTGACACCGATCAAGAAGACAATTACTGGACGCGAACTAGCCCAAGTCTTTCTAGATCATGTTTGGAAACATGTCGGTACGCCAAAAGTCTTCATTACGGATCGCAAACCTCACGCACTTTCCGACTTCTTCCTCGCATTCGATATTCTCCTCTGTGTAAAACACGAATTCGCTACGGTTTGTCATCAGCAAACCGACGGCAAAGTTGAGCGAGCCATCCAAACCCTGAAAAGGATTTGGAAGCAATATCTCAACTACGACAAAAGCAATTGGAAGGAACTATTGCCTTTAATTGAATTAGCATACAATTCCGCTCCGAAGGAGGAATATGAAGGTTTATCGCATTTCGAAGTAGAGCTCGGACGGTCTCCAATCCTCCCGGGTTGGAATTGAACACTCAAAGGACAAGAACTCGCACTGGGAGCACATCCTGATACCTACAAACTCGATTTATCACCATCGAAGATCAGCGGCATCTGGCCGTCTTTCACGTCGATATTTTACGACCACATCGCGAAGAGCAATATCCGCAACGTGCACTTCCTTGACCTCCTCCACCAATCGAAGAACGCGGACAACCTGAATGGGTTGTAGAAGACATTATCGACGAGCGACGCGCCGTACGAAATCTTCTAGTCAAATGACATGGTTATCCTGACCCTACTTGGGAACCCGAATCCGCACTTCGCTACACGCCTGCCTACAAACGATGGCGAAAAGCTCACCCACAATCTTTGTGGATACGGAGACGAACAGCATAGAGCATCTCATATCACATCACACGTGCGACGCCGCAAGAACCGCTCACTATCAATCACACTGCTGACAATAGCAACGTAAACTACATCACATCACGCGCAGCGATGCAAGAACCGACCTTACACACACACATCACACACGACGTCGGCTTAGGGATGCCTTTGCCTCAAACACACACATCACACGGTGCGTCAACACTATAAAATGAACAAGTGCGTCAACACTTTAAAATGGACATGAGCTCTCGCTTTCTTCACATATCCCTCGTACTTCACCTCTTATTTATTCGGCGCCCTCCCCAGGATCTGAGGGAGGTGTCGGGGATATCTCATCTTCACTTGTATTTCATATTATAACTCTTTACTTCTACTTGATCCGAGACTTGGGCTGGCCACCCAAGCTCTTGGTGATACATTACAAAGGCGCCAAGCCTCACTGAAGCCACGCAAGCCCCACTGGCAGCCCATATATAAAGCTGTCAGTCGAGCGGCCGCTGCGAAGAGCTTCTTACTTTTTCTTCACTACAATACACTGCTCTCAGCCCTCTCAGAAGGGCCCAATATCGCCTACGTTTCCTCTGACGTTACATGAAGCATGTATCGCAATAGTAATTCAACTTAGTACGAGAGGAACTGTTGATTCGCATAATTGGTATTTACGGTTAGCTGAAAAGCTAGTGCCGCGAAGCTACCATGCGTAGGATTACGGCTGCACGCCTCTAAATCGGAATCCATGCCAGAACGCGATGTAAATCAATCTCCAAAATCAGATGATTACAAATGGATGTGCCTTGTGTGCATCCAGAATCATAACAGGGAGGGATCCTCAAGTCCGGAAGCGGATCTTGAGTAGCCTCTGAATGTTAATTTAAGATATTGGAGAGAGGAAATCCTTTGCAGGCGACTTAAATAAGGAACGGGGTATTGTAAGCAGTAGAGTAGCCTTGTTGCTACGATCTGCTGAGATTAAGCCTTTGTTCCATAGATTTGTTCTTTTGAACATTTCTCCCTCCTGCTGTGCAACTGAAGAACACGCTGGGAGGGACTTGGACAGAATTCAGAAATCAGCCCACCAACGGGCAACTGAAGAACACGCCTTGGTGGACTTAGCAATTGTCTGGAATTTCTGGACTGACAACCTTGTGCAGCACACTTCTGACTTTGACCCAGACCCAGATGAGGTTGGCACTGCACAGGCATCTAGAAGAGTACCTATCTGGGGCGTGCAGACGGTCTTAGAGTCTAATTCCTGCTGGCTACTTTCGTTTTCATGTTACCAGTTACTAATTGTTTTACTAATTGTTTTACCAATTAAGGACTGTGGTAGACTTTTTAACTCCGATTTGACCCAGATGAGGTTGGCACTGCACAGGCATCTAGAAGAGAACAGCTGTCAGTTGAGCGGCCGCTGCGAAAAGCTTCTTACTTTTTACTTCACTACAATACACTGCTCTCAGCCCTCTCGGAAGGGCCCAATATCGTCTACGTTTCCTCTGACGTTACAGTTTGCACGCAATATGGACGTTACGACGGCCGAGGCGTAATTTTAGTATTAGAACATATGAGTTTTGAGCAACTTTGTACATCCATATCATTTCTGCGGCGAGCCAGATCACCTTGAGCAATTATAACTTTTTGTTCCTTGTACTCTAGTCCCTGGCAGTGTACTGCCTCATGACCGTATGGACGTTGCGCCGTGCACGACGGCACTCCAAAAAACAGCATCCAAAAATCTGGAACAACTTTACAAAACCTGCTGTAACTCAGCCGGTTCGGAACTTTTGTGAAATATTTTTGATGATTCTGATAGCCCTGCCAATTCCGCTGAAGTCCCGCACAAACGGCGCTCGCGCGTTGCCCTTCTGTGTCCAGCGTTGTGCGTTGAAAAAGAGAAAGCTTGTTTTTTTGGGGGTGCAGAAAACGGCGAGACGCGTAATAGTGTCAGTTGCTGTCAAACCACGGGTCGGCCTGAGGCGTACCTGCATGTGTCGCAGTATTTATCGGGGGTACTCATTTCTCTATCCTCTTCACTACAGGACCGCATGATGAATCCCCGTGCCTTGGGACTCTGGCGTAGGAAACGGATATGAAAAATCACTTGCGAATAGACCCATATACGAAGCGAGGGAATTGCGAATAAGCATTCTCGTGCCGGCGGCACAATGGAGCTCGCTTTCCCCGCGCTCCTGCGCATTCTCGCCTCCTGAGAGCACTCGCCATCCGCTTCGCTCGCGACGAAACCCATACCCACCACTCCTCCCAAAACCATCCACCCAGTCACCCGCCACGCTCCGCAGGGATGAGCGAGTCCGGAAGCTGGTTGTAGATGGTGTGGTTTGTGGTGGTGAGATTCTCGCGCGCTGTTATGATTGTCCAAGGCAATGTCAAAGCGAACGCTGGATGATAAAATATGTATCGGGTGAGGGGTGAAGGGTGGAGAAGATGTTGACGGGGCGAGCTTAACCCGCCAGTGAGAAGTAAAGACTTACCATTCAAACAAGGAGTGGCATTCAGCCGAAACGGTCCATCTGCGTCTACGAACGGGGAAAGGGAATTGATAAATATGGTGAAAAGTTGATAATGTCAGAAGTGCAGTTGCCCTGGTCTGGGGCCGCAGCTATTGAGGCCCCGATGCCCAGATGAAGAAGGCACAGCGCTGCCAGCGCACGATAGCGCATTTTTCCTGTACAGTGTTAGAGATGGTCGAATATTGCCCTTGATTTTCCACTGGGTGAGGTGCGAGATGCAGGGGCTTCTATGCATATACCTAGCGCTCCTAGCGTGAGCATCTGGCGAACTTCCCGCCTGGTGCCTGGCCCTGCCCTTGTCGAAAGTTCTCAACGTCGGAGCTTGGAAGTCGGGTCCGTAATCGAAAAGATCACGGTGAGTTGCACAAAGCCACGGCAGCTCATGATGCACGGCCACGAGATTCTATCGACTTTAGGCGGGTGCGCTCGGTGGTGTATACATGTACAGTACATAGTAGGTAACACATACGGTGTGCTTGGGACGCCACGAGAAGGAAAAGGAGCAGCGCGTTCCCCCAAAAGGAGCGAAAGGAACACCTCCAAACGAGGCGATACGCAGACGCATGGACTATTGCATAGAGTCTCACCTCTCCGGAACGCACATCCATCGTCCCTGCGCTCGCAGTCATGCCACCACCTCGGATATGCCTCACTCCGCGGCGGCCATGTTCCCGACGTGCGTCGCGTGAGTCTTGATCCAATTAGGAGAGAGAGTTCCCACTAACCCCCCCCCCCCCTTTTCTTTTGGGCAGCAGCTGGGATAGTAGGACTGAACTCCGTGGCACGCTGCAGAATGTTTTCGACTCTGAAGGGTCGTGCAACAGCGGAGGGGACGCGGGCGCTTGCTGCAAAGTTTCCGGGCATGGCGTATGTGGATGTTGCGCGGCAGGGTATGTCGGTCCGTTTTGTGTTGCGTGTCGAAGAACGCCGTTTATGCAAACCTCACACCAATTGTTCCCTTCCGTGAATGTTTCTCTTTCATCCCCATGTCCCCAGGCTGGCGGGCCTCGAACGTTGGGTTTGGCGCGAAAGAGTTCGCGCTGAGTGTCAATGGGGAGACTGGGGATCAGGGAATACAGCAAAGCAAGAAAGGGGATGCGCTGACGCTCGCGTTGCGGGCTGGCGTGAATGTGATAGATACGTCGGCCCACTTTCATAAAGGTAGGGCAATGCGAAAGCGAAGAGAGGCGGTGGGCCGTGGTCTTCGGGTGGGGGAACGAAGGAACATGGGGAGAGGGTTTGAGCTGCACACGAGATTGACGTTCTGCTCCGGGTGCTGGGCGTGGCTTTACAGGACAGTCGGAGCAGTACGTTGGCAACGTGATAAACCGCCAGATTGAGGAGGGTATCGTTACGCGAGAGGTAAGCGGAAGATCCTACGGTCGACGCAATAAAATGCCCCATCGGATCCTCATCTCGTCACATCCAGTCCCTAATCCTCGTAACAAAAGCGGGCCATCACCCGCCTGTCCCAGCAACATCCACCTCACCATCCTACCCGTACGCCAACTTGGGGCCGAACGTGCTCGCACACTCTCTCGCCCCTGCGTTCTTGGAGGGCGAGTTGACCCGCTCGTTGGAGAGGCTAGGCGTCGAGTCTGTGGATGTGTTCATGGTGAACTGTCCGGAGAGGATGGGTGCAGATTTGGCCAAGGTAGGGGTGGTTTCCTTTCGCTTCGGGGCTCGGACCGATTTCGACAGGCTGATCTCCTGGCTACTTTTGTTGTGTCCCCTTAGAGATTCACGACGGAGAAAGTGTACGACCTGATTGGAGAGGCGTTTGCGTATCTAGATAAGGAGGTTCAGCGTGGTAAGCATCTCCTCGTTGCTTATAATCCGCCGGCCACCTCTGCAGACGAGGGGAACATTCACACGCAACTAATCATCCCATGCTCACCTTTATAGGCCGGATCACCAGCTATGGCCTCTCTTCCCAATCCCTCAGCCCCAGCCCCACCGCCACGGCCACAACACTACACCTCCCCACCCTCCTATCGCACCTCTCGCAAAGCTCCCGGACCCATTCACCCACATACCCGCCCAACCTCAGCACCGTTGAATTCCCCTTCAATATCCTCGACACGGCAACATACAACCGCGGCACGTACGATGGCGCGGAGGGGGTGATGCGGCATGTGATGAGGAGTGGGCTGTGGGCGGTGGTGAATAGGCCGTTGTTGGGGGTTAGTAAGGGGGCGAGGAAGCTTGTCTCTTCGCCGATTAGGGGCGGAAGTGGAAGTGGTGAGGACCCATCCAACCTCGACACAATGACAACACATCTCAACCAACTCGTCGAGATGGAACGATCGTTACCTGTTTTATTGAGCATGGACGATAGCAAGTTTTTGGAGGCGTTTGTTTGGGGACAGGTGAGGCCATGGCTGGGACGAAGTTGCTTTGGTGATCGTTTACCAAGCATCCCATTAGCCCTGAAGAGCAAATACCCCAACAGCATGACAGCTGAGCTCCTGCTTCCTACAGGCGATCCAGGAAAACATCACACAGCTGCTACAAAACCCCTACATGGGCCGGCTATACCTGACTTCTCGCGTTGCCCCCGCCGTGCCCGCCGCCTGTGCGGAGTTGAAGCAGCATGGGAAGGAAGCGGAGGAGTGGTGTGCAGAGTATTTGGCTGTAAGTTCGCCAAGTGTAATCCCACGTAAGTGAGCAAACGCTGATGCTTCCTCCTCCTCTCCATTTCCGTCGTCCGTCTCACAGGCATACACCGCATTTGCGTCCACCTTCCTACGCATCCTCGACACGCGCCAATCCAACGACAACACCAACCTTGCGTCGTTATTGTCGTCGGCTGCGAAGGCAGGAGCGATCAGCGCCGGCGTGAAAGGATCGGCGCCATTCACACCCGTGCCAAACACTCCCACCGCAACACCATCAACACCATCTCCGCCACCGACATTGCAAACCATCGCCCTCACATGCGCAAGATCGGCGTTGGCTCTGTCCATGCCCAACGCATCCACATCAACGCCGTTGGATGAGGACGACGAGGATGATGAGGCCAACGAGCCGGCGGGAACGGTGCTCGTCGGCATGCATCGCCCGGAGTATGTGCGGGATGTGCTGGGGATCGTTACAGGGGATGGGGCTCGGGGCCCGGTGCCGCTGGTCTCGAGGGATGTGCTGGAGGATGTGTTGGAGTGTGCGGGGCAGGTTGTTGTGTGATGGCGGTGGGAATCGGATGGTGGAGAGGTGGCAGTCTATACCAGTGTGAGGCATTGCGTAGGATAGATGTATATAGACTCGAGAATATGCATCTTCAAAAGTAGGTTCCTGACCACTATGGCGTTGGACTCTGTGAGACCTCTGAGCAAGGATTCGAAACCTTTCCGGACGCGTCACGTCAAGAAAGGTCCCCACGGGTGCTCTTGCAGTTCACTTCGATCGGGATGAACCGAACTATGTCCGGGTCGACCGTCATTGCTCTATTCTATTTGCGGTCACATTTTTTCGTGCGATATCTCTCCCGAAGTCATTTTGTGCGGTCTTCGACACGTTGAGATGATCACAACCTCCATGAGAGAAAATAAAAGCCTGGGTAGAGTCATGAATTGCGCATGCATTCCTGTATAGAGTAAAACATGCACTCCGCTCATGCTGAATCGCATTGCCCTTTCTTTCACCCGGTGCTTTTATATGATCATCATCTTCCCCAATTGGGGCAATGCGTGGATTTTGCGGAAGGATCCTCCATGCTGTCGATTTACTGTCAATGGAGGTTTCAGGGAAACTCCGCTCGGCCCTTACTGCAACTCCGCTCGGCCCTTGCTCAGCCCTGTACTGAAGTCCGCTCGGCCCCTGCTCAGCCCTTTACTGAACTCCGCTCGTGCTCAGCTCTTTACTGAACTCCGCTCGGCCCTTGCTGGGCTGCTGGCCTTAGGGCGGGAGGGGGGGCAGAGGGGGGTATATATAAGGGACGACCTTCGGCCCCACTTCCCTTTCTCTCCATGCTTCGCAAAATAGCACCAATCCACCCCAACCCGACCTCCCACCACAAACAAACATCAACCCGTTCGTCTTCCAACCCAACCTCCCACCACAAACAAACATTAACCCGTTCGTCTTCCAACCCAACATGACTGTCTCCGTCATGGAACGGGTCGCCTCTATTGAAAAGCAGCTGTGCGATCGTTCTTTGGTGAGTATAGGGCTGACAATGTCCCATCGCGAAGGCTATGAGTGGGATTCTCAACCCCTTTCATTCTTTTCTTGCACAGTTCCGCAAGCAGACCGCCGTTGCTGCTCCTGAAACAGTGTTACAGCTTGCTGTTCACCCTCTTTCCACCACCGCCGATATGGTTGCTGGAGCTGCAGAGCCTGGCCCCATTTCGTCAATCGTACCACCGTTTCCTGCCGCCCCTGCTCCCATCGTCGAGATGGTAGCTTGTGACGCTAAGGCCAGCCCCGCCCCGGCGTTCGGTCCACTCCTCGCTGCTCCGCTCCGTCCCACCGAAGAAACGGTTGCTAATGCTGCAGAGCCTTGCCCCGTTTCGGCCGTGATACGAGCCCCTTTAGTCTTGACCAAAGAGGAGCGATTCGCCGACATCTTCTGTAAGTCGTCACTGGCTCATCGTCACCCTGTGCTCAGAGAACACTCACCTACTCACTGCGTTGTCTCACTTCTTTAGCGAGCTGCCCGGCCTGGATGTTTTATTACGATGGCCCGTCCACCACCACGGTCATCAAGTCATGCTTGTCCGACGGCGAGGATGCCCACCCTGCTGACACTGAGAGCACCGAAGAAGCGGTTGCTAATGCTGCAGAGCCTTGCCCCGGTTCGGCTGTGATACAAGCCCCTTTGGTCTTGACCAAAGAGGAGCAATTTGCCGACATCTTCTGTAAGTTAACCGGCTCATCGTCACCCTGTTCTGATAGTACACTCACCTACTCACTGCGTTGTCTCACTTCAGTAGCGAGCTGGCCGGCCTGGAAGTTCTCTTACGATGGCCCGTCCACCACCACTGCCATCGAGTCGTGCTTGTCCGACGGCGAGGATGCCCACCCTGCTGACACTGAGGTCAAGAGCAGCCACGGTACGTCGTCACTAGCTTAACGTCACCGGTTCTCATTGAACGCCCACTTACTCACTGCGTTGTCTCACTTCATTAGCGAACTGCCTGGAGTCGGTGGTAGATTCGGCCCGCCCCACTACCACCATTCTCGAGCCCGCCACCGCTCCTGCTCAAGCGGTCGCGCCTGCCCCAGAAGTCCATGTGGGAGCTACCGTGACGTCTGCCACGGCAGCAACGTCCCCCGGTCTTCTCCCAGGTTCGCCATCGTCGCCGGCCAGCACCACCCGCATACTGAAGCTCAAGGGTGTGGCAGCGGTTCTGAAAAAGGCAAAGAAGGTCAAGAAGGCCATCGCGGGTCTGTTCCGCAAGACCCGAGTCGTTGTCCCACCGCCGCCGGTCTACGTTCCATTCGGGACCGTTCCAGAAAAAGGTGCGCCTTTCTCTCTCTTCGAGATGTTTCCTTCACGCCGTTATCCGTTCTGGGAAACTGATACCAACGCATTCTTTAGAACCCGTGTACTTCGGTGCTAACCTGGAGGACATACTAAAGACATACGGAACCGAAAACGACATCGCGGAAACCCGCGAAAAGATCCCCGGCTTCTTCCGGGACTTGGTCCAGGGAATCAAGACCCCGGTTCGCGTGAAAGATACCACCGACGGTAACACGCCCGTGACATATCGCCTTACTCCTGGTAGTTCGTATTGACACCTTCTCAATCTCTTTGTCGTAGAATTCGTCTCTCCCCTCGAGTTCGACGGATTCCTGCGGGAGGGCGTCGCAAAGTCATCAGTCGACTTCGTGAAGGCAGCGCTGGAGCGCGGGGAGCCTCTCCCGTATTCGTCCTCCCCCGTCACGAACGACACTGTAAACGCCCCGGTCTTGGGAGCTGTGCTGAAGGCATTTTTGAGGGAGATGGAAGAACCCTTGTTGACGCGAGAAGGATATGATCGTTGGATGGCCATCGCAAGTATGTAATCTCTGCGTCCGCCCCAGGATTGAGTCATGCGATTTGATGAGCTCTTCATTCAATGTCAGACGATCCCGACTGTTCCGACAACGAAGCGAAGTTGTCCAAGATCAAGGACCTCCTATCCGAGCTGCCGACCGCACACTACGTCATTGCGCAAGAGGTCTTCGCCCTCCTATCCATGATCGAAAACCACCACAAGAAGAACAGGATGACCGCCACTAACCTCGCCACCGTGGTGGGGCCGAATATCCTCCGCAACGGAGGAATCCCGATCCCCGGCGACATGAAAGGGATGGTGGCAATCATTGCTTTCTGCATTGAAAACGCCAAGGAGCTCTTTAACTGATCAGCATTAGAAAACGAGAACGCGAGTGGCAGGCGTCGACGCGACAGGGAGAGGGGGATAGTGACCTGCCAACGCCCACCATGTACTGGGTCTAAGACGTATTCAGGCCCCCAAGTTACTTTGTACCTTATTAGAGAGCTTGAGTTCCAGCTCGGGTTGAAGTTGACTAGAAAATACACAAGTTATCTTTTCCTTAATCGATAGCCTAACTAGGGTCTCGTCTAAGAGCCACTGCTTTTGAATGCTGGGCTTTACCAAGCCTTCTTTTGTGCCGCTCAGGAAACTCCACTCATTCGACAGCGCGACTGACAGCGTCTCTCGACAAGCTGTCAAATGTATATTCCGTTTCGGTCTTTTCCGTTTTCCATCCGCGAGTTTCTCCACAACATCCAAAATGCAATGGGCTCCGATGTTCCCTCCTCCATAAAAAAGGTTAGATTTTCGAGAAGGTGGGCTTACGAGGTCCTCAGGGCTGCCATTTCCTTAATCTAAAGAAGTCTCATTCCGTCGATTGACCATTCTGAGTTTACAATATCTACTGCATCTCGATGAGTGTTCAGCCTCTTTCATTGCACATGAAGCTTCCATCGCAAGATAATGTTTACAGCATATTCTGGGCTATGGAAGGCTGTGGGGGTTCGCAAGAAAAAGCAAAGATGTGGCGTCACGACACGTCACTGCGACCGTTGCGGGGGAGCGGGGAAGAGACAACGGTAGAGGTCTTTTATTGTCCAAACCAGCATCTATTAGCCAGTCGACACATCCCATCTTCCTGTTCCAGGAGCGGAGGAAAGGGATGGTATTTGACGTGCGGGGAAGGCATCCGAAGGAATATCCGCAACCTTGGCGAAAAGACACACGTCTGACTAACTGACCGGGGCTCCTTTTGAGGGGCGGTATTCCACCCTATAGAGATCCCCCGGTTGACAAACACCCCACCGGAGCGGTGACATGATGTCCGATGAGCGAGACAGGATGCGCACCGACATGCCGTTCGTCCCACTGTCGGCATGTGAGTGCTGGACACGGACGTGCTGCCTGTGATCCGCTCGCTCTGGAATTTGACATTTCCTTCGGATCCCTGAAGGTGCGAACGAATCGGAATGGACTGTCTTCAAAAGTCCGCAATCGGTTGACGTAGTATTGAGGAGGTGTGGTTTGTCACACTGCGCTTCTTCTGCCATTCGATCGCCATCTCCCGCAGCACACCACCCGCCACAAACCCAAGGCGTCGTTCCACCACCCACCCCTCGCCGGCAACGCCTAGCAACCCGACAACCCACCGTCTTTTCGTCGATCCGCACACAAGCACGCGCTCCTCGGAGGCCACAGAACCCAACCAGAGAAAGTGAGTTGTCACACCGCCGCCGACTGACAGGTCTCAAAACCGAAGGTACGCAAAACAATTCCACAATACCAAAGGTCAGGCACCCAGGGTCGGGGCTGGTAGTGGAGAGATGTCAAAAGGGTGATGTGACGGGATATCATGCCCTGCGAAAAGAAGGAGGCTACCAAGGGTCCCGGGCTAAGGGAAATGAAATATGCCCCCCCTTTGAGGATGTCCTTCCCTCCTTTACCGGTTGGAGCGGGGGACGCATGTCGGGCTGTCAGTGGGTCGCTATGATGTGCGACTGCCAGGTGGTTAGGCAGGCATTATCAGTCAAGACTGGGCTTTGGCAAGGCCAGAGCATGGAGAAGGTTTTAACGCTCGCATTGGGTGTTCTGCCTCCTCCACCCTCGCCTGCTGAATCGTTGACTGTCATCTCATCTCTGAATCCGTTTCGTTCCGATCACAGTCTCTGACATAGCCCCGCTCCGACCGACGATGTGAAACCAACCGCCCGCGCAGAACATTCTTCTTTACGGATATTTGAGATTGGCTAGGACGATTTGCGCATTCAGAATTTCGGTTTCGTATACGCATTACGGACGCATATACAACACGAGCAGAGGCATACCAGCATCTTACGCATACGATATCCTTTCGTCTTGTTCCGTTTCGGTTTGACGACAACCGAGCTCGCCTTTATTTCGGGTCTTCGAAGATAGAACGCATTACGCCTACGCACGAAACCCTCGAAGACTTGGTTGCCAAGAACTTCGGCCTGTACTCCGCATCACAAGACATTGCCTCGCACTCCGAGTGTCCGACAACAACCCGCGCACACCGCCCGAGCCCATCCACCAACGAGGTACCACCCCCATCAACCCCCCCAACCCACACCATGCTCACCCCCTTTGAGGGCGACGACAACCCCCCCACCGGGCCCCCACCCCAACTTTACCCCCCAACACCAAACCTCAGCCGCCTCACATCAGCATCCACAACCGAATCCGCGCTCGCACAACTCCTTCTACAACTCCCCGACCTATTCCCAACCCCCTTAAGCGCCGTTGACGCGTTCCCGTTACCGGCGGAGATGATGCGGGGTGTAAGTGAAGGTGGGAGTGATGGTGGAGCGTGGCGGGGTGATGATGACGATACGAAGCAAATGGATGAGGAGGAGTGGGTGGTGAAAGGGGATACCAATGATAGAGGAGAAGATGCGGGAGAGGAGGAGGATGAGACGGCGGTCAACGAGCCTGTGGTGAAGAAGCGGCGGCCGCGGCAGAAGCCGAGAAGTAGGAAGGAGCCGGAACATCGCACGCATTTTTGTCCGCATTGTCCAATGGGTGAGTAATTGTTGGATATCCCATATTGTTTCACTGTCTTTCCCGCATCTGATACACCCCATCCAGCGTTCTACCGCGCAGAACATCTCGGCCGCCACCTCCGCATCCACTCCGGCGAAAAACCGTACAAATGCGACTTCTGCGGCCGCTGCTTCGGACGCAGCGACGAAGTTGCCCGACATTCGAAAGTGCATACCAAACGCAAGAAGCCCAAGAGCGGGGTCAGACGGCCACGGAAGAAGAAGAACTGTTTCGTTACGACTGACACGGACGTCAACGCCGTCTCACCCAGTCCCGCAAGGACGGTCAAAGCTGAGTTGAGAGACGAAGCCCCCCCGCAGCGGCGCCGGGGACGGAAACGCAAACAACGAGCTGAGGTGCAAGAACCACCTGTTAACGAATGCCCGGCGTATATGGACGAGGGCACCTTGGAGACCGCAGACGATTCGCTCCCCGTCCCGCCGGTGGTTCCTTCAAGCGACAAAAGGAGGAAAGATTCGGGGTATGCCGGCGGATGGCCCGACAATCAGCGGGACTTGGGAGCAGCTTACGCGTTCGCTTCGTCGTCATCGTCGTCGTTGCCTATCTCTGTCGCGTGCGCGGGTATGCTGACGGAGGAAGAGGAAGTAGATGGGGAAGCGGTGTATCGGCCGGATGGGATGCCTGTGACGGATCCGCCGGCGACGCACACGGACACGATGGGGTTTGCGGCAATGTATGCAGACCATGTTGTCGGGTATGCTTCGAATTCACATAACGACATCGATGTCGGGATGGAGCAGGTGACCGAGCATGTGCGTCAGCATCAGCCGTTTGCTTACCCCCCGTATACGGCGCCGGCGGGAGTTATCTCCACCCACGACGGCAGCATAGCTGTTCTGGGCCACGCGCTGTCGTCCTCCGACCACGAAAGCGGTGACATGTTAAGCACGCAACTTCACCACCAGAGTGATGTACACGCGCATTACAATGGATGCTACCTCGATAACAACGGCCCGTTCCTCATGACGTACGACCCTCACGCTCACCCGCCTCACGACGAGCAACTGATGCTGTTACAGAACCGCGAGCAATTGCAGCATCCGGACCTGCATCAAGTCGCCAGTCACTGCGGGGGCGCGTACAGCATGAACGGATACCATCACCCGCACATCGTCGCCCATTTGGATGTCAATGCGGTTGAGGAGGTGGAGGGGGAGTATGTGTACGGCGCGACACCACCGGCGGAGGTTTCGGGGTTTGCGTTTGGTGTGGATGGAGGTGAGGTTGTTGTTGGTCCGGGAATGGATGCGCGATGGGTGGTTTTGTGAATCCGTCATCACTTACGATTCACTCGCTTTTGGGAGTCTTTCTTCATGCCGACACCCAGCGACATGCTTGTGAGATATTTCGGGGGCACGGCACTTCACTTGTACATACTTGTCATTCTTGGTTTATCATCTTCCTGTGCATACTTTTTTCTCATGGGCTTCTCGGCTTTGGAATGCGGAGATTCCTCAATTTTATACCATTTTGGCATAATCATCATTCATTTTGGCTTCATGTTTTCCTATGGAAATGGTCTCCCAATACCAATGCAGCCCTCTTCGTCGTCGTCCGAGTCCAAGGGGGGTTGTTCCTCGTCGTCGCCCGAAAAATGACAGCTTATTTGACAGCGTAATATGGGAGGGTCACGAGGGTGTCCGCTGGGAGGTGTGACTTTTCCCCTTTTGTATATTTGGACTCCCTCCTTCCTTCGACTCATCCCCAAACAGCACCCCTCCCGATACATACGATGACAGTCCTACGAGCTCTCTACCACAATGTCGTGCGCACGCAGGCCGTCGCCCCGGCGGCTGGTGTCAAGTCGCCACGCAGGATGTATTCTACAGGTATGGGGGTCCCGGCTTGAAGTTCGTGCAGTCATCCGCTGCCATCGCACTCTGTGCTGACCAAGTGTTTTCTTTTCTTTTTGGCTTGATAGGGCCGGCTGGGAAGGTGGGTGTCGTGCAAGTTAGGGGGTTGGTCACCCGGAGATGACGGAGGAGGGATCTACTGTGCAAAATGCAAGAGGAAGGGCCGTCCATTTGCAACCCCAGCCTAAGGCATCTGCATCTCCAACCTTTATCTAGATCGGCTTCATCGGCCTCGGGCAGATGGGCTACGGCATGGCCGCCAACCTGTACCGCGCAACGGCCTCCACCCACAAATGGGTCATCGCCGACAGCAATCCCTCGACACTTACGCGTTTCATCGACACAGTCCCATCCTCCACCACCCCCAAAGCCACAACCCCTATAACATCCCTCGCGAACCCCTCCGACATTGCCGCCCAATCCGACGTGATTGTGACGATGCTGCCGGCGGGGAAGCATGTGCGCGCGGTGTATGAGCAGCTGATTAAGGGGTTGAAACCCGGGACGCTGTGCATTGATTGTAGTACGATTGATGTGAAGACGGCGAAGGAGGTGGCCGGGTGGGTCGCGGATAAAGGGGGGAAGATGGTTGATGCGCCTGTTTCTGGTGGTATGTGTGCTGGAGAGGCGGTGGTAGGATGGCCGAGATGTACCGCTCCGTGAAATCTCACACTCCCATGTTCCCATTTCCCTCCATTCCTCAGGCACAACCGCAGCAAACGCCGGCACGCTGACCTTCATGGTCGGCAGCAAAACCCCCGCCGATTTGGACGCCGCCAAACAGTTCCTCCAACACATGGGCAAGACCATCCACGCCTGCGGCACCATCGGGACAGGCCAAGCCGCCAAAATCTGCAACAACATGATGTTGGGGATCAGTATGGTTGGCGCCAGCGAGGCCTTGAAGTTGGTAAGTGCAAGATATTATCCTTCTCTATATCCCTTTTCCCTCACTCAACACACCTCCCCTATGATTCCCCCCAGGGCGAATCCCTCTCCCTCCCCCCGTCCCTCCTCCTCAAAATCCTCAACACCTCCTCCGGCCGCACCTGGGTCTCCGACACCTACCCTCCCGTCCCCAACATCCTGCCCCATGTGCCTTCCTCCAACGATTACAACGGTGGGTTCGGCTCGGCGCTTATGGCGAAGGATCTGGGGTTGGCGATGGCGGCGGCGGAGGAGACGGGTGTAAATGTGAATGTGGGGAGGGCCGCGGAGGGGGTTTACAGAGAGGTTGCAAGTAGTGAGGTGGGGAGGGGGAAGGACTTTTCGGTGGTTTGGAGGTGGTTGGGGGGTGGGGAGAAGTAGATGGTCGGTCGTTTGTGTGAACCGACCTAGTCAGTTTACTTCATGCACCAGAAAGAATAGATCTGTAACGTTCCCCTCTCAGCGTAGATAGCGTAGCACCTGTTCATGATTGGCAATCGGCATGTCAAGATTCTCATAAACGTATGGGCCACACAGGAGAGTTGTTCCTCAAATATATTCTTGCTTCACGGCCATACCAAAAGAAACAGAAAGTTGAGCGAAGGCCGTAGTGCCGCGGAGAACCTGCTCCCGACCCATCCACAAAAGATAGCCGTACGCAACCCACAGTCCCGCTCAATGCCGCTCTGTTAGATCTATTGGGACGCGGGCGGTAAAACAAGCGGATGCAGGACGCGTTTTCCGCACACGTAAGCAAGCGACGCGTTTCTGTTCTCTCCCACGGAGTGTCCTTCTGAACACCCGGCGCCTGCGGGAGGCAGACAAAGGACCCCCCCAGCGACGATCCCTCCTGCAGGAGTAGGCCTCCCCGGCGGATCCGAGAAGCCGTTCAAGTTCTCCATAAACCCCATGTCCCATAACGCACGGAATCTGTTATGTATGATGTATATATACACTCACCCCCCCGTGATATAACACTCTCTCGCTATCCCCCATCACCACACCCCTATTTCCTGTTCCCCCTCCACGCTCACTCAAGACCTCGCTCTCACCCCCGCCTCGCCCTCCCAACCCCAACAACCCACACCCCGCCCCCCCTTCCACCCGTCCTGTCCTCACACCACCGCCCACACTCACCACTCACATCATTCCCGGTTAAATCCACCACCACCACCACCACCGCCGTCCCAGACTCACACGTATGATTGTCAGACAGGAGTGCACGGACACCACTGTCGTCGATTTGATTATGACATAGTCTCCAGCGCGCGACCCTGCTGGTCCCTATGGCGGAGCGGAGGAGGGGTGCGCTGGCGGACGTGATGGCCTGGTGAGCAGCCGAGACATGTCGGAGGGGTGCTGCGTTGCTGTCCGTATGTGATTGTGATTGCGCGAGGAGCGCGTTGAGCAGGATGGCAAAACCGGCGTCGTGGAGGGTGGGCGAGGAGGGCGCGGCGTCGAGGGTCAGCGATGTGAGATGTGTGAGGACCGAGCTCGGGGACAGGAGGGCCGCAAGTGTCCGCGGGAGGACCCAGGTCCGGGTCAAATCCAGCTCCATCGGGGACTCCCCGTCGCCGTCTCCCACGCACGCTTTGAGGGCGCCCACAACCCCGCCGAGATGCATGCCGCCGATATCCAACACCGTTGTTGGAACATGGGGAGTGGGGTGCGGGGAGGATGAGGACCGACGTGTGGAGCCTACTGCGTCGAGGATAGCGACCCACCCGGGCGTCGTGAACGCGTTGCCGGCGAGTTTGAGCTCTTTCAGGCCGTGGTGCCGGATGTGGGTTGATAGGAGCCGGGCGGCGGTGACGGGCTCTACGTACGCGACGCCCCCTGTCTCGTCCATGTCCACCTTCGGGTCCGCACCCTCGGAGATGTTGTATGATATATCCAACGTCGTGAGAGGTGCACTCATTTTCCCGAGAGCGGCGACGATGCACGCGATACCCGCTGGGCCGAGGTTGCAATGTGGGAGAGCGAGACATGTGAGGTGCGTTGCGTGTGGGAGGGCGAGGGCGAGGGAGCGGGTTGAATGTGCGGGGAGGGCGTGGTGGGTGAGGTGGAGGGAAGTTAGGTGCGGCAGGAGGGCTGTAAGTCCTGGGGGAGGTGCCGATGGTAGGGTAGATGCTGACGGGGTGATACGCAGGTGGATTCTCCGAGCCGACGTCGTGGTCATCGGATCCGACACGGGTTGGGTGGGCATCGCAGCAGCACATGCCCGTCGCAGAAACGCCGGATCGTATCCCTTCCCGTTCCTCACCAGGGGTTTCAGAACCTGTTTCCGAAGGTTCTGTATCGCACTCGGGCCTTTATCCGCACTTTCGGTCCGGCACACCAACCCCGGCCAATCTACATCCCCGCCATCACACATCACAACCTTCACATCCGCCACACCCTGTGGTATCACACCCAACACCGGCCTCACCATCCCCTCCGCCCCACCCTCAACCATAATCTCCACCGTCCTCACCCCCAAAACACCCATAACAACCCCCCAAAACCCCACAACCTCCCCCGTCACCTCCCCCGTAACGCTCAAACACAACGTCCGCATCCACCCGGCCGCGAACCCCACAATCCGCATAAGCTTCCCCCTCTGCTCCGGTGTCGCGGGATTCAGACGGGAGGGGTGTAGCGATTGGGTGATGTAGGTGGTGACACAGAGCCGGCGGGGTGTGTGCGGGGTCCACATCCACGCCTCCTCACCCCCGCACGACTCGACATCGGGTACCCCTGCGACCCCGTCCGCCCGACACGCCAGCAGCCGCACAGCCGCGCGCATCCACATCCCCGTGGTATCGACCCGCGGTCGCGGCAGGCCCTCCCTATCCAATGTGGCTGCATCACACGCAGAAGAGGGGGATGGGATGGAATGAACGAGATCCAGCTCCGCGATGGCGAGGTCGGCGATGGGCAGGCGGGAGAGGAGGGTGCGTGTGAGCGGGCGGAGGACGGTTGAGAGGGTTGTTACAGCTAATTCGAAATGCAAACATTTGAGCGACGGATATGCAAATGAAACCAAAAAAAACATCCAAAAGCAAAAGGGGGGCATACCATCGAAATGCGCCACGACCCCCTTGACACAGATCTCGACTAGGTCGGGGAGGGATAGATACACAGCGGCCTCCATCAACTCCAACAGCAGTTCCGTTTTGGGTCGGAACACTGTCTCGTCGTTGGTCAGAGGAGTGTGGTGGTGAACATACCGCCAAAAGAGGTACGCGACGACCTCATCCATGACGTCGTCGGGTATGGAGGGGAGGTGGAGGAGGGCGTGGGTGTGTTCGCGGAAGCCGGGGGTGGAGGCGATGTGGATGTGGCGGAGGGTGGGGGAGATGTGGGCGAGGGGGAGGGGGAGGGTGTGGATTCGCGGTGGCGTGGAGCAAGTCGGTGGTGAGGGCCCGCCGCTGATGCGGAGGGTTGGGATGGTGGGGCCGAGGAGAGAGTGGACTATGTGGGTGATTTCGGCGCGGGTTGCTTCATCGTCGGAGTCCGAGTCGGTGTCGAGCGTGGGTGAGATGCCTGGTGCGGGTGGGTCGCGGGAACGTGGTGGAGTGGGGAGGTGGGAGGTGTGGGAGATTACGTCGGGTAATGGGCTTGATCGCGGTATTTGATGAAGCTGTTGTTGTTGTGTTGGTGGCGGGGATTTGGGGCTGGCACTGGTAAGCGAGCGAGGGCGATATAATTGGGTATCGATTTTACCCCCGTTGTGAAACCTCGTCGGGATGTGACTGTCTGGGGGAGGGGTATTTTGCCCGCTGCCCAGCGACGATGGTGATGTCGACGCCAAATGTCTACTTCGCTCAATGTCGATATCGCTGGTGGTAGCGGTGGTCCATTTGAGTGATGAGTTGTTTTCGGGATATGTGACAGTGGAAGCGGAGTCAGCAACAGTGGCCAGATTGAGCCCGACTTTGATCGTTGCGCCATGGGTCCAATGTGTCGTTTGATCCGAGCGGTGGTGGCGTTTGAGGGAGGACAGGGTTGGGATCGTGGGTGGCGGTATGTCTCGTGAGTCCTTTTCCCTATCGGGCGACGAAGAGATGAGTCGTGCACGATCTCGGATTCTGTTATGTGCGGATGAGCTAGAATGAGCTCGTCTAAGGGTGGTGGTGATATCGGGCGACGGAAAGGGTTTTCTGTGAGCCTGGACGCGGGGATGCGGGAACGGGAAGGGGTTGTTGTTGGAGGAGTGGTATTTTGCGACTCTGAGAGGGGTGTCCGCAGAAAGGGAAGGCATGGATTGAGTGGTGGTGCTGGTGGTGGTGGGGAGTCTGCCGTCTCGTTCTTTTCGTAGCATGATTATCGCCATAGGGTTTTTACTCTCCCACATCCATAGACCCCAACCAGCGCCTTCCAGACGGAATGCAGAATATACTCTGTCCGTGGTGCGAGGCAGAGTGAGAGGGGAGAGTGGGACGGGGGTCCCGAATTGACAGGATGCGACTGACAGTGAGGGGGAGCCAAACTCCGCCCTTCTTCGCGCCCCCTCCTTCTCTCCCCTTTTCACCCTTCCCCGCGGTGTTTTCTCTCCCTGACGAGCCTTCCGATAGGCTTAAAGAGGGAGTAGAGCGGGCGGGGAGGGTGGTGATATTCCCTTGAAGACGGAGGTAGCAGCCTATGGATCCTGAATCAGCGGGATATGATATTTATGCCTATTATGTTGTGCCACTGTCCCAATAATATATAGAAGTCATCTTTAGGATGGAGATCTTGGACCGGATGAATACTTCGACGAAGTCTATATATATATAGTATTATAGGCCGCCGTCGCCAACATAGACTAATGCGAAGGTTCGTAGGAGTTCAATATATGTCTGTGGGATGGTATGGCTGCTCAAAAAAGAGGGTTTTGTGAGGAAACTGCTTTAATTTCCCTAATTGTGCCTTAAGGTAACGCGTAGAGCGTTTGGGTGGCGCAGCCAGGGTGGACCTGAGTCGCGCGTTGCTCCCTCCCTGCATAGAGGTTGCATATCCCACCCACACCCCGTTGTCCCGCACTGTCCTATGGCATAAGACTCCACAAACAACGACCCCGTTCACTTGAGCGACCGCTTCTGTGATGGGCATGCCACCGGAACGCATACGCTCGACGTCGAACATACCTGAGGCCGAACTAGAATGCGCCAACGATATTGTTCGCCTGCCCTCGTCGCGCCGCCAAAACCCGCAGCCCGCAGCTCCACCTTCCCATAATGGCCCCAGGGCGTTTGAATCGAATACGTATCCGTCGCCGCCAACGACATTCTTTCCGTGGCTTTGGTACTACGTTGCCGGTCCACAGCTAATGGAACTCCCTGCTTCTTCGCAAGTGAATGGCACGACGCCCAAGCCCATCCGCTCGTTGCGCGATATGGTGAATTGCAGTGTCACGCTATATCCCCTGCTGACGACATGGACGATGTTCTCGGCGGCTTTATTCGCTTGGCTCGGGATCCTCTGCATACCACTTTCGCCCAGTTCGGGAGCGAGATCCGGGAGTCAACAAATCTCTACCGATCTGTCGATTAACTACCCCGATGGACCTCCGATCAGTTATTCGGTGTATACCTTAGCGTTGCTTCCGTGCTATGTGGTGTCCTCCATATTGTGCGGTGGGTATTATCTGCACTTCTATTCTCCGGATCTTTGGCCAGTGGGATATATGGATGCTGTGGGAGGGTTAGCAATACCGACACTAGTCATAACCGTTGGCTTGAATCATCTAATGTACACAATCCATCCACAAGTCATCACATCCAAAGTATGGGTATGCGGACTTATCGTATTCGGCGGAAGCTACGGAATGCTTTACGGCGCTATCCGGAACGTTAAGCCAGGCGCCGGGTCGATTCCAAACTTTGCCTCTACCGTGGTTTCCCAAATGGCAAATGACCCTCAGCTTGATACAATCAACGCATCTGATCCGGAAGTGAAGCAAGGGTCCGCCAGGACTCCCCCAGGGTCTCCGATCACAGCAAATTCCAGGTGCGCACCAACTGGTGGATCGGTGGCGGAGAAAGCCTGCCGTAACAGCATCGATGGAAACGAAAACATGCGCTCACCGCCAACCAAGTCGATACCGCTGCGTACCATGCTTTGGATGATGGTCCACCTCAGCGTGTTTTTGGGACTTTACTACATGGGCCAAGTAAGTTCTACTAACAAATTTCTGGTATACAGGCTCTTACACGTTCGGTTTACCTAATAATTGATTGACAGATCCTGACGTATTTCTATTTCGAACACGCACCGTATTCGCCCATCATTGAACTATGTAGGCAGGTAGCTGGCAGTGACATTGGATAGGGTGCCAAATGTTGTCTCACCTGAATTCATTCCGGCGCGCATCCGTGTCCTTCCTGAAATGCTGGTTCAGGCTGCATCCATACCTTCACAAACGTGTTCCAAGTGGCCACCCGCTTTGCAGCAAACTACATTGGGACAAAGATGAAGTAATGTACACCTCCATTGTTTTGGACGTATGTTTGTAGCCGACGTTGACAAGTATGCTTGCTACCGTACCTTAGTGTAACGCATCTTGCAATCGGTGGAGATTTCTTCGGCACCCTTCTGCATTCCATGTGTGAGTATTACAATGTCGCAAGGCAAAAGGACCGATAGTTTTCTTCCTGGTGGATCCACCCTAACAACGCCATGGCTATGTTTTCAATAATATTATCTAGTCCTCAATAATATCTACACGATGGATCGTGCTCCATCTTCATGGGTTATTCCCGTATTCGGCATGCTCTATGGTTGTCAGGTTAGTTCGGCACAAATGGCCAGAACGGAGCTGCTGGTAGTTCCAAATTAGTGACATTCATCTATTTCCCTGATTTCCTGGCGCAGCGCTTTCTTATGATCGCCCTGACGCTTACAGATCTATGGGATCAAGTCGGCTTAAAAATAATTCGCGGTTGGAGGGTAGCCAACCAATACCGAAGTGGCGACCTGAGGCCTCGCCATTCCACCGAAGAAGGACGGGTTGTGGAACTCACGAGTCCGGACAAGATCGTAGATTTGAGTAATTGCTATCAGCAGTCGGTGGAAGCCCCCTTCGAAAGTGCCGATCCTGACTTTGTGGCCCCGTCGCCTACCTCCGACCATACGGGCAGGTGTGCGGTTAAAGGTTTCTTGTTTGACGAATCACCGGCCATAGAGAATGAATGTATAAGTTCGAACGACGATCCTGAAGTGGTACGTACTTCGCTATATCACAACTCGGACATTTGGGGTTTCTGATATGGAATTGTAGGCGAAGGAAATCGATGACAGAGACATGGAAGCGTGCACGCCGATAAGACCACAGCGGTCACTTTCTCCGGTGCACAGACAGCCACGGAGAAGCTCGGTATCTCGCAGCGCCACCCCCTTGCAGGCATCCGCTTCGCACCATATCATTCCACGGCGGAATCAGCAGGCTGTGACCGAAGATGCGCCTCTTGGTACGTCTACGACGCACAAGGCGGATTTGAATGCACATCCGCATTCAAAGGCTGCTCCTCCGGCAGTCAGTCGGCTTCCATGCCGAACACCGTCACATTTGAGCACTCCCGTCAGCCCAGACAAGTGGCCTGCACATGTCCACATGCACCGAATTTCGGAAGCTCACGGCTGTCTCGCCCGCGGCATCACAATGATAGCATTCATATCCTCGCTATGCCTTCTCCGCGAATTGCCTAATGGCCGCCATTATCGCACGCTAGAACCCTTCTTCAGTTCGGATGAAGCATTCAACCGCATGGTGTTCCAAACATGCTTCACGTTCACAATGGAGATTGTTGCAAGCGCCTTCGGACATTGGTGGGTGTACATGACCACCGGCGCAACCGTATGGGGTGAATACCGGAAGATCATTCAGCGGTACCCGGACATGGCGGTGTTTGCTGCTCTTACCCTATTTCATATCCTTTTTGACTCCACAATTATGCTGATCAAATTACAGTTTTGAGATCGTTGTTGTCGTTATTCAATTACGGGTTTGCACGAAATAGATGTGTGAAATTGATGAAATTGGTGAAGGCCCCTCACATGGAGTGACCTCATGGCTGGAAGTCGGGTATACCCGAATTGGGGAGGGTGCAATGATTTCAGCTTCATCAAGTCATCCTTCGTCATTATACGAGTCTGAGCATGTTTGACCCACAGCATTATACAGTATCGGTATGTTCATCGAAGGCTAGGTTGGCAAAGTTGCGGCCTGCACGTCTTCCTACTGTAAATCACCGCACCGATCCTTCACTCCGGAAAACTCCTACTCAAAGCCATTTCAATCTCCTTGGGAGTGTACGCGCAGACACCAAAAGAACTCGCTTGCATTACGCCTGCGATTATGGCGAGCGGACAAGTGCACTTCTCGTTAAAGGTGAAGTGGGTCGGTCTGAGCGGGGTTTAAGCCGGATCCCGCATCGGCGCGGCAGAACACGCCGGCTTTCAACTGAACCGCCCCTTTGCAAGGTCGATCATTATCTTGTTTGCTGTTAAATCATGTCACCTGCCCTGTTCGCACGCCTCTCGTAGATTGACCAAGTACTTACGAGGACATGACGTGGGAGGTGATGTTGGCCTTCGCGAGCGAGGGTTCATTTCATGTCTGATTGGACCGGGGTCGCTTGGTCCCGGTCTCCGAGCGTTGTGATTTGAGCCCGACGCTATTGAACTTCGCGATGTAATCCGCCATGCTGGCAGCAACGCTTAGCGAGCGTAGCTTTGCTTCCGCGGTGTTGCGGGGTAGAATCTTGATCGGAACTGTTTGATAAACTCCCCGAACCTCGTTTGCACTAAACATCGTCTTCCCCACTCGGCGGCATTGACGGTAAGGTATCCCACGCAGTGGTCGGTATCAGCTTCGTCTATCCATCCTAGCCTTCAGGTAAGGTATCAAGATACGTCTCTGCAAATGCATCGACGTGGCGGAAAGCCATAACCCGTGAGGTACCTGCATTGCTTGGAACACGTGTGACCTCACGCAATGCGTTCGCAAAAAAGTCCAGGACCGCGTACCTCCATAGTTACCCAAGGACCGCGTGATTGTGCGAGTCCAGTATATCTGATAACGTGCGGAAACTTACAAATGAATATTCATCTAACGGAACTAGCGTAATGAGATGCAAGGCCCTGCTCGGTGAGGACAAGGAATTCCGGGAACTGCTTTTGCCGTTCACACAGCTTACACACTGCCTGGCGGTGCACCCCATCAGGTCCGTACCTATCCCTGGCCCACATCACTACCAAAGAGTGCTTCAATGAGGCTGTTTGACCGTACCCTTACCGTGCTCGCACATGATGACTACTGTTGTTTTACCATGGGAGGACCGTCCGTCACGCCATAACCAGATGGAATAACGTCACAGGATCCGGGGCGCCCAATTGGCCGCCTTGGGAACGTACCGTAAGTGTTCAAAGGGGCCGTAACCGGTGAGACCCCCACACCGTGGGGCAACTAGCGTGCACAAGTGACGCGCAAATCGTGACATGGAGGAGTCGTAACCGGGGAGGGACCCACGCTTGCCAGGTTGCGCCTTAGCGGGCACGCCCAGGACCAAATCGGCTCTTCCCATATCGACCGCCGCCTATAAAAAAATCATACACGAGTTGCACTCGTCCTGGTTTTTATCTCAGGCCTTTCTCTCAATTCCACTCGATACCAGCGTCTGAAAATGGGTTCAACAGATCCTTCAGACCCTATCGCCGCCCCGGACGCATGTTCTGCGGATTTCGAGGGCGATTATTCGCTTACGCTACATGTTGCTGCAGTCTTTATTCTCATGGGAGTGTCTTTCACTGGCACCGTGCTGCCGATCATCGGCAAGAAATACTGCAACATGAATGTAAGTTGAATGACATCTCCGTTCTCGTTCCTCGAATTGTGTTTGATGAATGCCCTTCAATGTGACAGTTCGGAGACCTTCCCTTCCAATCTCTCAAACTCTTTGGGGCGGGTGTCATCCTTGCCACCGCGCTAGTTCACATGTATAGTCCGGCACAATCTACGCTCACCAGCCCTTGCCTTCCGCAAGTATTCCAAGATTACGGTTCGTGGGCGGGCGTCATTGCCCTTGTGGGCATGTTCTTCACCCACCTTGTTCAAGTTGTCGGCATCAGCATTCTCCGTCGTCGCCACATGTTGCCTTCCCTCCCGACGTCAGATGACTCGAAGCCCCGTCCTACATCCACCAGAAGCGGTCTCGAAACATCCATCCCCGGCGGTCAAGGAGATATGGACATTGAAGTGCACAGCATCCACTCCCACTCGCCTGCCCACGCCGACCGAGCCCATTTCCACAGTTTCGTTCTCGCCGATGCCGAAAAGACCCTCACCACGCACATCCTGGAAGCTGGCATCGCTTCCCACTCCATCATCGTTGGATTGACCCTCGGCGTCGCGCGTGCTGAGTTTGGCTCGGTGTTGGTGGCCCTTTGCTTCCATCAGCTCTTCGAAGGGCTCGCTCTATCCACTGTTGTTATGGATGCCAACTTCGAAAAGCGCGCGATGGCGTTTGGAATGGTGACGTTCTACTCATTGACTACTCCCGTCGGCATTGCCCTCGGGATCGGGCTACGTGAAACCTTCAATGACAGCGCTACGAGTACCTTGATTGTTATTGGCGTACTGGACTCGCTGTCTGCGGGCATCTTGCTGTACGACGGGCTGGTTAACATCGTTGTGCCGCATTTCGCATCGGAGAGGTTCAAAATGGGCTCTGCTAAGCAGTCGCTTGTTCAGTTTCTTGTCATGTGGCTTGGTGCGGGTGTGATGGCTTTGATTGGGCGATGGGCTTAGATATAGAGCACTGCAAATGTAGATGTTCATTTGTATCATTGTTGTATGTACTCAGAATGATGTAGCGCTCGCGCCAGGAAAGAGTTGTAAACACGTCGTATTGATTCGGTGATCGGGGATGTTGCCACCAATAAGCATCAACTTTCCGAGGGAACATTGCAATACAGGTTGCGTTGTGCGGGAGGCACTGTTTAGCTGCGGTGTTATTGGTTCCGACCACAGCAAATCAATGTTCGGAGTAAGTCCGCACACCTACGTTTTTGCCACCAACCTATCAACGAACATACTCGCATATGCCTGGTCGGCAAGTTCATCGCTCATCATCTCCAAGCGCATAGAAAGAGTTCGATACCTCTGCCAAAATCGCGAACACCGACTCCATTATACGGATATCACCTTATTGAGCCCTGTAAACGCCAGTCTACGTTACACATCAAGCAGAGATCCTTTCATCCTATCGTCCTTCACTCTTATCCGTGGCTCGTCGGCTCCTATTGTGAATGTCACAGCCGGGGAAAACCGAGAGGGATGAAGCGCTTTTATACACAACGGCTCTAACCTCGAAGGGCCGCAACGCGTACTATCCCTTTGTACATAGTACGTCGTCGACATGATGGGATTTGTACCTGCTGGTTCCTCTGCTGGCTAACAGATTTCACCTCAACGCAGCGTTGTGTGATATTGTATTAGAAAAGTATCACTCTAACTCCACCGCAAACTCTAACCCCACCGCCAACTCCAACTCCGACGCAAACTCTAACCCCACCGCAAACTCTGACTCCGACGCAAACTCGAACCCCACCGCAAACCCCAACTCCGACGCAAACTCGAACCCCACAAACTCTAACCCCACCGCAAACTCTAAACGTGGACCGAGCCGTCTATTTGGCGCGCCGGGACTTGTGCCGCCTGAGATCGTCGTAGCTGCGATCCCGCCGTCTCCGATCGTGTTTGTTGTGGCGGTCGTCGTGGGGCCCCACATTCTCATCGTTCTCGCGCCTGATTTTTTCCTTCTTTCGTCCTTCTCGTTCCCGCACACTATCTTCCGCTTCAGCACGCGCCTTCAACGCCACGGCTCTATCTCTCAATATCTCCGCCTCCTTCTTCTCCGCCTCAGCAGTTTTCTGGCGAGCCACCGCCAGCTGCTGCTTGATCTCCTCTAAAGCCAGTTGCGCACGCAGCTCCTTGGCCTCGGCTTCCATCCGCGTCACTCGTTCGTTCTCACCATCTTACGACGGAGAGTCAATCAGAAACGCCAACCGGATATACATGCAATGGACCACACTTACCGTTTGCATCACGGGCACACGAGCTTCCGCCACTCATCCTCGAGTTTCCGGATCTCCGCGTTTTCGTCACCAAGCAGCATCCGCCAACTGCCCCGCGTCTTTGATGATTTGGATCACATCCAGATCAGTGTATCTGGTGGTACCAGGCACGGGCACCGCACCGTGGTGGTCATGCGAAGCGAATTTTCCCGTCAATGAAAGGCCTGCTCACGCGAGACGCTGATCAGCGGCACCATACGTCTTGCTTTGCTTGGATCAATGGACATACCCAGGATTCATCTTCATCGGACCACAGAAAAGGGAAAACTCTTGATGGACGAGGTGAGAGACGCTCCATGAGAGGAAAAAAAGACAATCGGCGGTGTCCCAGTCCGGGATGCGATGCTCGGAAGTCTGCAACGCATGCATAAGAGGACGGTCTATACGGCAGGAAACGAAATCTAAGCTCAAACAGAGATACTACCCTCGGATTGGCCTTAACACGCCATGCTGCAAATTCCTGAGGCTCTTCTTTGGTCAGGATATCGTCATGCATGGAGATAAAATCGTCACACATCCAGAAGGATGCCATCCGGACCCGAGGCCGGCCGGCCGCCTCGGCAGGCGTTAAGCTGCGGCCTTGGACTTTGGTTGGGGTATGGAGAGGAGAAGGCGCCGGGCTTGCCCCTATCGGTGTTCGCGACCCAGCTTGCTGATCATGTTGTCGTTGGAGTTGTTGTTGTTGAGGGTGTTCATGCCCCCTGTCATGAGTTGACATTGCTCGATCTTGCGGATGTGGACGCGATTGGATGGATGCCCTTGAGAGAGTCGACAGTCTAGGACGCGTCTGTGCGCGCTCAGAACGAGAACGCGTCGCGTCTTGGATTTTGGGAATTTCGAAGGTTCACGCGTGAGGGAAGAGCGAATCCAGGGAATCCCGCATGCAGTCGCGCGTGCAGGACTTGCGCAGCATGAAGCGCGTTAATGGACGAACTGTACGTAAGCAACTTCAGGGGAGATTGCCAAGCAGTCAGTCCATCGAGAGAGGAGTATAAAAGGACGCGGCGAGAATCCGCAGTTCTAGATCTAGATCTAGCACTCATCGACGCAGCAACCTGACTGATGGTAAGCACTCTCTCCCCAACCACAGATCGAAGTTCAGCGTGTCTGCCCATCGTCACATCCTCTTGAGCCAGCACCAAGCACTGAACTGACTAGGCTCTACAGGCTTTCACGCAATTTACGGACCGAGATGACTTTACCAGAGCTGACTGGTGCGTACATACAACGCATACGGTACGTTCCTACTCTCTGCTATTGTAGATTGATACTGGCATTTTGAATACAACTTCTTCACCTTTTATGCGATCTTCTCTCATATCAAGCATGCTGAACCCCCTGAAGCCGAACACCACGCGGCTCATTGAGCCAAGCTCAAGGCGAGGAAGGCCACAGCAGATGGTAGGTCCTTTTTTGCTATCGTGGAGTGCTACTGGCATTCTGGTCACTGATTTTGTCACCTCTTTGCAGCCTTGTCATCTGTGCAAAGCACAAGGAGCCTTTTGAAACCGATCACTCCGCGGCTATCAACGCCAGCCAGCCCAAGTGGTTCGCATATAGCTTTGACCATACAAACCACAATGGGTCTCGTTGTTTTGTCACAAATTGATCTCCCGGTTTTCCAATAATCAATTTGATGCTTATACTTTCTGCTTTGGTTACATTTCCCACAGTACGTTTTCATGTGCCGACAACATGTACGGGATGGAGAGAGCATTGCAGCGTGCAACGGGTAGCGTCTACGGGCCTCTTATGGCTGTCATGTGCCGCAGTCGTCTACGGGCCTCTTTTGGCTGCCATGTGCCGACAACATCTACGGGCCTCCCTAGGCTGTCATGTGCTGTTTGAGTCTACGGGCCTCTTAGAGGCTGTCATGTGCCTCACATCTCTACGGGCCTAATATTAGGCTGTCATGTGCTGATGATACTCCCCTGCAACCTCTCCCTCAGTCCTTGCACCGGACTTCCAAATTGAAAGCACATGGTACGTTACAGTTCATGGTATTCGATAAAGATCCTGACGATTTGCGTACTGATTCCAAATGTTTTCTTCGTAAATTCTTTCATCTGCCGAGCAGCCTCAAATCACACGTGGAAGTTCATGCAGAAAAGTATCGTATTTGTCTGCGACTGGGTTGCACCGGCACGCCCGAAAGGAAATGCTCATTCTTTTGACTTCACTTAGGGCCCTCATTCTTGTACCACGACAATTCTCTACCAGCATAACTACATGGATGTTCATAAAGCAAGGCCGCACTTGACAGTGGCGTCAGAGAAGTGCTCGACCGCGTCGTCGCCGGCCGGACGCTCCGGACAACCCGAGCGTCGAGATTGGAAATGCATGCACAACACATTCTCGCCATCTGGCTGGGCATTATGCCCAGACCCCTCAGCTTTGCTCGGAGAAGCACCATTGTGGCTCTCGCACAGTGCAGTCATAGCAGCTAGAGGAGGATTCACTAGATACTAGGCGTAGATCTATCTATATGGAGAGGCGCGTCCAGGGGGCCGGTGAATTAAATTGACAGCGGCCTTGCTTTATGAACGGCACTGTACATGGATGCGAGACGCATACTGCGATGGTAGGTAAATACTGTGGTCCGGCGCCTCAATACATCATCTTCATAACCCGCCTCCTCCCTTTTGGTGTGTTCTTCAGCTTCCGGTGTTCGCGAAGCTTTTCACCCCACCCCCTCCCTGTATAAATGTCACCTGGATCATGTATTAGACTGCAAGCCTTCTCAACTTGTTGACGGAAGAAATGAATACATTGAAAAACTCCGATTTCCGCCGTTCCGACGAAGCGTTGTGAATGCATACACTACTTGGTACTGTATAAAGAGTCCATTTGTACATACGCGACATTCAAACGCCGGCTGTTTAAAAGGATGTGGGCGTCCCTCTAGCTGTCGGTTGCCTATATGAATCGGGCTTTACTGCCGAAATGATGGCGAAAACCCCGAGCGGCATTCGAATCTTGATACCGCAAGGAAGAAAGCGCTACGGCCGCAACGCAAGCAACGCAGCGCTCGGATCGTCCGTTCCTCCCTTGGTGTCTCCGACGGGGGAACCTGTATCTGGAGGCGAACTGACAGGTGGATACCCGAGGGGCGACAGGGGCGAGCCAGTGGACGGGCCAGTAGTTCCCGATGATCCCCGCGGCTGTATTTCACGAATAGGCCCAAGCGACAAGCGCCGTTGCCCGGCCATGAACGCTTTGTGTTCGTCAATTTCGTTCGCAAACTTTCGTACCATGGTGTAGAAAGCGGTCTCGGTCTCGGCGGCTTCTTTGAATCCCCACCGGTGGATGTGAGGCACTTTACGGAGGGCGGAGAAGTCGAACTGATTGGCCTTTCGCATGGCGCTTGAAAGCCGCTTCAGAGGCAGCGTCACGAGGTAGCTCACCAGCGCGACGATGGCGACCATGCATGCGCCGGTGATACAGACGGACTTGATCGCAGCGTTCCTGGCTTGGATCAAAGGGCGCAAGAGGTCGGACTGTGGTATGCCCATGCATAAGATGATCTCAAAGCCGTAATCGTCCTTGATTGAACGCAGGGCAGCCCAGTATTTCTCGCCTTCGACTTTCACGGCAAATTCTACGGCGCTCGGGATGTTCGTCCAGTTGGAATAGCGGGCGATCGTGGCGTTGCTGATCGTCTGCAGCGGCACGCTTCCGATGGAGGATATCAACGCGGGGCCGTCGCCTGCTTCATTCAGTCCCAAGTCTAATCGATTCGTAGCCAACGTCCTACCACGATAGTCAATCATTGCGATGATTGTGTTCGGCGTTGCCTGCACCGCTCTCAACATAGAAACCAGCGGCTTGATGTCCAACACCCCAACCAAGAGAAAATCATAATTCTGCGTGTAGGGTGGGGCTTTCGGAGGGGGCTTGGTTAACCAGAGGGCTTTTTGGCACGCCAAACCCGCCTCCACTTTAACGTTTGCCTTGTTGCCGTCGTTGCTGTGCCAGACAAACCAGTTTGGTGATTTCCATCTGACTTTGGGGGTTGCCGGCACGTCGTTTCTCGACGCCTGTGGGTTCGTCGGGATGGAGACCAGCACGTCGAGCGTGACGCGCTCATCTAGCCCAGTGCCTACGATCATCCCAGAACCGTTGTCACAGATTTGAACGGTTTCGTTGATGGGATAATCGCAGAACCGCGCAAGTGTGTTGTTTCCCCCGCAGAAGACGGTCTCGCCCCATATCGTGTCACGATTGACCAGAAACCCTGCAGCGGCATTGTTTCGCATGGCGATATGCATAACTTCGAGCTTGACCTCCTGATCATACTGCGGGTCGTTCATACGGCTGGATCGATTCGCCAAGAACCGATCCATGTAGCTTCCTGTGGCCGTGCCGTGCTCCAGGTCATGAATGACATTGAGGCAGTTGGAACTGAAGCTGATGACGTTGCTGGCGAGGCTCCTTTCGATATCGCGGCGCACGACGCCGATGACGACGTCACCGGCGGAAGCCGTTCCAGAGAACAAGTAGACGCAGAGCGGCGCCACGACCACGCCGGTGGTCACCAAAATCAGGGCAAGCAGGATAGCACCGACTGGTATCCGAAGCTTATCCATTCTTTTTGATTGCCCTTGTCAAACTTCGGAATCGTGAGCTTTCGTCCCGGCTTCGGTCGAGTGGGTGGGTTTCCCAAGATGTAGGGACCCACTGAAATGGTCTGAGTTTTTAAAGTTTTCAATGCAGATCCTCCCGATCCACGGGCTTGGGAAAATCATTCCGATTCGGTTTGCGCGCCTGAGCCCTGGCTAGAGAAGACTTCAGAAATGTCGGACCGTGGCTGAGACATCCGGCAGGGATTGGCTGATCACCGTGGCCGTAGCATACGATGTGTTTGGCATGTAGAAGCATCCATGGAACCGTCAGGGAACTTTGGGCTGTGCACGGATAAGTCTTGGAAAATGAACCACACCGTTTTTCGATTTTGTGCGGACATCGTGGGCCCATTTCAACAGTGCAAGGAGAATGATGTTACAATGCGTCCGGCCGGACGTTCAGATGTAAGGCATGCCTGCTGTGAAGCTGTTGCAAGTCTCCTGGGTTTCGCAAAGATTGGACTTGCTCGATGCGATGGATGTAAGTAAACAACGCACGACTGCGGATTGATGTCGTTCACTTGGCCAACTAAATCCTTCTCAATATCACTTCCTCTCCCAGATGGAGGAAGCGAGAAGTCGGGGCAGCGCAGTGGGCGCCAAGGACAGTGGGTACTCGTGCTGGCGAAGCAATTCCCTGAAACACGAGTGGCCAGCGTCAACTCCTCCTTCGAAACGGAGCTTCGGCTGCCTGCTATATAGCTTTTGCGTCAGAAACAGACCGCGGAAATTCAGAGGCGCGTGGGCGAGGAAGGAGCTACCCCATATGCCGAGAGGAAAGCTGTCGCCGATCAAAAGCGTGTGAAGAAGTGGAGGAGGTGGATGCGTCGAGAGTGCAAGATAATGCACGGCAGAACCTGCTACGCACCTCGGAGAACGAGGCTTGTGGATGAGAGGACGCCGTCAGAGAGGAAGGAAATGCACGACAGAACGACTCATGCACCGCCGACGCCGATAGGAGGCGTCAAGAAGGGAAAGACGGCCGGAAGCTTGCGCAGGCGCGCGGCAGCGGGGCAACTACTGAGTCGATGCGCCAGGGACTGGTGGCTGCCCATGAGAACGCACGATAGGACACACATGGGCCTGCCGATGCTGAGAAGTAGACCGGCGCACCCGGCGGGAGAAGAGCAATCAACCGCGGATTCTACGGCGGCTGCCTTCGCTACCGTGAGGACGATGGAAACTAGCGCAAACCGACCGGCATCGAAAGGGATCACTGGACAACTTTGCCCCCAAAAATCCCTTGGTCAGTCCGTAAACTCGGTACAAGTGCTACTGTAGGTCTATGGCTTCTAGGCTATTTTATGATACAGTCAACCGACATTGCGTCTTTTACCGATTTCCGATGGCCGCTTCCAGCGACGGAATCCACGCAGTCAAATTGTGGGGAACATCTGTATCCATAGAGTAAAGACCCGACAACACCAGAAGATCGTAAGCCTCCATCGAGGGTATCCATTCCGGTCTCATTACCGTCAAGGTTCCCCAGGTGCTGCCCTTATGGATGGCGTATCCAAAATTCTTATGCATTTGAATGACCGGGGTCAAGCTGCCGTCCTTCGGATGTCGACACGATATGGTGAAACGTGCTTCCGCCTGGTTGTAAGATTCTTGCAGATGCCATTGCGAGCCGTCTTTGAGTTTGAAAGGTACGCTCAAGGGCTGAACACGCTGAATACGGTGAGAGAAGAAAGCAAGTCAGATCCGATGCAACGCTGCCTCGTCCGACCGCAACACGTTTTGCAATAGCATACCCCAAAGTTAGCTTCCTTGTCCGCGACAAACTCCATCTTCTCCCCGGTCGAAACATCCTTGAACACCCATCCCACCTTGAACATATCCCACCCCTTTTGCGGCCTCAGGTCGTACAACGGCTTTGTGGCTCCTTCCGGCGGCATCTTGGCAAGGAATTGTTTGCCCTGTCCCCAGTCATACGCATCGACGATTTTGCTCATTCTCCATATAGGCGCCCACTTGCCGGGAAGTTCGACCTCACCAAAAACGTACAGGGGGTAATATTGCTCGTCGACGAGATACAAGCCGTCTCTTGTAGTATTGTGGGGGTTGTAAGCGATCTTGAGCAACGTTGGAAAGGATGGCCGGTGGGGTGTTGGCATAGCTTTTGGAAATGTTGGAAAGGCTTGCGGGTGGGGTGCTGGCATAGCTGTTGGGTATAAAGCGTGGTGAGGTGGATGGTCCATGTCGGAGATGTGGCGACGGCGCTCAGCGGCTGGGGTTCGACGAACGCCTATCGTCGTGTCTTATTGATCAAGCTGCCAGCTGGGGGTTGCCTTGACCTTCACAACGAACGAGAGGGTATATATATGTACTGTACAGTTACTGGCAGCGGCCCATTTTTGCCATACTGGAGCCCACGGACTCCTCCCTTCCCTGCCCACCGAATACAGTAAATTTAAAGTTTCACGCCGATCGGCGGCCGATCCCACGGTAACCAGGAGTCTGAGAGTCTTTGACGCTTGATCAATTGAGTCTCGACGGCTTACGACCACAACGCGCGCCAGAAGTTAACCTAATGTTCCCACGGGCGCACGCGGCCAGTTTCAGTCCCTCTTGCAACAAGTCAAAGCGTCCAAGCCCGGTCTCTACCAATCTCACAGTGGAAATGCGTACAACGAGCAGGGCATCCTCTCTTATGCAGAGATTGTCGGCAATCCTGCTTGGAAGACATACTGGGATGACGAGGCGAAGGCGAGCGCGGCGTACAGTGCTCAGGACAGGACCTTTGTGTCGTTTGACTCGGTGGATGCTGTCAAGTACAAGGTGGAGCAGGTCAAGCAACGGGGAATGAAGGGCGCAATGTACGCCAGTATGGCTCATGGGTCAGGACGATTCCCAGAACACGTTGCCTACCACCTTGTCTGGTGGTTTGAGAGGATAGCAGGATGGGATTTCCTTTGTTGTGCGGTTGTTATGTGCGACAGTAGCCTGAACGGCGAGGCGTAGAGTGACTAGAAGCACTAGATCGCTTAGAGCTTACCTAGACATTAGTAAAATAGAACGATGTCTGATGGCGCAGATTCGCAAAATTAACCTTTCATTCTAGCAAATGAAGGCATACCGGCGTCCGCTGCTGTAGACAACTTGCCGATGTCTAGAAGTCTATGCTTCTGAGACGCGAAAAAAATCTATCGCCGATGATTCCATCGCGGGCGGCGAGCGATGGTTTTGTACGCCTTTTTGGTGGGCTTGGTCGAGCGTGCGAGACCTTTGAAGGAAACGTAGTATGTCGGGCGAGGTGCTGATAAGTGTTTCGTCGCCGGTAATGTTTTGCAGCGTGTTCGCGATAGCCATACGGTAACCTTGCAGTGTTCTGACGGCGAGACGCTTTCTCGGAGTGAACGTCGGTGAGGAAGTTTAGAACCGATGAATGGCCGGCGCGAACGGGATCAATGTGCTGTTATGGACACCAGCGTACGTAGCTCCGCCAGACGGAGTTGTGGTTTGTGTTGTTCGCGAGGGACTGGAGCGTACTGTCGATAGCCGCCTGCGATAGGCCTTGTTGTGCGCTATAATACCGGATAACCGCCATGCGATTGTGACCGTCATGCGGAAGCCTGCTCTGGGCTTGGAATACCTTTGGTTTGGATGGAATCGGTATTGGGTTGGCGATTGAGAGACGAAGGAGGAGTGGGAAGGCTGCGTGCGACGGCCAGAAAGGTGTTATGAGGGTCAGGGTGTGCACTTCCTCGTCGAAGATTTTGCGGGCAATGCTTGTAATGAGCAGCCACGGCGGTACGTAGCAGAGGTGATGATTCCATGATATCTGTGGCGAAGGCTTGTGGGTCGCGTGGATCGAGCGTTCAGTCGTTCGGAATGCGAGGATTGGGGTTCGTGCCCGTCGCGAAAAACTCCATTGTGTGATTCAACGTCCATCGACCTTGAATCTGCCGAAGGATTCGCGGGCTGAGCTGGTAGTCGTTCCGATCGTTCTGTTGATGAGAGTCGAGGTCCGCTATCACGCTTTCTTTGCCGGGAATGTGGAACGCCTGCCACCATGTGTTCTGATGCCGATAGCGAAGGAGAAGATGCTCAATGACCTGCAAAAGGTGGTCCGTGTGGCCGCCGCCATTGTTGAAGCAGAACATTGTTGGCATGTTGTCCGTCATGTGGATAACGTGCGCACTCAAGAAATCGAAACCATGTCGCTCGCGAAGGATGTCGACGGTGCGGACTTGCGCTATTGCTTCGAGGATGTTGTTGGAGACGAGACGGTCGAACTTCTGACGTCGAATGGTCCGTTGAAGATCGGCGAAGGAGAACTCGGGAAAGTGGCGTTGAATGAGCGCCGGCGCCCACCGTTCCTGGACGCGAATGAGCTCGCCCGTTTACTTACGCATCCGTTTGTCCCGTCGGTGTTCCCGAAAGGTTCGACGCGCTGTACGTAAGCGCGGCGCCCATTTAATTAAGCCATAGTCACGTGATAAGCGTTCTTTCACTGTCAGGAGCGAAATACATTCATCGAGGCCCGTCGGAAGGGTGAGTTTGGATGGACCTAGTAGACCTACTGTATGTACCTTCCCGCCTACCTACATAGTTGCTAGCCGTCACGAGCGCAAGCTGCCCCCTTGTTGTGGTCGGTCAAGATCTTGACTCGCTAGGGCGTCGGGCGAGCGGGACGGTGGTCCACGTCAGACGAAGGCCGACGCGTGGGCTTGCACAAAATGCCAAATGGCTCCCCTTTTGCCACAGCTTGACCTTCAGGCTTCGTGTAGGCATGGATGTATGTACACTGCAGGCAGGGCAAGTAAACAGCGGATTGATTTTGAAAGTGATCGGGAGACTCGGACGACCACAGGTTTTTGGGTATGTGTGCAATTTGCGCGCCTTTGGAGGAGCATTCTCTGACGTCGCAACTTGCCCTGTACAGGGTCCGTCGGGATTCTCGTAGCATGAAGCCTCTGTTCATCTCATGCCGCTTTTAAGAGATGGTTTACCCGGGACTTACCAACACCCTCACGCGAGGCGATTTGCGCTTGATTCCCCTTGTTTGCATGTGCATCCCAGCACATGTGGGGTGTCGCAACAGGGGATGATGTGGGCGAGGGCTTTCTGTTCTTGCTCTTTCTGTCACCACTTCCGCGGCTCGAAGAAAATGCACACACAAAAAGGGACAGGTCATCTGCGATTGTGCATTTGCGGCTAGACGGGCCGGCCGCGCGGCATTGCGGGCATCAAAAGTTCCTAAGTCTTTGCCGACGCTGCTCATGCGTGGAAGCACTTTGCAGGTGCGGCCGCGGAGTTCGCATGCGCAACGAGCATGAAAGCTCGACCGTGGCCGAAAGCCAGCGGTAACATTCGAGCATCGGTGGAGCATGAAGGCCCCGGCGCTGGTAACCTGTTCCTGTTGAAGAAAATCCCTTCATCTCATGACAAGGTTGCCAGCGTCAGAAAGCATTTGTGCAGCATCGGCGCGTAGAGGGATGTCGCCATGTCCGGTTGGAGTAGACGACCCCTAGCTAGCCGGCGAGCTTTCTTCCCAACGGCGGGTCAGCGGCATTACTGGGTTACCATAGACGGACTATGATCCCCTGTAAGCGATCAGACCCGAATGCATCTGCGATGGACGTCCGCGGGCCCCCGTTGAAACCCCGCGTCTCGTGCTGCTCACGGAGTGTAGTGTAGTGTAGCGTGTGTAGTCTAGGAAACGACCTCGTCGCACTATAAAAGACGACGGCGATGCATGCTCCCTTTCTCTTCACCATCAATCCATTCCGCTTCTCCCTCATAAAATTGTAACCCCTTCCATCCGCACCATTGGGCAGGTCCCTGGTCGTACTAGAAATCTCTCATTGTTGTTCATTCCCTCGACAATCACCTAGACGCTTCACGACAAGATGTTCTCGTCCTCAAACATCCGCTCCTTCGCTGCTGCTTCGGCCGCCATGCTGCTGGTCACTGGCGTCGCCGCCGCACCGGCGCCCCTCGCTCTCGCCAACGCTGGAACGTTTGTCGATGATGTGTCCCAATGCCCGATGCTCGCGCCGCGCGCCGCACCGCCTGCAAACATTTCTGGTGTGTACTCAATCGTTGTGCGGGAAGTTCACGAACCTTACTCACGCATTCAATTTTCCGTAGACGTACGAATCGACGACATCAAAGTCGTCATGGCCTTGGGAGACAGCATCACCGCCGCTTTCGGCGCCCGCGGCTCGAACTGGGGAGTTCCGTTCACCCAACTCGACGAAAACCGCGGCATTTCCTTTGCCTCCGGCTCCGACGCCGGCGCCGTCTCCGTCTTCAACTTCGCCAAGCACTTCAACAACAAAGCGTACGGCGGAAGCTACGGCAACCACCTCGTTGAAGTGTGCTACGGCCAGTTGTGCCCCGTTTTCGAATGGAGCCCCCAAGACGTGCTCAACGTCGCGCTGTCTGGCGCCAAGTTCGAGAACCTCGATAAGGAAGTCAATCACTTGATTGATATCACCAGGAACAACAAGAACGTCGACCTCCAGAACGATTGGAAATACCTCAACCTCCTCATCGGCGCCAACGACGTCTGTGGATCATGCACGACGCCGACCACATCACAGCAGTACGATGCTTACATCCGAAATGTGCTTGAGAAAGTCCGCAAGAACATTCCTAGAACTATCGTCAACGTCATCTCGCTGTTCAAAGTTTCGCAGATCTGGGAGCTCACGAAAAGGGACCCGCACTGCATAGGCCTGCGAATCGCTGGGTTGCATCTGGAATGCACATGCGCTCTATCGTTGGGGGACACTCTGCTCGGTGTGCACACCCGCAAGATTATGGACGACCAGATCGATGTGTGGAACGCGCAGCTGGTCAAGATTGTGGCCGACTATAAGAACAAGTACAACGACTTTGCCGTGATTATGGACCCTGGCGTCGGTGCCGCTGACTTGGTGAGTGATGCCAGAAAGAAGGATAAAGGTAAGCATCATCGACTCACACTTTAGTTCTTGTTCCATCAGCGCAAGTTCCCCAAAAACTACATCTCCGACCTCGACTGCTTCCACCCCAGCGCGGTCGCCCACGCCTACGTCGCCAAGTTCGTCTGGAACAATCTCTTCCTGGATTCCAGGAGCAAGGTCACTCCCATGGACGCCGGCAAGGCGGTGCAAATTTACTGCCCGACTGAGAACGATCGCATCCAGGTCGCTTGAGGCATCATGGTCTTGCAAGCAGATTCTAGTTCCCGACGGTGCCATGTATGATAGGATCCCTAATGCTCTCTATCTTTGTTTACAACCTGTAATAACCATCAATCGATCGATACAATGTGCATGATAAACATACATCAAAGGTGCTCGAGATCTATATGACATTGAGCCCGACATTTATGAACGAGTAGGTGGCGACGGAACCCATTTCGAGAAGGGCTGCGACAACGACGCAATAGAGGTCGGCTTGCTGATGAAATCCAACCTCCTCCTCGTCCATACAATACGTTCCTCGTCCAGACCAGATGCGTGAGATCATTCAGCAAGTCAAAACAGAGGGCAGTGAAGGCCATCAAGACAAAGACGCTCTCCGACAGATTATGACAGCGCGTACCTGCAAGGGAACTGAGATGTCATTCCCACACACAGAGGCGTGTGATTGGCTGGCTGGCTAGATGTCCTGGCCAGTTTATTCTGCATGGAGGCGTGTGATTGGCCGGAGTTTCTGCTTCGAGGTGCGTGATTGGCTGGCCAGATGGGAAGCAGATCTCGCCATGCTGATCTCAAGAGTCTGCCCTTTTGCCGTCGAATAGCCCGGGTCTCCAATGGGCTCAGCTTGATCTTGAGGGCTTGTTGCCTGCAACAGAACAACTCTTAGAACATTCACTGTCTCATTCGGGTCCCTCCGACTCATTCTCTCATAAATCCTAGCTAGTGCTCAGTTGTGGATTATCAAGAAGCCCGCTCAACCCCGATACCCGACCGACCGAACAATGGGCTCCGACCAAAAGCCCAAGAAGCTGCCCTGGGGCATAGACAAGCCCAAACCGGGGTCTGTGAAGGTATGGGTGTCAGGACGAACCACAGAATGTGCTCTTACGCTAGGAAGTTACTTACCCGCCACAATGCCCTTCGTATAATTGCAGAAGATCGCAGACACCAAGCTGCAAGCATTCTCTGTCGGTATCAACAAGAAGACAGCGTTTCAGAAACAGCAAGAGGAGGCTGCGTTGCGGAAGAAGGTTTGTGCTTTGGTCGGAACATTTTCTCGAGTTCACGGTTCCGTGGCAAAATTAGGGTTGCTGATCACCTTCGAACTCTGATTCAATAGCAAGAGGAAGACGAAGCAGCAAAAGTGTACGCCGAGTTCGTCGCCTCATTTGATCAAGATGCCTCAAAGCCAAAGGGATGGGTAAAAGGAGGCGTCATTATGCCCAAAGGGGTCTTTGATTCCCATGAGGTGGAAGAGTCGAAGCAACCGGCAGCAGCCAAACCTACGCTGTACATGCCGCAGCCGTTTGTGAAAGCCAGTGCTGCTGTCGATGCTACTGCCCCGAAGTTGTTTGTGCAGGAACGTAATGCAAAACCGCTGCTGGACGAGGATGTCGAAGTGAGTAGAGCTTGGGAAAGATGGTTACATAAATGTGTGAATTCATGAGCTAAGAATCACGCCATCAATTTCGTAGCGGAATGTGCCAAAACCACAGCGGAAACGAAACCTCGACATGTTCCTGGAAGAGCTGAAAAGGGATCAAGAAGACCGAGACGAACGCCTGCGATCAAAACATGCACGTCACGCCGCTTCCGGCGTCGACCAAATGTCCGATTCGGGCTCGTTAACTCTACGAGCGGGTACGGCTACAGATTTGCGGAGTAGTGCACTTTGCGTGATGGAGAGAGAGGGAGGGCAAGCATGCCTCTCCTACCCCTTCCCCCCCCCCCCCCAGTTGCTTTTCTGTTGTGGGCAAGAAACGAACACAATATAACTCACGTTACGTACCCCGCAAACCAATGACCAGCATTCGAAGAGCGACCGGGCTCCCACGACACCGGTGACCCCGATACGACCAACCTGTATGTCGGCAACATCAACATCGCGGTCGACGAGGATCTCCTGTGTCAAGAGTTTGGACGGTACGGGCCTATTGCCAGCGTCAAGATCATGTGGCCGCGCACGCAAGAGGAGAAGGAACGGAACCGAAATTGTGGGTTTGTGAGCTTTATGACCCGCGAGGCGGCGCAGGAGGCTTTGAAGAACTTGGATGGGAAGGATTTGAGGGGGAATGTGCTCAAGGTTGGGTGGGGCAAGTCTGTCACTTTGCCTCCGAAGCCTGTATATGGTGAGTTGCTGGTTTCATTTTCATCCGTCGAGATTCGAACACGCGTTCTCAACCGCAATTTTGGGAACAGTGCATCCGACGGCGATGAAGCAAAGCAGAGCGCCTTCCGGGTATCCATTCAACGCGCAACTCGGGCGATCCGTAGGAGGTAAGACATAGGCCCTTTTTCATCCGGGTCATAAGCATCACTGAAACAATACTCCAATGGCAGGATTCGGCGCTGTCCCCCCTCCCAACGCACTCAAAGGCGCGCATGCCGTTCCCGCCAAAGGCCGTCTAGACGTGGAGGTCCTCCCACCCGCGGACCGCGAGACCACCATGATCATCCATCGATTCATCGAGCGGGTGGTCAAGCACGGACCTCACTTCGAGGCGTTGATTATGGACCGGGAGAGGGACAATACGCAATTCGGTTTCTTGTTTCAGCATGATGTGCGTTTTCCGTTTTGTTTCTCGTATGTGTGCATCCACCGAGTGTTGATGGACTGACTTTGTGGTTTTCTTCGTAGTCGCCTGAGCATGTATATTATCGCTGGAAGCTGTACTCGATCCTACAAGGCGACCGGCCGAACAAATGGCCCACGGATCCGTTTGAGATGTTTGATGATGGGATCGTGTGGACACCGCCAGAGGTGCCTTTTGACGATGATGTAAGTTCTTCCCATCCCGGCGTGCCTCTGAAAGCCCCCCTGATCTCGTGAATGCTAACATGGTTACCCGCTATGACCCGCAGGTGCTCAACAGCGACGAAATCTGGTCGTCCACCTCCGACTCGGAAGACTCCAATTCCGAGTCCGAGCAGCCTCGCTCGAAACCCAAACCCGGTCGCAACAGCACCACCACAAAAGGCACTCTCCCCCCCAAATCCCGCCTCCGCCTCGAATCCATGCTCCGCAACCTCACCTTCGACCGCCACCTCATTGGCCGCAGCATGGTCTTCTGCCTCTCCCACGCCCTCGCCGCCGACGACGTCATCTCCACCCTCATCAAATCCCTCCTTATCCCGCAAACGCCCATCTTCCCCACCAAGATCGCGCGGCTGTACCTCCTCAGCGATATCTTGCACAATACCGCGACACCGATACCCAATGCGTGGAAGTATAGGATGGGGTTTGAGAAGCGGCTTGTAGAGGTTTTTGAGCATCTTGGGGAGGTGAGGAGGGGGGTGGGGAAACGGTTACGGCGGGAGCAGATGAGACGCGCGGTGTGTGAGGTGCTGGGTGTGTGGGAGGGGTGGATTGTGTATCCCGAGGAGTTTGTGGAGAAGTTGAGGGAGGCGTTCTTGAGGGATGGGAATGAGAGTGAGGATGCGGTGCTCAAAGGGAACGAGGGACACGCATTGAATGACAGCCCCACCACCACCAAGCGCGAGAGCCATCCCGAAACTGCAGAGGGGGGCGTGACCGACACCAACGGCGGGTTTGTCAAAAGCAAATGGACATCTATCGACTCCCAGCCCGAAGACGACATGAATTCCAATTACCCCGCTCCCGCCACTCTCCCCACCCACTCCAACGACAATAATACACCAACCCCACCTTCCTCACTGCACGTTTCGAACATCAGCTCTTCTTCGTCTGCCTCCTCAACGCCGAGCGAAGACGGCGTTTCGACTCCAGTCGAAATCGAGGAGATTCGGAATGCGAATGGGAGTGGGAGTGGGATACAGGGTGGAGGGTGGCAGCCTTTGGACGAGGAACAGGCATCGGATGTGGGTGTGGGTATGGGAGACGAGGTGGATGGGCGGCGGGAGGAGAGGCAGGTTCCAGTGCCGGTGGGAGACGAGGATGAGGAAGACGATATGTTTGCGTAGATTTGTGTGTGTGATATGCGGGCTTCTTTGCCGCGCTTTTTGGAGTTTGGATTGGCTATGTTGAAGAACAGTTACTGTACAAGCGTTGGGAGCGAGGCCATGATTTTACACTTACTTGGTGTTATGCCGGGAGACGCGAGGTTCTAGAAGCACGCCATACGGCGCGGTCAACCTCGCTACCCGTTCCGTTTTGCTGCCCGTTTTGGCGCCATATACATACAGTACATTCGAACTGTAGCCGTATTCAACATGAACCCAGAAGTTTCCTCTCCGCAGGATGAGGTGGAGGAGCTCGTCAAGGGACATCTATCCGAAGCGAAGCTGGTGAGGAGCAGGAAGGACTGTGGTCAAGCATCGGAGTTCGGCGATTGACTGGGTTTCCATAGGTTGCGATAACAGACCGCAGTGACTTGTCGTCGGTGCAACTACTCGAGATGAAGGTCGACACCAGAAAGACGAGTCTAGGGACGCTGGGCAAGCTCCTGCCTGGACTCCGCCATCTCAAGCTGAATAACAGCTATATACCTTCCATTCGGTTAGTGGCCGTACTCCGACTGTTACCCGACTGCTCCAAACAACTAAATCTGGGCGCTGCATATTTGGGTTTGTAGAGACATCGGCTCTGGCTACTTGAACCTAACTGTACTGTGGATGGCACGCTGCGACATGACTGACCTCGACGGCATCGATTCCATGTCCAATCTTGAGGAACTCTACCTGGCACATAACGAGATTGCGGATATCAGCGCGTTAGGGATGCTGGAGAATCTGCAAGTTCTGGATTTGGAGGGGTATGTTTCTAGTCTTGCGCTACTCAATCACCAAAAGGAAGGGAGGGAGCACCTCTCAACATCAACGGCCATGCTAAATTATGTACAGCACAGAAACGCGATCGAATCTATGGAACAGATAGAATATCTAGCGCTGTGTTTGTCTTTACGGCAACTGACCGTCACGAACAACCCAATACGACTCGAAAGCGATCCCAATGAGAGTGCAGATGATGAATGGGGAGTGGAGCCGAGAAAGTGGGCTATGCGGCAGAGGGAGCTGCGGTGGAATCTTTGTTCGGCGTTGCCGGGGTTAAAGATCTTGAATGATGTGCGGATAATTGAGGCTGATCGGAGAAAACCTGAGGTGGAGCAGGTTCCTGAGCACGAGGGAGGTTAGTTTCTTGTGATCGTGCAGCAAGCATTTTTGAAGCAGAACCTCATCTCATACCGCGATATGTGACAGTGACAGAGCTCTTGAAAGAGAGGCCAACGGCATCCAAAACGCGACGCCCCAGAACGAGCACGGGACGGCCATCAAGTGCCTCCAAAACGTCGCATACGCGGACAGAGGACGTGACAAGTGACCTTACCCATGGCTCCGGACAAATCATGGCCGGGAACCCTGTATTGTATTTGAGGAGTAGACGGACGAGGATTGCTTCGCGGGAGTCGGGGCTTGCGCGGGCCTCACTGACTGCAGGGACGGTGGATTCGATTTCTCGAGCACATGAAGAGGCGACAGCGGGGAAAGGTCATACCGTTACCGATTTCGATGCAGATGACACCGATCTCCAAATGCCGGCGTCAGATTCGACGAGTACACGGTTAGCCGCAGTTGAGCCGTCAAGGGCATCACAACTATCTGACGGTACTCGATCAGAACCACCCGTAACGCCTACCCTTCCAGCCAATGCACCATCCGCACCGAAGCACCCACATCCCCCAATAGCCCCGCCAACACGAAACCCTCCGCGCACACCGTCCGCCCGCCCATCCACCGCCGAGCCAACAATGTCCGCCAGCATGAAGTTCCGCCTCCACCGCTACCGCTCAATATCTTCCACAGACGAAGCCCACCGGGACTTCTCCGGACCGCCGCATCCTGCACACCGGAACACCAACAGCGCCGTCGACAAAACGACCGCGAAGGAGCCCTGGCTTTGTTGGGATGGCCCGATTGTCACGGAACCAATCGCGCATCAACCATCAGAGCCATTGCGGCCGCGGCCACCTGCGAGGCCTAGGAAGGTGGGACAGGGACATGATGCCTCCGCCACTGACCGCGCGGATATACAAGGGGATGCAAGCCGGGGACATAAGGATGTGCATTTTTATGCTCGGGTGTCATCGGATGTGGTGTGGACTAGGCGACGGCCGGTGGGGATGCCGGGGTTAGGGAGGAGACCGGAGACCACTATGATTTGATGGACTGGCATTTGAATATATACTATCTCTGCTGCTACTGCTTCTTCGGTAGTGTTACTCTCAGATCTCATCAACGTGCGTCCAGCCACCGTCACCGACTCCCAGCGACATGGTCTCCATAACAACTCTGTTGTGGCCTAACCCTAACCCTAACGCTCCACGCCGGTAGCAATGCTGTTATTGGCTGTTACTCGTGGGGGCGAGTTGCGGAAGAGGGAACGCCAGAGGAACACACAGCAAGTGACTCACGCGATTCATCCCTCACTTAACCCTAACCCCAACCCTAACCCTAACCCTTATCCCTCACCCTTCCGCCCTCTACGCCGCTCCCATAAAAGCAACGCTCCCATAACACTCGGATTTTCCCACGAACCCCGCCCGTGATCTGCACCCACCGCACAGACATACACTCATACATAGAAGAGACTGACACAGAGCGAACTGCTTAGACGATAGAGAAGACACGCAGAATATGTCGCAGCATATCCGTAACGTGTTTGGGGATGTTGGCAAGGAGGGTAGGTTGTGGGGAGGGAACAGGGAGGACAGGGGGTGGCAACGTAGTTCAGAGTGTGGGGCAGACGAGGATACGAGGAGTGTGTGCCGTGGACGAGGGGCGGGGCGGTAGTGGGGGGGGGGGCCCATTGTATGAAGAGGATGGGATCAAAAGGGATGCTGCGAGTTTGATTGCGGGGTTTGGATCTCGGGAACATTTTCTTGAGGCTAACGAATGTGTGTATCTTTCTCTCGAACTTGTAGCACGCCCTGTATTCGTGGCCTATGTGACCGCCGGATACCCTGAGCCGAGCGATACGGTTGATGTGTTGTTGGCGTTGCAGGAGGGTGGGGCTGATATCATTGAGTTGGGTGAGTTGTGACATGGTGATGGGTACCGACAGCAAGGGTGCTGCGGCGAGCGAAACGAGGTTGGTGCGCTTGGAAGCTGAGGATAGGAAGGGTGACTAGAGGGAACGAACGCTTGGAGCGGGTACGAGGCGAGTTCGTATTGTGTCAATGGCGCGATACTCCCTCGCTTACTCTTGGCGAGCACCGGCGAGCGTTGGGATATTTTGCGCTTGGCGCACCGCAGCCAAACCTTGTTTTCGCGAGAATATCGTATTGCACAACCCTCGATTTGCACTCGCCTCGGATGGATTGGACTTGCTAGCTATGCATCGCTAGGAAGTTTCTCGTATTCCTAACTCCCAACAAATTCCCACAGGTGTCCCCTTCTCCGACCCAATAGCCGACGGCCCCACAATCCAAGACTCCTCCTTCACCGCTCTCTCCCACTCCCCCCCAACCGACATCCTCCACTGCCTCAAATACGTCGAACAAGCACGTTCCCGCGGCCTCCGCGTCCCCGTCGTCTTCATGGGCTACTACAACCCCTTCCTCAGCTACGGCGAAGAGAAACTGATGCAGGACTGCGCGCGCGCGGGCGTCAACGGGTTCATCGTCGTTGATTTGCCACCCGAGGAAGCTGAGCGGTTCAGGGACCATGCGAGCGAGTATGGGTTGTCGTATATCCCGCTGATTGCGCCGTCCACCACGAGCAATCGGATTCAGCATCTGGCGTCGGTTGCGGATACGTTTATTTATGTCGTTTCGACTTTGGGGGTTACCGGTGCACGCGCTGCGGTTTCGTCCGATCTGCCGTCGTTGATTGAGCGGATTCGACAGTTTACGAAATTGCCGTTGGCGGTTGGGTTTGGTGTCTCGACCCCGGAGCAGTTTAGGGAGGTTGGCGCGAAGGCCGAGGGTGTTGTTATTGGGAGTAAGATTATCACTACGTTGAAGGAGGCTGGTATGTGGCCGCTAGATGTTACTGGTGTTGGCACTGAGACGCGGTGTGTGTACTAACTCACTGTTCGCGATCCCCCCACACAGCCCACGGACACCGCGCAAACGCCGTCAAAGACTTTGCGTCCAAAATCACCGGCCGCACCGTCCTGCGACCAGGTAAAAAAAAACCCGTCCTCCCCCAGTCACTCCCACGTCACATTACATCCATAATTCTCACATCCCCCTTTACACCTCGTAGAAGAACCCCATGCCCACTCGGACACCCCGCACCTAGCCTCCGTCCAGGAATCCGGTCCCGCTCCCGCACAAGCCGCGACCGAGACGGTCAGGGCCATGGCACAGGGTGTCGCTCAGACCGCGCAGGGAGTTGCTCAGACGGCGCAGGGGGTTGCGGAGAAGGTTTTGGCTGCTGCCACGCCGACCGCGCAGGGTGTGGCTCGGACGGCGCAGGGTGTTGCGGAGAAGGTTTTGGCTGCTGTGAGTTGTTGTTGTTGTATTCTTACTCCGTGGAAGTCGAGAAAACTGAAAACGTGTCCTCTCCCACCCCTGCGATAGCCTGTCACGGGAGCGGTCACCGGCACCGTCAAAGAAGTCGCACACGATGTTGCCGAGAAGGTCAAGACTGCCGTAAGCTTCCCCTCCCTCCTCCCCCTCGATTCCCACCCCACTCACACTTCCCCCACAGGTAACAACCCTCAAAACGGGCCTGGCCGCGCGTTTCGGCACCTTTGGCGGACAATACGCGCCCGAAGCCCTCGTAGACTGCCTCGAGGAGATTGAGCGGGAGTATATGAAGGCGAAGGAGGATCCGGAGTTCTGGAAACAGTTTAAAGAGCTGTATCCGTTCATGGGCCGGCCGAGCCCGTTGCATTTGGCGGAGAGGTTGACTAAGGAGGGTGGTGAGTTGGGATATAAACACATTAGGGTTTCCATGTGTCGCATGATTGAACCGTGATTTTTTTTCCAGGAGGCGCACGCATCTGGCTCAAACGCGAAGACCTCAACCACACGGGCTCGCACAAAATCAACAACGCGATCGGCCAAGTCCTCCTCGCCCAACGGCTCGGCAAAACCCGCATCATCGCCGAAACCGGCGCCGGCCAGCACGGCGTCGCCACCGCCACCGTGTGTGCCAAATTCGGTCTGGACTGCACGATCTACATGGGCGCTGAAGATGTTCGCAGACAGGCTTTGAATGTGTTTCGGATTAAATTGCTGGGCGCGAAAGTCGTTCCTGTTACGAGCGGGAGCAAGACGTTGAAAGACGCAATCAACGAAGCCATGCGGGATTGGGTCACCAACGTCTCCACAACCCACTACCTAATCGGCTCCGCAATCGGCCCACACCCCTTCCCCACCCTCGTCCGCGACTTCCAATCCGTGATCGGTACCGAAACCCGCTCAGAGTTCCTCGCACTCAACAACAAGCTCCCCGATATGGTCGTCGCCTGCGTGGGCGGGGGGAGTAACGCCATTGGGATGTTTCACCCGTTTGTAAATGATCCGACCGTGAGGATTGTGGGTGTTGAGGCCGGCGGGGATGGAGTTGAGACGGGACGGCATTCCGCGACTTTGAGTACGGGGAAACCGGGCGTGCTGCATGGGACGAGGACGTATTTGATACAGGATGAGAAGGGGCAGATTGTTGAGACGCATAGTATTAGTGCTGTATGTACTGATATCTCTGTCACTATTAGATGTTGCTGTTTTGCGATACTCAACATCCCTTCCGATTTGTTTTTAGGGCCTGGATTACCCCGGCGTCGGCCCTGAACACGCCTTCCTCAAAGACTCACTCCGCGCCGAATACATCCACGCAACCGACGCCGAATGCCTCCAAGGGTTCCGTCTCTGCTGCCAGCTCGAAGGTACATTTCATCCCCCCATCCCCCATCTTTCTACTGTTCTCCCACGCCACGCCACCCCACCTAACCCCCATACCGCCTCCATTTTTTTCCAGGCATTATCCCCGCCCTAGAATCCTCGCACGCCCTCATCAAAGCGATCGATCTTGCCCGCACTCTGCCAGCTGATAAAGATATCGTGGTGTGTTTGAGCGGGAGGGGGGATAAGGATGTGCAGAGTGTTGCGGAGGCGTTGCCGGTGTTGGGCGAGAAGATTGGGTGGGAGTTGAGGTTTGAGGGTAGCAAGTGAAGATAGTGGCGGATCGAACAACTTTCTCACAGTGAGAGCGTTATCGGGTGCCCCTGAGTGAGGGCGTCCAACGCTTTGAGCGTCCTTTGTGTTTTCTTATGGAGATTTGCAAGATTTTCCCACACTCCCTTAGTTCCAGTTCCGTTCCCTTTATTGTCTTTTGTTGTTATTTGTATCTCGACCATCTTACATTCATAGATCATACATTCTTCCACGCACGCATCGTGATATCTAAGAATTCCGGGTCGCAGTGGGCGCAATGTACAGATCCCTCGCAAGAAGCTGGCTTCCCTTCTAATTGAAGTGAGCGTCCTATAAGCAGGATCCCTTACTGCGAGACGGTCGGATACGCGTCGAGTGATGTCACTCATGACGCGCGAAAGCGAAGTGCAGCGCAAGGGGTGGTTTTTACCGCCCTCAACGGACAACGGACATCGATGTGGAGAATCTGCTTGCTAGTGGCGCAATAAGTTTTTTCTTGGTTCTTGGTTTTTTCCACTCAATGGAAGGTTGTATAAAAACGAGCAGGATGTATCGACTTCAGCAGCTCCAGTTGGCCATTGCAATCAAATCCTCGAATCAATCCAGTATCAATACACCAACCTACGTACAGTAGCAACAATAATCAACATGTTCGCACAAATCACAAAGCGCACATTGGCCCGAAGATCTCCCGCCACCCAATCGATCTTCCCATCCTTCACCCGCAGCTATGCGACCGCGGGGTACGGCAACAACGTCGGCAAAGACCAAGTCGACCCATGCAAAAGCGCACCCGCCAAGAGCCCCACACAGAACACACCCGCAGCATCAAAGTCATCCAAATCGGAGGAGGAAGATGTAGAGAAGTACCAAACGCACACGCACCGCTTCAAGAACGCACATTCTCAGAGCGATGGGACGGCGGATACGAATGCGGAGAGGGATCAAAAGAGTGGAAGCTCAAAGGGATATGGAGGCACCAATGATGGGGTCGGAGCTGGCGTGCCCCCGATCAGGGATGATTCGCACAGGGGACCCATGCCGCGAGAGAGCGAGAGGGGCGAGGGTAAAAGGAGAGGCGGATTGTAGAGGGTCCTGTCGTTGCGTCGAGAAGGGCTATAGTCGTTTTCTTGGGGATGAGTGCTCATTGAGCAATGTTCTTTGTATATACCAAATGAACCCAACAAAAACGATACATTTAAAACTTCTTCAAAATCCAAAAATGTGATGCGCTCCATCTAGCCCTCCGGTTACACCGTTGCCACCTTCGCCTTTTCGATGACCTGTTCAGCGCTGATCTTGTTCTCGTCGCATGAACTGTCTGATTCTACCTCGACCCACTTGGCTCCCTTCGTATTTATTTCCGCTGCAAGTCTGATGACCTCCTCCTCCTCCTCCTCCTCCTCCTCCTCCTCCTCCTCCTCCTCACTACTATCGTACGAATCTTCAGGTCCGGAGAGGTCATCCCTAAAGAGCCGAGTCGTATGAGCATGTGTCCGGATTTCGACGAGGTTATACGTCTTTGAGCACCTACCACTGTGATAGGTCCGCCGCCGGCTTGACCGTCACCTTCTCCACATCCTTGACCTTCAGTGCCGCGCCCACCGGAGCATTTTTCAGCGCTTTCACGACGGCGTCCTGGATATCATCCATCACTTTCTCATGGCTTTTAACGAAATCTGGATCATGGAACCGAATCTTTCGCTTCTCAGGCTCCTGCAGGTCCTTCTCCAGCTTTTAATCAACTCCTCTTGCCGTTTTCGTTTGCGTTCAGGTTCTTTTTCGAGGTAGTCTGCAAGTCTATTCGAAGATGACGATTAGACACAGTCCATGTTCCGTACAAACTATGCGAAGACAGACTTACTTTTTGGCATCATTCATAGTCTTGAGCCGCCTTCCCGACAAATCCCTACACGCTTCGAAATTCGTCGTCTTTTGCGATGCCATTTTTCCACCCTGTGCCCTCAACATGCTCCCAAATCCTCCTTTCCCGCCGGGAACCCTGACCAGCAGGTTGAACACTGGTGGAAGCCGTCCCGCCTCGGCGCAGTCGAGTTCAGTTCCATCCTCGAGGTCGTTGTGCGGGAATAGAGGCAAGTCATCAGAGATGGGGCGACCACCTTCGGTTGTTAAGAGCTGGTCGGTGGGGTGTAACGGAAGCACAGATGAGATCTTGTTCTTCAGGTCTTCCACAGTAAGCTGCTTCTGATTGACGGACCAGGCACTGGAGTCGTCAGAAAACTGTAGACAAAGCGGCTGCAGGCCGGCAAAGAGGTTGACGACGACTTGAGTAGACATTGCTGAGAGAGAGCTTCGAGAGGTTGAAGGTCTTCGAGGGTTGGGGCTTTCAGACTAAGAACTTCACAGGTTGCGAAGAAGCCGAGTCAAGTGGGGAAGTATGCGGGACTGTGCGGGACACAGCGGAATGTCAGCGCCGTTTATGTCCACTTACATGTGTAGCTCCCAGTGTGTAGACGGGCGGCCTAACGTTCCTTCCTCCTTCGCAACGCACCCCTGGGTTCGCGCATATGGCGTATGCACCCAGGGGATGAGGGAGAGAGAGAGAGAGAGAGCGCTCAAGAGACCGGCTGGCGCTCAACACAATTGATTTAACTTCTGGTCTGCCTCCTCGAATCTAGATGGGTTGCCCTAAGACTGCAGCGACTGCAGCGGGAGGAGGAGGCGGTGGTGGTGGAGGAGGCCGTGGTAGTGGAGGCCGTGGTGCTGGAGGAGGCCGTGGTAGTGGAGGCCGTGGAGGAAGTAGCGCCTGGGGTGGTACTGCGGCGGCAGTGGCGGCAGTGGCCGGAACTTTGCGATCTACAGTGGGAATCGAGGCAGCAGGGGTGGGAGGGGTGCGAGTGGCGGGACTCGCAGGTAAGCATCGTTTCCTTGAAAGGAGTAAGATGGAATGGGAGTAAGAGGATTCTCATGATATCTCATACTCTGTAGGGCAGACAACCCGGAGAATGGAACCAGCAATGCCAGCAACAATCACAACAATAATGTTGAAGGAGATCACGGCATCAACCATGACGATAGGGGCCATCAAGGCACTTCCTCGTTTCCATCCTTCTCGTCGTCGCCGCGGCTCCCACAAGGCCGCTTCTGCCTACCTGATCTGCAGACTCGCCTTCGGTACCGCCCTGGGGACATGGTGTTCATCCGATGTCAGGCGGAACAGCACTTTATCTCGCGGTGGTCATCCAGGAAGCGACCGAGCGACAGGCGCCATGCCTACGTGCAATTCACCCACCAGGCCGTGTGAAACCAGGGCCTGCTCAGATATGAGAAGGTATATGGGAAGCCGTTGGCGGGCGCAATGGCAAACGAGAGGGCACGCGTCAAGCTGGAAGCTTTAGAGGCTCACAAAAACCTTGGGCGTGGTGGGCGGAAGAAGGAGAAGAAGAAGAACGACACAGGGAAATAGCGATGGGACGCGGAGGAGCTCAAGATGAAGATGGAGACGGCGACTGCGGCTATGATGAAGATGAAGTACGAAGAGGCATGGACAAAGACCCGACCCGAGCGTTCCCTTGCTCTCCTCATTGATCGTCTCCGTCGCAAAGTCTAGCCGGGTGATGGTCCCCTCCGCCAGGTCTCCGCGTGTTTTGCCAAGCATTTTGAGACATTTGGTGTTTTCCCATGTTGGTCGCCGATGGCTATGCCGACGACCTCAGATTCGTATGGGGTGAGAGCATGATCTAGTCCTTCCTTATCTGTGTCGCTTCTTCAATGACACGCGGTTCGTCCTCCGGGTCATAGACGGGAAAGTATTTGCGATCTCGCTCAGGGATGTACTTTTTGTAAACGTCGAAAGGAGATTCGGCATCCATGCTGTTTCGGTGCTCCGGTGGTGGTGGTGGTGAAGGAAACGGGAGGTAGACGGGTACGCTTTCGAAGGATCGCTCGAGTCGGCTCTATGACAATCGCATATTGCTCTCTATCTTTGGTTACAACCTCCATACATGTAAGGGTGCCGTGCTGGACATTTTCACATGGAAGCCGCGCGCGTCACCGGAACGTGGGTGAGCTTATAGGGTTAGGGTTAGGGTTATGACGGCATACCTGTCATACTGTCAGTCCACAAGCTTCATCGGATGCAGGGCCTCCTGACTCCGCTTGGCGCCCGGTGATCCGCCGTGTACACCATCCATCCCGGGTGGGGTCATATCCACTGACTGTCTCATCACTCTTAAACGACGAGGGTGAAGAAGACCTTCTCCCTCCACCCTGCCTGCTTGCCAACCTCCCACAGGTATGCCGTCCCTGTGCGTCCGCATCCATGGCGTCTGGTACAACCTGGAGCATTTTGCCGCAGTGCACCCCGGCGGAACCCGGAACCTCCTGCTGGCGTCTGGCCGTGATGCGACCGCCATGTTCGAAAGCCACCACACGCTCATGAACCGCGTCTACATTGACACCGTCCTCGCCCGGCACCGCATGGCCAACCAGGACATGCAGACCTTGGAAGAGGCAGCTGGGATCGACACTGCCAGCGACGACTTTGACTGGACGGAGACGCCCTTCTCCCGGGAGGTCAAAAGCGAAGTCCGCACCTACTTTCAGCAACTCGCCCGGTCAAGGGGAATCAGCGTGCGGCACGCCATCAAAGCGACACCTCCGCGGTGGTGGATGTGGGGGACACTGGGCGTCTTGTATATCGCAGCAGTGTCGCAGTTGATAAAGGGGACCCTGTGGGGATTGTTCGCCGCACCGGTCATGGCCTTTATCTTTGGTTTCTCGACATTCCACGAGACGACGCACTTTGCTCTGTCACCATGGCCGCGGCTGGATCAGTTCCTATCCTACTTCTTCCCCTTTTGCAGCTCGCCGCTGTCCTGGCAAATACAGCACGTTGTCGGGCATCATGCCTATACCAACCTATCCCACCGCGACCCTGACGTCCTACACGCACCGCACGTCTGGCGGTACCACCCCGATACGCCGTGGGAGAAGGCATATTTGTGGCAGGCCAATGTGTGCAATGTCATCACCGCGTGGGCCGTCGCCCTCGTTGCCGGCCTCACCTACGAGAACGAGAAACGTATGCACCGCACCCGCATGTACAACGAAGTTGTCCCTCTGCCGCCCCTCTCGGCGGCCCGTTGGTCCGCTCATCTGGCGACGCGCATAATGACGTTTGTCACTATGCTCGGATGGCCGTTCGCGCTACTGCACCGGCACTCCCTCTGGTACAGGCTCGCGTTCGCCGTCGTGCCATGGCTGATGGTCTCGCTGCTCTTCATGGCAAACTCCCAGCTGACCCACCTCGGCCACGACGCCATCCGCGCCAGACACCGCGGCTGGTACGAGCACCAAGTGCTCACCTCGCAAAACTTTGGCTCGCCCACGCTCTTTTATCTCATCCTTTCCGGCGGCCTGTGCAACCAGATTGAGCACCACCTCTTCCCCACCGTGAACATGTGTCATTACGCGGCGATACAGCCCATTGTGCAACGGCTGTGTCGCAAGTATGGCATCCGGTACACTAACTTCCCGGGTTACCGTGAAGCTTTTGCCTCTTACTTTCGTCATAATTCGGAGATGGCTTTCGGGTCGGTGCAATCTGAAACGATCGAAGGACGCCTTTTTTGATTAAAGGACACTATCTCAACAACGCATTGTACTGTATCACTTTGTTGCATTATAAAATTCATTTTTTGGCCGCATCTCGCCACCCTCATCTTCCGGAGGGTTTCTCTCCATCTGCTCTCCCGCCTCTTTGGGCGTGCGCGCAGTGGACACTGACATCTTGGCAGCCGAAGAGGTCACGGTTCATTTAAAGCTGAGTTCAGATCTGACAGCTCACCTAAGCCGCTGTCGAGCACGAGGCCAGAAAAGACTCCAGATCCGTGGACTTCTTTGGGCTGTTATTCGCGCATGTAACCAACCCTAAGTGTAAGTTATTTCGCGCGGAAGCCTGTTATTTCGCGCGCAAGGGCTGGCGTCGGCTAACGTTCCTTCCCATCGGCCAAGCTTCCCATCGGCCAGGCTTCCCATTGGCCAATGGGAACCCTTAGGGACGTGGCCTTCCCATTGGCCAGCCTTCCCAGATGGTGGAACCGCAGCCAGCGTGCGGCAGCAGCAGGAGCAGCGAGAGAGCGTTCCATCACGTGTGGGTCCGCATTGCGCAGGCTTAAATAAGTCTGATACCCTCCTGTGAATCAACCTGCTTCTCCGTCTGGCCATTCATCGTAAGACTGGCGTGAGATGCGTTTCGTCCTTGAAAGAGTGAAAGAGTGGATTGCGCGAAGGAATCTGGGAAGGACGCGCGTGTTTCGTATTGCTTCAGATGAAGGACGGGCGCGTCTGAGGTGGACCGGCGCTTTCGGACAAGGCCCTGCAACAGTTTGTGTGCACCATGGTATCGGGGAAGCTCCTCCTCGACCGACGAGCCATTTGTTGCGCTGAATAAATTGGGAGCTGCGACCGGAGCACATCCTATTCTTACTATGTACACTGATTCTACTCCAACTGGACCCCGCTGAATTGCCTACGAATAATTTACTCTATATCTATACGCACAACGACGTCTCCAAAGCACCTTTATCATTACTTCCGCTCCTTCCGCCTCTTCCATCCCTTCTTTGTGAACTGGTCCTTCTCCTCCTGGATGCCTAAGAACTTGCGCTTGAAATATGCTCGCGAGTCCGTGTCGGCCATCAATTCCTCCACGATGTTGTCCCGGCGTTCTTTGCGCGTCATTCGGCTGGAGTAGAATTCAGTGGGGCCTTGGATGATTGTTCCCATCTGAGATGGTATATGTTTAGCGAAAGTAGCTAGGGTCTTGAAGTGGTAGAGAAACAGAAGCTCTTACCTGGAAGAACTTTGGCGGGTTGTTCAGGGTGCCCTTCTTGTAATGCCGTTTTGGGTCCAGCACCGAACGGGATTTGAGAATATGAAGGTCGCGTTTGATCTCGTCCGTCAGTTCCGGCGCGGGCATGTCAAACCATTTCGGTCCAGAGGTCTCCCTTGTCATCTGGTGGAGCGCCCAAGAATAAGCATCCTCATACATCATTCGTTCTCAGACGACGAGAGGTTCATAACCTACCGCCTTCTTCTTCTTCGCATCCCAATCCAAAGCTGGTGGCAGGGTCTCCAGTGCTGCCTGAACCACCAGTTTCTCGGGCCCATTCTGCACCTTCTGCCTGCACAGCGCAACAGGGTCTTTCGGCTTTCCTGCGCTGTCCTTCTCCACTTCGGTTTCTATCACCACCGCCTTCTCCAAGTTGAGGCGGACAGGACCCCTTCGTTTATCATTGTTGTCGAGGTAGACAATATCTTTCCGCTGGATCCCTGGGTCGAGTTTGACGGTTTCTAAGGCGTTCTTTTCGTTTTCTATTTGGAGGGAGCTGCAAGTGGAATGAGGTCAACGGGTTCTTGTGTCCCTTTGTAAAACATCACTTGCGTGCTTACATGACGGCAGCCTGGCGCTCTTGAAGAGCACGGGTAGCCTTCTCCAGTAGAGAGTCGAGGTCGAGGTCAGCTGCGAGCGTCATGATGATGGGGAAGCTTGCTGGAAATGCTTCGTTGGTGAGCGTCGGAGAAGTTGCGAAGGGAGAAAGTGGGCATAAGAACCACATAAGAACGAGTGTTCAACATTTAACCCGCACGTGACCGATCTCGTTACCCGACAGTGAATATACAGTACAGTATGGGCAAAGAACAACTCTATTGGAACCCACAGTAAAAACAGCCACAGGCTGCCCCAAAACACCGACCCATTCACCGCCGAAGCGGGGTACAGCATAAGTTACTCTACGAGATTGTAAAGAACACAGAGTGGGAGGGTATGCGCAACGCGAGGACGCGGGGACCGGGACGTCTCATCATCAGCCCCCGTTCAGTCCCCGTGACTTCCTGTCCTCGCCAACAGCCCCATACCTTCCCACCACCACCCATCTAAAACAACAACCCCTGGTTACTATACCCCTGCCCTTGCTGCTGCTGCTGCTGCTGCTGCTGTCCCTGCCCCTGCCCAAAAAACCCCTGCTGTCCCTGCCCCTGTGGCCCCCCAAAAGCGGCAAACCCACCCACTGTCGGCGGCGCATAAACATTACTGTTACTATCCCTTCCAATAGCATTCAAGCTCGGCCCGGTATGCTCGGCGCGTTTGCCAACCCCGGAGAGGGCGTTCGGGTCTAGGGAGACGAGGGTTGAGAAGGGGTCTCCTGATGTGTTGGGGGTGCTGCTGTTATTTTTCGTGGGGGTTGGGAGGAAGTTGTTGTTGTTTTGGTTTGTGGTGGGGGAGAGGGATGAGAAGGCGTTGAAATTGGGGTGGGTGGCGGTGGAGGAGCCGAAGCCGCCGAGGAGGTCTAGGCCCGTTTGAGCCGGTTTTTGAGGGGTAGGGGCGGTTCCGAAGGCGGCGAAACCCTGTGAGGGGGCAGGGAAGGCTGCGAATCCCTGTTGTTGTTGTGTGTTGTTGTTGGTGGTGGGAAAGGCAGAAAGGGACGGGACGTTGTTGTTTGTAATCGTGCTGCTGAACGCGGCACCGGCGGGTTTCTGGGAGTTGACGATCGGAGCGGATTGGAAGTCTGCGAAATCGTCGTCGAGGGCCGCGGCGGTGGCGGTTGCCGGGCTTTTGTTTGTGGGGGCGGGTGCAGCAGTCCAATCGCTGTTCCCCATATCCAGCAAATCAACCACAGGGGCCGGTTTGGGTGCCGCGACGATGGGGGCAGGCGCGGCGGGCGCATCGTACTTTGAGGTATCCGAGTTCCTCCCCGAATCGCCTCTCTCGTCCTCGTCTCGGAACCCGCCGCGGCTATCATACGCGTCATCGCGGCCGTACCCTCCACCTCCATAGCTCGGCCCACCACCGCCTCCGGAGCCGCCGTAGCTGTCCGATCCAAACCCGCCATAGCGGCTACCCGACCCACCCCCACCCTCACCACCGGACCCGTAACTGTACGACGAGTTGGACGCCATCCCCGTGTATTTCTGTTTATTCTCCTTCGCCTTCTTCCGCTCGGATTTGATACGTTCGTTGTCGTTCAGCAATTCAAGGATCTCTTTGGCGCGGTGCCGGATGTTGATGCCTTGATCTTTGCCCTTTTCGTCGACAAAGTGAAAGTTGCGCAGGGCTTTGAGGTCGTAGACGCGTTCGCGCGCGGCGTCGATGACCCGCTCGGCGCCGTTCTTGATCAGGTAGTCGAGGAGTTGGAGGGACTATTGGGTGCGGGAGGGAGCGTTGGGATTTTCCTTTCTTTTGGGGTCATGAAGTTGACTCGGTCGACCAAAACCGTGGATATATACCTTGTAAATTTGCCTCCACTCGGATCCAGTCTTTTCCTGAAAGCGACTGTACATGGTGTCCATAATCTCGTTGAAATGCGTGCTACAAAATTCAGAGTGATAGGTCAGGAAGAGCAAATGGAGAACAAAATGTTCGCAGACCAGGGCACGACGAGGGATGGATTGAGCATTCTTGCGCCGCGAAGGAGGTTTTCGTGGCCCTCTGCTATCCATCACACCCACCCCATCCCTCCATCCCTATGTCAACATCCCAAGAGCCGTTAATTGAACATTACTCACTAATGATGCGTTCCAGCAGCAATCTCCTGCATCAGCGTGGAACTAGCACCCCCTAAGAAACACAACAACAATACGCGAAAAGTCAGTTGACAGCCCGTCCCTCCCAAAACTCCCGCATCAAACGCAACCCCTCCAGATTTTCATCACACATACAAGGCTCATTATTAGTCGCATCCCTGACTTTAATCTCAAACTCCGTGTAGTTGTAGACGGCGTTCTTGACTTTATTCACCATGGACGTGATTTTGTACACGTCCACGTAGTTTTTCAGTTTGTCGATGTCCATCCTTTGGAAATTTCGTCGGGTATGTGGTGGGAGATGATGGTGTGGTACGGCGGGATGCTGCGCTAGTGGTTATCGTGGTTCTCCTTTTATGGGAGATGATGGAGTTTCGGTGGGAATTTGCAAGCGGCGATGACGCAGACGTTAACGGTGACCGGGTTGACGGGTGGGTGCTGGAGAGCACAGCTAGCGAAGACGGCAGCAAGCACGACGACAGCGAATAGCACCGAGTGGGAGTGGCAGTGGGTGTAAAAGAGCTGATAGGAGCGTCTGTGGAGATGGAAGATGGCGGCGGCCGAACTCCTTCGCTTCGCGTGCGGGAGGCGGTTCTTCTCTCACTCCCCCTTTTCAGCCCTTTTCCCACGAGAAAGGACAGAAAGTATTCAACCAATTCTTGTTCACAGACACCGTATTGCCAGCCCGACATCTGCAGATGGACTTCACGGCGACAAAAGAATCAGCGCCGTACCGCAAGGAGACTTGTCATTTGGAGACGTCGAGGATAAAATGGTCGCCTTCGTCCGGAGGTTTGGTGGCCTTGTCCGCTATTAGCAAACTGAGCCCACCGACGATCATGAACGCACCATAGCACGTCTGCCGCAGGGGTAAGTTCCTCGAGTGTGTCCCTCCCGACCGATGGTTTCCTCCCTCGAAACTCAAATAAACCCGATTCTCTGACGCCATTCTGGTGTTTGATTACAAGTTGCCATCATCGGCGACGCCTAAGGCAGAGGTACAATGATGTGGAAGGAATCCGCAACGGTGTCACCCTTCAGGAAGTGGAAGTCAGGTCAGGTCAATGCGACCTCTGATGTAGGCAGGAATGCCCACGCTCCGTGTCATCGATATCTATGATCCATCTATGATCCATATGTTGCAAACTAGAATACGTACAGTACACCGGAGGGTCATCAGAGCTACTAAGCAATCAATGCGAGCGAACGCTGCGAAAAAAGAAGCCACTAAATACCGCACACACAATAGATCCCATCCAAGCTATCTACCCCAACTCCACAAGGTACGCCAACCTCACACACCCTCATAGCCCCTACTTGCAGCCCCCCTCATGACCTCCACCGGCGGCCTCCGTCCCGTCCACCTCCCAACTGCGGTGTTTGATTATGGCGGAAATCCAAGGCGGGCTTGAGTCTATCAATAGTGTTCTCCGGGTAGGTCAATGTCTTCCTGCTCTTCCCGCTGTTAGCGGCGTTTGCAGACTAATCAACACGCCTGTTCATTCAACAGGCTTTCGGTTCCTTGACCGGAATCGTTTGTAGCAGGGGAATACATTACCTGTCGCATAGTGTTTACCGGGACGTCGAATGATTTCCTCGCCGATACATCGTTCGGCTTAACCCCACAGACGTTGAATAAGATCGAAATTGTGGGTCCGCTGCCAGTTGGGCCGCGAGAACTAATCGAACTCCTTGACTCTGTGATTGAAGAAACCACCAACCCCAAGAGATTCTTCTGCCATGGGCGATGACCAGGGGAATGCTACGTTGCATTTACAAAGTCATGACTGCCGTAAGCTCATTCACCAGCGGGTATGTGATCGGCTTGTTCTCCTCCCAACATTTTCTAGAGTGGAATTCAAATTCAGCCGCCCTTCAATGATCTCGTTCTGGAAGACGATGTCAGAGGGGATGTTCGGGGCCTCTCGAGGAGAAGAATGGGAGCCTTTGAAAAAGATCTGGATCGAAACCCGAAGGCTACCTGCAGATGTCGTCTAAATAATCCACAAAGGATTGCATGTTTCGACGAGATCTGCAGCCGACGGCGCGATGCAGTCTTCACTCGCAAAGGTTTGCTTAGCCCTCTCAATGAGCAAATCACACCGGTCACGGCATCAGGGACCCGGGCAAATCGAGGTGAGTCGCGATCCCGAAGATGTTCGAGTCCCCCACCCCCGAAAAGCTTTCCATCCACTGTCCGCGGATGCGTGTCAGCGGTGACGTATGCATTGACACATTGCCCTCCGTCAGCAAGTGAGATGCGCCTCGACCTGCTGTTCGGTATGACGACGCCCACCCGCAAAGTCGAAGAGTTCAATTGCAAAGAGCCGTTCTTGCATTTGGCATTTGATGCCGGTCGCCACTTGAATGTCCTCTATCTGCCGCTTGAATCCGTAATGGCCTGCAAGGTATGCATACTCCAGTAGCTGGGTCTCGGTCCCGTCACATGTCCTCGGTGGTCCTGGCTGAACGTAAGCCGCGAGTGCTACTGCATTGTCTAATCGTCTATCAACTTCGCAGAACCGACATGACTTGTTCCCGCCTGTGCCGATGTGACACCCGATGTTCGAACTCGAGAAAGAGGACGGGGCATCTGACAACAATCTCCTCGTTGGTGGAATCTCGACATACGACGCCGCGCTCAAGGACTTCGCGTTGGTCGGCAATTACATGCCCCATGTCGATGCCTTTCAGCGTGTTGGATGTGCAGATGAAATGCCAGAGGATGAGCGGGCAAACAACAACCCTTCGGTCGATGGCCCAAGCGCGGATAGATGGCGGTTCCAATTGCTTTGCGAGGGCGGGCCGATCGGCGGCGGTGCCGTTGGGGTGAATCCATCCGACAATTGGTGTCAGAATCTCCCAACCTTTAGTTGTGCACACTAGAAGTTTCCGACATGAAACCCCAAAGTTTTCTGATATAAAACAGAACTACATATACAAAGATTGCAAGAAATGATGAAGAGAGTAGGCAGACCGAGATCTACGGTATGTGCAAACGGCAGAAAATAATGAGGGATAATGCTACACGGAAACGGACACTAGGAGAAGGATTGATACAACCCCAAATGATCCGAGATGTTCGGGCCACGTTTTGCCCTCTACCAAAAAAAAGAGTGATGTTTTTGCATTGAATCAACGTGAGCCTCTGACCTCGCCCACACGTCCTCATGCAAGTCGTCTCAATGTCAAAAAGACTCCGGCGGAATGGTTGACGGAATGGTTGTCTCTGGGTAATGCGTTGGTACCACACCACACCATACCAGCCTACGGCGGTAGCGTAGCTTTCCAATGAACGGCCACCGCTTAGTTCAATGAGATGGACACCAACCTCCAGCCACTGCTGTGTTCTCTTCGTTGTCTCGTTCTTTGTCATCTCGTTTCCGCTTGTTCATGGCTAGCGTAGGAAACAATGAGGTGATGGCACCATGATACCCAGTTCAAGTTGGTCATAAAGCTTACCCTTAGATTTTCCTCTTTGTATTGACGACGCAATGCTCCACCCTTGTCGGGGATGCCTCCTTCTCCTTCTCCGAAAGAGAGCGCGGGCGACAGAGCGAACCCCGACCCTGGCCCCGACCCCTGCTAACCACCCACTCCGTTGTACAGCTATGTGCATGCATCATCGATGAAGGCCAAGGATTGTCCTGGGTTGAGATCACCCTCTTGCAGTGAGCACTTCTGCAGGAGTTTATATTTGAAGAATTTAGAAATCCATCAGCATCAACCTCCGCAAGCGCATGACGCTGCTCAGAGAGACAGCCCTTCTGCCCTTGGGGTCTTTGCTTTGAACAACGCGTCCCTTTTCACGCCGAACATGCTCTGCCGAGCACCTCTAACATTGAACACCCACCACATTGCAGGAGAAGCGCAGACAACATACCAACATATACACCCCTTCAGATAGCAAGCAAACGGCAGAGCACCGGCATGATCAGCGACGCCACCAACAGAATGACGAACACCACGCGTCCCTCACCCTCACCCGTCAACAACGCCCTGCAAACCCCCTCCCGCTCCCTCCGCGCCCGTATTACCCGCGTCGACTACAGCAACTCCGGCACGGGCAAGTCCGCTAGGCGGCGCGGGACAAGTAGCAGGGCCTCGAGTGTCTTTACGGATGTTGGGGAGGGGAATGAGGGGAATGAGGAGAACGTTAATGTCGGGAGTCCAATGCCTGGTATGTGTGGGTGTGATCTTGATAACGGGGGAAAGAAGAGGGATATTGATTGGGGCTTTTGGAATGGCAGTCAAGACACCGGTGACACCGGCGTTCCGAAAGGCGGGATCGACGGGGAGTAACCACACAGCGTTCAGGTTTGACCCTGCGGACGATATATTCAGCAATATCGAGGTGTCGGCTGAGGATACCATCATAGGTGCGTTCCGGGCATAGCCATCACTGCTGCAGTTGGGGGGTACATAGATCTGATGTGTTTTCTCTTCACACGCATACAGAACAACCGCACCCGCTAACAACCCTCTTCGACGGCTTCGCAAGCATCCTGGGACTCCTGTGGAGAATAGCGCTTCTGCCCTGGAAATGGATGTACAAACGTCGCGCGGCGCTGAAACTCATCGTCGTCTTCCTCATCGTTTCCACACTGTTTTATTTCCTAAGGGAGTATCAGCCGTCGAGGGGGGAGAGGCATTATGTTCGGGTGCCGGTGGTTGATACGAAGCCATCGCTGCCGCTGCCGCTGCCGCCAAGGGAGCAGGTTTTGGATCAGGAGTGGGAGAGGGTTGGGCAGGAGTATCAGAGGTTGAGTGGTGGGATTGAGCGCGTGCAGGGGAGCGTTGAGGTGTTGGAGACAAGGGTTCAGGAGATGGAAACGCGGCATGATGGGTTGGAGAAGAATGTTCAAGGTCTGGAAACGAAGCATGATGGGCTGAAGACACAGCATGAGGGGCTTGCCACGGTTGTCGCGGATCAGAAACGCATTATTGAGAACGTTGTGGATAATGTGCGGGCTGTGGAGCGAAAACAGGCGGAGCACGATCAGAGATGGGATGAGATTCGGCAGGCGCGGGATGAGGACCAGGACCGCGTGCGGAGGGAGTTGGAGGCTGCAGAGGAGAAGCGAGCAGAACTTGCGACTCAGGTTGACGACCATGGAATGAAGCTGTCGTCTGTGGAGACCAACGCAAACCGCTTAGAGACCAAGATCGACTCTGTGCGGGACGAGTGGCGAGAAGAGCTAACCGCGACCGAGAGAACCATCAACACAAAAATCGACCACGACATCCTCTACCTCCGCGACGACTACACCCGCCTCGCGCAACGAGTCTCCGACCTCGCAGAAGTCATCGATAAAGCTGCTAGCAACCCACGCCGCCACAGCGAAGACCTCCTCCCACCGGACTACGCGCTGGGAAGCGGCGGGGGTAGGATTATACCGAAGTTGACATCCATGACGTACTCGGTGGGCTTTGGGACGCCGTTTTTGGATTTGGTCGGGTTTAAGAGGAAGCCAGGGAAGGATCCGATGATGTTGTTGCAGCCGGAGACGCAGCCGGGGAATTGTTGGCCTATGAAAGGTGAGGAGAATATGCTCTCTGGAGTGGGAATAGATCATTCTCTCTCGGTCGGGTGTGATTAATTGTCTGGCATCCCTCACTGATAAGTTTCGGTTCCGCTCATAGGCAGCATCGGTCAATTCGGAATCCAACTCATCCGTCCCATCATCCCCACCGCCCTCACTATCGAACACGCGCCCAAAGAATCCTGGACCTCTCACGAATCCATCTCCGCCCTCCGGCATTTCGAACTGTACGCCATCTACAACCCCTCCAGCACCTTCCAAACCGCCGCAGCCGCCAACGCAACAAACACCGATATCGACACCAACGCCACCACCCCACCGCCGCGCCTACACCTCCTCACCGCGGAATTCAACCCGCATGTTTCTGCGACGGCCACGTTTGCGGTTCCGGGGACGGTGGTTGAGGCCTTAAAGGGGGTTTTGGAGAGGACGGGTGTGGCCGTGCCGGCGGTGATGGTGAAAGTGAAGGGGAACTGGGGACATGAGGAGTGGACTTGTGTTTATCGGGTCAGGGTGCATGGTGAGCCGGTGGGAGGTAGGGGGTTGGAGAAGGCGAAGGAGGAGGAGGGAGCGGTTGGGGACGTGCTGCGGGATGGAAGTGCGGATGTTGGAGCCGGGGTTTGAAGCGGTGGCTGGCTGTTACATGAGCCGGCGCAGGGACGAGTTCGCCGATGCTTATGGATTGTGGGACGCCGCCACCTTTGCTAGTTGCGAGGAAAGACGAGCTGCGCGCGTACACCGCACCTACCTTCACCGTTCACCGTTAACGACGCCGACAACGACAGACAAACTTCGAGAACGCGTCGGAAACCTGACATGCACACAGACGCACATCAGAGGCCCAACACACCCTGAAATTCAAATATTGATGCCGGGATGGAAACATTTTTTGATGGGATTGCTGCAGTGCGATAGGGATCAGAAGGCATGGAAAAATGCAAAAGCAATATCAATAGAGCTTGCGCAACATGTATAATCATATCCTGTGGTGGGAACTGGGTCACTTCACAGCCAGCGAAACTGTCAAACGCATTGCAAGGGTGCTTATCCAATCGCGGCGCTTTTCGCAAAGTAGCCCCAAGTCTTCCTTTGGAATCACAATAACCTCGACTCCTGAGACAACCTAGACTCCACTCTTGCGAGGTCCGAGTGGTACGCGTTCGACCGTTTCATCAGCATGTCAGACTTACAGCACTTCGGCGTGGATCTCTGCAGATGACTTCATCGTTTCGTTGGTCGATACTGGAAATACGGGAACATTGGTGGACAAGTGCAGGATTTCACCTATAGGCTGAGTGGAACTTAACCCTTCAAGAAGACGCTATTCCGAGCCACGTTACCCTAACCTAACCCTAACCCTAACCCCACCTACAGTAGTTCGCGCGAAGGCTGTAACCCTAACCCTAAGTTATTGCTGGCTGCGGTGCTTAAACATGACGCACGGCCCCCCTGCTTGGGTTGCACACATTATCGTGTTCAGTACACAAGGCAGGCACGCATTTTGCGTACTGTGAATACGTTTGACGGCGTGCGAGACAGGGCGACGACGACGAGGACGCTCCTCTCCGTGTGCTGGTGTGCGGTGCTGAGAGCAAGAAAAAAAAAGCAGAGACAGCGAGAGTCTGTAGGAGTCTCCTCCTTCCTTGCGTTGCGTACTGACAGTCATCGAGGCTCACGTCACGGAAAACGTCGCCAAGAACTGTGCCATACCGACTCCCAGCAAAACCCAATAAACCACCGGGAAGATGCTGGGCACATCAGCTCCGTCCTCCTCCTATCTGCGCCGAGCATCGCCTCCTCGCATGGACGAGCGCTCCGGCAGCGCAACAAGCTCTCGAACAGTCGGCAGTGGGGACAGATCACAATCACAATTAACCGTTCGAGTGCAATTATTCCCACATTCGGACCGGCCCCACCAACCCACAGGCCCCTTTGGCCGTTCGCTCCTGCACAGCTACACTGCCTTCTCGTTCTCGCCCGTCGAAAAGGACCTCGTCCCGGGAAGCATCGTGCGGATAGGTCGGAAGGTCGACCGCCATTCCAGCAGCGTGGGAGAAAATTCCTTATCGCAGTCCCTGACCAGACAAAAGACTCGCCGAGGTGACAGGGCCCATAATGTCGCTAACGGGGTTGAGGAGATGGAGTTTGCCGTCGATAACCCGTCCGTTGCGCAATATCTCGACGAGATGATGATGGATGAGGAGGAGGCACAGCCTGGCGAAGACAGGAATACCCGCGGCGGCCACCGGACCAAATCGAAGAGCAGGGAATCGTCCGTGCCGTCCCGCTCGGGTGTCTCGCGCACAAAGACGATCAAGCGGAAGGCGGAATTCGTTGCGTTTCGATCCAAGGTCGTGTCCCGAACGCATGCGGAGATGTGGGTGGGAAAGGACGGAAAGCTGTACTTTCGCGGTGAGTGAGATTTCTTTCGAGAGTCTGTTAGTATGTGTTAGTGGGCGATACAGTCATCCTCATGACACCATTCTCCGACTTTCCCACCGGCATCTAGACATTGGGTCGTCGTCCGGCACGTTTCTGAACCGGCTGCGGCTCAGCAATAGCGGGAGTGAGTCGTCTCCATATGTGCTGAAGAACGGGGATGTTGTGCAATTGGGCGTTGACTATCAAGGTCGCGCTGAGGAGATCTACAAGTGTGTGATGTTCAAGATATTCATCACTGTGAAGGCTGGACCGCCGAAGATTGTTGATCCACGAAGGTATGTTGGGGACTGTATGAGCGCTGCCAGCGTTTTTCTTTACAGTTGGCGGATGTCCGTACGCATACTCATACGTCCTCTCTCTGATATTCGAACAACAGACTCAAAGGCGCATTGGAGAACCTAATAACTGCAATGAACCCCTCCGCAAGTTCATCCGATATACCCACCTCCGAATGCTGCATCTGCCTCAACAACCTCTCCCCACTCCAATCCCTTTTCCTCGCACCCTGCTCCCACTGCTTCCACTACAAATGCGTCACGCCCCTTCTCGGCTCCGGCGGCATGTTCCTTTGCCCCATGTGCAGACAAGTCGCCAATCTCGACGCAAACGTCGCCGACGAGGAAAATGCTTGGATGGCGCTGAGCGGTGGTGGTGGAGATACCCACGCTGGCACTACTATCGAGGAAATCGAAGCGGCGAGTGGCAGAGTTTTGAAAAAAGATGTGGATGAGAATGTGAAGCGGATCTTGCAGGAGGCTGAGTGTCCCATTGCGAGAGTCACTGCGCATGACCTGGACGCACTGGCAGACGACGCCGACGCTGCCGAACCCGAATCGCCTGCCATCAAGGAGGAGATGCCACACGTCAAATTCACAGCCCCGCCGCGGAAAAGCTCGTTCATACCCCCCGTGCCCATGGACATCGACACCGACTCCGCCGCCGCAATCCTGGTCCCGGAACTCATCGCTCCCCCCGCAGAACATCCTAGCAATGCCGAAAATCAACAAGCAGACGAACCCCTACTGCTAGACGACTCGACCTTCCCCGGCCCCCGACGCCTCTCCTGGAGCACGACTCTCGTCCGACCGACGCGCGAACCGCAACCCGATAACAGCAACACCGATACCCCCGCCATGGAAATCGACACCCCAGCTTCAGCCCCATCATCATCCCCCGCACTCCTCCCGCCCTCCACATCAACAACAAACCTCCACCGCAACAAAACCCAAGTCAACCCGCGTCGCGGCGGCCCCAGTCGACGAAACACTAACGACAGCCTTACCAAAACCTCGGTGCCCGCGGTGCCAACATCGGCACGAGGAGGAGCGGTGAATATGCCGTTGAGGGAGGGGGATGAGGATGAGAACTCGCGCTTGAGGGCTCTGCTTGCAAGCTTGTTGCCGGACCTTGGTGAGAGTGTGAGGGAGAGGGTTTTGAGGGATTTACCGGAGCTTGGGAGTGGGTGATGCGTGTTTTCGTTGGGTAGGCTTGCCTTACGCCAGTGTCTATCTTTGGTTTCCCTTTTTCTCGCCTGTCTTTTCGGCTCTGTACGACTAATGCTCCTTCACACCTGTACATGTACACCTCTTCGTCCTCCTCCTTCTGGTCTTCTTCGTTTTCTCTCCTCTCTTTGGCGCGGCGTTGTCTACCCACCCGCGTTGTATGTACGGTATCCCTTTCCCTCTTCTAATGTTCCCACCATTGAGGTGGTTTTGTATATGGTTGTAGGTTTTCGAACATGCCTGGTTTCTCCTCCACTTCTCTCACTGTATTTTTTAGCCTCCAGATACCTCGTTGTCGTTTATAATGTTCTGTGTTTTCGTCTCGATGTATGTATGTACGTATGTATGCATACAAGAATAAGTACACGACGCTCTCGCGCCCTGTGGATTGTTTTTAGAAAAAAAGGTATAGAAAATGGGGGTACCGTCGCTGGTCTTATATAACCCTAACCCGCACAACTTGGAGCTTGCGTCTCTCGGCCCAACAGTGTGCGGAGTTGCAGATTCAAAATAGCTTTACGGGTAGAGATTTCCGAGGTTTCATCGTACAGGGCAGATATGACGGCGTACGATGACAGGCAGCCTATGTCCGATCTCGTGCAGAAGGTCGCCTAGCTATCATGTAGATGGTGTTGTTTCCATGTTCATCGGCCTCTCAACCCGCCTTCTCAATCTCACTACCCACAAGACGACGGCAAAAGCCATCTCAACCCGCCTCTTCGCCCGTTCTCTCCGCGCCCAAAACGCTTTCACAACGTACGGTCCAATATGCTCCTCTGGCTCCCATGTGTTCTGGTCATGCCCGTACCCATCCCACTTGATCAGATACTCCTTGTCAACCTTCGGACCGGCGAGGTCTCCCGGGTGCATCGGCTCGTCATCCACATCATCTGATGCCTGCCGTACGGCGAGGATACGTTCAACGACCCAGAGATCCTCATCCACTGCTTTCTTTTTCAATTTCTTGTGTTTGGCCCGTCCTTTCTGCTCCTGTTGCCCTAGCCGTTTGGACACATAGGCGTATTCTTGGTTATGAAGGTACGGCGGTTCGATGGTGGCCATTTTTGCTAGTTTCGCGGCTTTCTGCTGCTGTTTCGGTTTCATTGAAGGGGTAATACTCAAATCGAGACCTCTCGCTGCAAGACCGGACAAAAAAGCTTTGTATGTACCTTTGTATAGTTGTCGGCCGCTTGCGAGTTGCTAGAAGACGCCTTATTTGCAGCTGCCCCGCTCACAGCGGTGGGCGGAACAGATACCATATTGTCGTTCCTGATATCTATCGATGTAAGACTTGCCGGGCGAGCCCGCTTGAAAGTAGGCTCACTCGGCTCCGTGGCCTGAAGTGGCCGCCCAGGGCCCGTCAGATTCTTACTATTACGAATGCCCGGTTGTGGAAGTGCTGCTACACCCTTTTTTTTTTCTGCGACGTCTTCGTAGGCAAGGGCTTTCGTTTTGCAACTGTGTTCACGGGGTAGCTCGATGGCGCCGTCGTGCTCACATCTGTGACATTGCGTCGGTCTGCAAGGAACTCCGACAATGTCCTCTTGATCCCTCCTTCCGGTGGGATAATCGGTGTTTGCGTCTGCGAGGCATGATCAACCGCACTGTCTGGTGCTACAACTCGCACCATTGGTGGGGCATTCGGTGTTTCAGTCTGCAAAATCGGTGTTTGTGTCTGCAAAGCCTGCCCAACTCCCACAACTTCTGCTCCTGGCCCCACCGCTGGGGCTGACGGTATTGGAGTCTGCAAGGCCTGCCCATCCCCAACGTCTGACTCTACAATTCCCACCATTGGGAAGGCTACCCCTGCTGCAGGGACCATCTGGCCCACCCCCTGGGGAGCGGGCGGTGGCAGATCGGTTGCCCATATTCGGGATATCTGCTCCATAGCCGTTCCGGGCGGGACCGCTGTGAGTTGCCCGTGGCCTGATAGGTCGATGGGCATATACATTTTAGCAGTGTTGGGGGCCTCTTTTGGCTTCGTTCAGCTCTGCCGAATATGGTGAGGTAGAGTGTGGTCAACGTCACCGAGGACTCCCTTCTTTCTCGTAGAGAAAAGGGGTGGGGAACAAGCGTCAAGCAGTGAACCTAATACAAAGCCCCGGAAATGGCACTCCAAGTGGGCCGCGGATCGACTGACTCGGTGTGGAACTTGGATGAATCCTCAATGGAGATTGGCAAGCGAGACGTGAATTGGCAGGGGTCGGAGTATGCCTGCTGTATCTCCAAACGTGCTCTGTTCTTTTGAGGCATCTGGGAACTTGTGGGGAGGCTGGCCGACGGGAAGGACCGTTAGGAGCGTTTAGGCCGCAGGGGGCTTGGGGTTAGGGTTAGCCTGGCGCGCAAAACGTACTGGAGACGTACTGTCTGCTCTGGACGAGGAACGCACTCCTCTAGAGGCTATGGACGAGGAGGAGGTTGCTTAGTATCCCACCTCATCACCCACCGCACTAAGCACCTCCTCCGACGCCGCATTCGCCGCATACACCGGTCTGTTCATCAACATCGCCTTCTACGGCTCGATCAACACATATTTTATGGGTTTACGGGTTTCCCTGGACATTAGGTCCTAAATGCGCTCTGCGCTCCCGATAGCTAGTCCATCTTCTTCGAGCCATCCCATCCCTCCCTACCGTAGCCTTCAGGCATAGCACTCGATCGCTCAAAAGAGATAAGGGGACAAGGAAAGGGAAGCTAGGGTTATCTGTTGTTTATACACTCGAGAAGGAAAAATAGAGAAGCTTACTAAGCAACCTCCGAACGGAGTCCATTATGTCGGCGCTGAGATGCGCTAGCCTCGTGACGATAGCCTTCGACTTGGTAAACACACTCAGTCAGTCTCCGCAAAGCTCTGCCAACAGGTGTCCCGATTGTTTTGTGACTGCATGACGGCAAACGTTGGGGTTCAAGATACGACAGAGGTCCTCTGCACCCCTACTGCACACTGTTTACAATACCGGTGGCACTTTGATATTCAACTATTCGTTCGACACTTTCAAAGTTTTGAACTCTTCTGAAGCGATACTTTTCTGCGTTCGGATTTCGCAAGTTATATTTGTCTTGATTACATCGAAAACGAGCCACCTTTATCAAACGGAACTAATTTGAGAGCTGATGGGTGAACAAAAGACTGGCGGGGTTAACGGGGCGGCTGCTGCAGCCGGGAAGCTGAATGTGAATATGGGAGCGGTGATGGGCAGTTTTTGCACGTCGCAGGCATATCTTTCTAGTGAGCACGGAATCCCCTTTTCTTTCCGCCTCCTCATCCCGAACTTGGATCTCATGCAGTCTCCTGTTATCCAGCTCGAGATCGTTCGCTGCTCAAGTTCCTAATCAACACAAATGCCAACCCCGTCGTGGTGTTGATGCCCCATCGCCTTGCCATCAGCGACGCCACCACCGCCCTCGCCTGCTCACCAGCACCGACACCAACCCAACGCAAAGCAGTTCACGCCGACCAGCTCCTAATTTCCGACTCCAACCCGCAAGCTGCAGCCCTCTTCGGCTATGAAGAAGACGAACTCGAAGCCCTCGGTCCGGGCGTGCTCGCACACATCCTCGGCACAGCAACAACATCAACCACATCAACAACGGACAGCGCAGTCGCCTGGCTCCTCGCCCGCTTCAACGACATCCTCGCCTCCACCCTCCACCGCGCCGAAACCATCCGCGTGCCCCCAGGAACAACACACATAGCATGCCGCCGCAAAGACGGGTCGGCCTTCACAGCCGCCGTCGAGGCCCACGCGTTGGAATACATCTACCCCGCTCCTGCCGAGGGAGGCGAGTCAACGTGCCGCCCGGGCATGATGCTCGTGTTCCATTATACACCGCCTGAAACGATCGTGACCCTCTCCCCGCCGTCGCGGCCGCTGAGCGCATCGTCGTCGTGTGAGGACGGGATGATAACGGCCCGCACGCTGTCGAGAGTGTCGAGCGCTAGCAGTTTCTGTGAGCTGCCGAAGAATAGGGGCCCGAGGGAGTTGAGGGCGCGGTTCAAGGGGATGTTTGAGGGCGCATGCTCGGCGATTGGGAAGGGGTTTTTTGATATTGCATTGCAGAATCTAGGCGCTTGGTGTGTATGATCGTTTGCCATCTCCTTCTCGGATAAAGTGCGGCCATTGCCCAAAATGTAGGGCCACTACCCTAATCACTCAGTTCCCCCATCTGAAAACAGGTCAAACTTCGAATACGCCTTCATAGCCGCCGCCATCCCCTCCGGCGGCGTCGACGCAGACGGACACCACAAAATGCTCCGCGTCATGTCCTTCTGGTAGAGCCCCATCCCCTCCTCAAATCTCTCCCCTCACATCATCTAACTCCCCCCGCCCTTCACCCGCACACAGGGACCGCAAAACCGGCGTCAACCCCGCCTTCGCCTCCGTCCCCTACGCCTCCCACGGCAGCCCCTGCTACCTCACCTTCAAATCCCCCACCGTGCACATCCCCACCGCCCTCTCCTCCCTCTACCCCGACTTCCCCTTCTTCCAGCTCCTCTCCCCGCCGCCAAAAGTCTACATCGCCCTCGCGATCAACGACACGGAGACGGGCGGCTTCATCGGGAACATCGGCCTCATGGATGTGCGGGATCCCGATGAGGCGGTCGACGGGGAGGAGTTGGAGTATATCAAGTTGGGCATGCGGGTGTTTGCGGAACGCGTGGGCGCGGAGCTGAAGAGGGGGTTGATGGAGGATGGGTTGCGGGAGGCGAGGGAACAGGCGGATCTGGCGAGCAGGGAGAAGACGCAGTTTTTGAATCATATGAGCCATGAGATTCGCACGCCGATGAATGCTTGTTTAGGTCAGTCACTGTGTCCCCTGTGAAAACTACACCCCCTTGCGTCGTCACAATCAACCGACCCCCCTTTTTCTTGTTTTGGTGGGGGCCCCGCAGGCATGTCGGAACTGCTACTGGACACGCACCCCCTCACACCCACCCAACTTGACTACATCACGACCATCCACACCGCAGGCCAACACCTCCTCCGCGTCATCAACAACACTCTCGACCTCAGCAAAATCGAGGCCGGGTGTTTCACACTCGCCCACCAATCCTTAAACCTGCCCGCCCTCCTCAACGACGCGGCGAACCTCGTGCGGCCTCTGCCAGCACGACTGACGGGTGATGCAGAACAGGTGGATGTGAACTGGGCGATTGCGGAGGATGTGCCGCACTGGGTGATGGGCGATGAGACGCGGGTGAAGCAGATTGTGGTGAATTTGGTGGGGAATGCGGTTAAGTTTTGTGGCGGGGGTGGGAGGGTGGAGGTGGGTGTTGCTGTTGAGAAAGGTGGCATACCGATGTCGGATGGGGACGGAGGTGGAGGTGGAGGTGGAGGTGTATCGCCCTTGGTTGTCAAGTTTAGCGTGAAGGATACCGGATGCGGTAGGTAGTGGGGATATCATCCCCCTGTGTGTATCCTCAGAGAGTCCGCCCCCCGCGCTTACTTTCCGATTGATTTCCGCGCCAGGTATACCCACCCACCAAATCCCCGCCCTATTCCGCCCCTTCACCCAGCTCGCCGCCACCGCCCACCTCAACCACCGCGGCTCCGGCCTCGGCCTCGCCATCGCGCAGCATCTCGTGCTCCTCATGCACGGGCGGATCTGGGTCGAGAGCAGCATCGTGGGTGGGGGGACGACGATCTGTTTCAGCGTGCCGTTCGCCCCTGCGCACGGGGGTGGTGGTCTGTCAAATACACCGGCGGGGTCGATGACCACCTCACATGAGCAGGGGTACATGCACACCACCCGCAGCGTGTTCCTGGAATCCAATCCCACAAACGCGCCACCCCTCACACCCCCCGCCGACTCGCCAAGCGAACAACCGTACCACCGCCACTGGGACCCGCACCTCTCCACCCGCCTCCCGTTCCGGATCCTGGTCGCGGAAGACAACCCCGTGAACGCGCGCATGGTGTTGAGCATGTTTGCGAAATTGGGGTACGGCGATGTGGCGTGGGTGAGGGATGGCGAGGAGATGGTTAGGGTTGTTGCGGGCAGGTATATGCAACAGGGGCCGGATCTGCCGTTTGAGGTGGTGTTTACGGATTTGCAGATGCCTGTGTGAGTAAAATCATGCGTTACCATACACACCATCCCCATCTTTCCATCTCTCACGCTTTCTGAATTCTATTTTATTTTGGCACACCCACCGACTAAACCTCTTGTTTTTTGTTCTAGAATGGACGGCTTCAAAGCCACTGAAACCCTCCTGGCCTTCTTCACCACCCTGCATGACTCAATACAACAACAACAACAACAACAACAACACCCGACAATCATCCCACAAATAATAGGTCTCTCCGCCAACGCATCCACCGAATCCCGCGCGCGCTGTCTGGAATGCGGGATGCGCGATTACGTGACCAAGCCCGTGGGGATTAGAGATTTGCAGGACGCGCTGGGGCGGTGTTGGGAGAGGGGCGCGCGCGTGAACGGGGAGGAGCCGTCAAGCGCGCGGATGCGGTGATGGACGGGGTGTGAGTGGGGCGTGAATGGGAGTCGGGCCGACGTGGACTTTTTGGATACCTGGGACCTGTATATACCCCTTCACGAGTGGGTTTTGCACCGTTGTTCAATATGTAAAGTTTTTGTTTGTAGGTTAGGGTGAGAGGTTTCGCGACTTGATCTTTTTGTGTTTTTTTTGGTGGGAGGGGGGGGGAAGGGGGGGGGTTGGCCAGCTCCGTATGTTGGACATAATCGAATACGTTCCTTATTTTGCCGTGGCGCATATATCTTGGGTGTGGGGTGATAGCGGGGGGAGGAGGGGGTGTGCGATGGGTGCGAACTGGCCCTTTGCGGGTTCCATCGATTCTGAAACGAATACGTCGGTGTGCGGAGACTATGGTGCACACCAAGCCGCCTTCTCCCAACTGCTACAGCAACAAATGCAGGGATATGTATGTATATATTTCCACACCCCGTTCACCAACGAGCGTGTGCCATGTGGCTCACTCAAATTGCAGGCCGTGCGTTGCACCGTATGGGTAAGCAACCCCTTCCATGTGTTCGAGACCAGCTGTGCTGCTTTGCCCACTTGAGTTTGTGGAGAGGCGAAAGGGGAGTGTTTCACGGGTTTCTTCTTGGCTTTGGCATCGAGGTTGTGTTGTCTGCCCTGCCGGCTTTCTTTCTTTTCACGGAACGATCAGAAGGACGCGGACGTTCGAACGAGTTGTCGGACGACGCGTCGAGGTGCTGCTTATGTAAGCTGTTCGCACGCGTCGAGTGTGAGACGTCCTCTGTTGGCGATGGGGTCCACACCACGGGAATGCATGCTGATTTCACATCAAAGGCCCCCTGGCTAGATTTTATCGCACTCCGGATTCGTCCCGTCCTTCCGCGACCCCCGCCGGAACTTGCTTGGAATAAGTGCGCGAAATGAAGGGGGAAGGGGGGGGGGGTTGTTCCGACCCCGATCATTAAGCGCAGAGGAGAACGCAAATACGAGACGAACACTCGTGTGCCTTCCAGTGCATTTTCCCCCGCAGAGCAAGTATGAAAATATATTCCCAACAACGAAGCCATCTTGTTTTGTCGTGTAGTTGTCAAGAACAACGACGGCAGGATGCGCAACAGCGACAAGGAAGAGACAAGTAGAGCTGTAATTTGTCATGTAGTCATCCAATGAACCTCATGTGAGCCCAAAACATGCTCAAGCATAAGGCTAGAAGTTTCACCCGCCCCTCAAGCATCGCCTTGAGTGTCTGTGAATGGCGAACCAGCTCCTCGTCCCATTTCGCGTGGTGGTTGATGGAGAGATGAAGGTGACGAAGCTGATGTTGCCAAGGAAGCCCGTCGTAGTTCCACTGGCGGCACGAGACCAAGAAAAAAACTCGCAGCAGCAGCAGCAGCGCAACAACAAGCGACCAGAACAAAAATCCCAAAACGACAAGGGGACGAACGACGAGGGACACAAACAACCACCACCAAACAACAACGATGATAAAGCAAGGGGCGACGACAGACAGACCAGGTGGTTCACTTTCGATCCCCCGTTATGGCTGTGGCTCAGGAAAGACCCACATTTATCTGACGCTGAACGGAGACAAATCACGAATACAAGCTGGATGCGCTCTCCTCCTGGATGAGCAGCGAGAGGATCTGTGCCACAATCTCCGGCGCCTGCGAGCATACCCCCGGGTCCAACTACTATCTCCTCGTCCTCGGGGCCAACACCGATGGGGAAAATGATTACATGGAATTGATCCTTACCAACTCCTGCATGAACAAGCAGAGAGAACGTCCAGTTCATCCCCGCTCCTCCTCCGGTCCTCAACCATACCCTGATACCCCAGGGATCGTAACCTGTGTCCTCATTCACGGGCTGCAACGGCCGAGTACGTAACCGTAACATCCATCTGCTGCCACAACAGGAGCATCACTTCCCTTATGAAGCACCTTCTCTGTCGCTGGAGCCACTGTAGCGAGATGCCAGTGGCATGAATAACTTACGAAGAGAAGTTGCCAATAAAGAGGAAACGGACGTGGGAAGAGGTCGTTTTCACACTTCGACCGATTTCACACACTCTGCACAGAGCCTGATGAGAACGCAGAGGGGTTCCACACATGGCGAGGTTGAATTGTGCGACAATAGCATGGGGAGGTTGAACAATTTGAAAAGCCACAAAACAACAGCGATCGCTCCCAACAATGGCAAAGTGGAGCAAAATGTCAAAGGCAGCATCAAATGAGGAGGTATAAGTTTCCTGGGCCCGCCCCAATGTTCAACACTCGAACGAAGAATATTTCAGATATGATTTGCAATGGCCGAGAATCGAACTCGGGTCTACCGCGTGGCAGGCGGTAATTATGCCACTAAACCACCATTGCATTCGATATTTGTACGTTGCCCTCAATCAGTGTGAAAAGATACATCCAGTACTGTACCGCTACAAGTCGTTTTACAGCAGGACAGTACTGAATGTGCCTCCAGAACCAATTCCAGATTAAATCGAACAAAACACGAACGATATGCTCGCGGACAATCCGACAAGATGACCCGTTCTACAGATTTGCGTGAATTCGAGTTGATGAGTCGCATTCGCTTTTCGATGCCTCGTATACGTTCCCGGTTGAAGTAGGTTTAGCTCGGTTGTTCAACGGCAGCTGCGAGATGGTCTTCACACAGCGGTCGCCGCAGAGCGCGACTCCGTTCGTATCACGACGACTGCGTCCTCTCCCAGGCGGTCTGCGGTGCACCGAACGCCTGATGTCGCGGCGACGGGATGAATGTACCGTAGAATGCCTTCTCATCTTGGTGCTGGTTGAACAGTGCTCGTGCGCGATGGGTATGAGGGCTGAGCGACGATGTTAGGATAGCGAGTCGACGTTCTGCGGTCCGAATGCACCGAAGGCGCCTCGGAGGCATTGCGGGGTACGGACGGGCTGTCTCCACCATCAGGTTAGCTTATCCCGCCCCTTCGACCCCCGAAACGGACCCATATTGAGTGCCGATCCTCGTCGAGTTTCGTGCCCGCCTCCCTTTATCATTCGTCATGATTTTCACTGTCGAATGATCTCATGATTTCACAATTCGCTTATGGCGGGCCCCTTTGCGAAATAATGCACTGTCTCTGGTCATAACTCCGACCCAGGGTCCATGGACGATTTCGACCAAGTCGCGATGGATAGCAGGTCGTCAGGCTCGCGTTAATCGCCACGGGCGCAGTGAACGGGAGCGGCAATGAGCATACCTGGTGATAGTAGCCGATGAGCGGTCCTCAAAATGAGGATGGGAGCGTCGATTGACGTCTCGCCCCGCAAAATGGTGGGAAGTGGGGTTTCGAAATCGATGGGTGCCCGTGACTTTCGACCGAACCGAAACTTTCCTTTCAAGTTAACCGCCTCGAACGGTTCAATTTGTGGCTGCCGTCGTTCCGCGAAGTGAATCTCTCAGATCTTTTTCGTTGCCCGGACGAGACACTGACTCGTCACTCTTTGGAGATTCGCAGTTTGCAGCAACCCAATGGGTTACAATCCGCAACTCTGGTCAAATGTGGCATCGACCATACCGACTCGTTGTCTTGAACGCCCCTCCTGTCCATTGATGAGTCAAGATGGCTCTGACATGCACCTTTGTCGTGATCGCGGTCATTCCGATCAATATGGTATTCCTGGACGCCATCCATTTGGCATGACGGTGCACAACGAGAGCATAATCCTAAGATGTTTGCAGCATAGTGACGAAGCTGCATGCGGCAATCCTTCTCGTCTCCTCCAAATTCGCCGTAGAAGGCTTCGTAGTTTAGGGTCCAGGCGCTGTAGTGGCTTCGCTCGAGTGGGAGATGCTGTCCGCCCAGGGAAGAGGGTGAGCATTCGGATCTTGACGCGGGCACCAACTTTCGTCATATGCTCGCCATGCAAGCGTCTGCGGCGGGAGCGGATCTCTTGGGGCCTGGTGGTGGTGTCCACAGTCGATGAGCATCATCTTGCTGCTTGTCAACGAACACGGAGAGGTGTGCTTCTGACTTTTTTTTCGCTGACGAGACGTAGCAACTTTGAGCTTTGATATCTTCCCATTGGCCCACAGGTCCATCTTGCATGTTAATGGGAGCAGAGGGGGCCTGCATTCGTCTCGTTCCACATTCTCTTTGAAGATATGGGCAGCCCGAAAACACCGTCAATGGGGATCTTGTATGCGGCAAAGCACTCGTACATCCCAGTCATAGTGATCCTGACGCTTCTCAGAAGTTGATCCCGTGTATGATTGTCGTCCAACAGAAGAACATCAGACGTGAAACTGTTCGCTGCTCTCGTTTTCCACTCATCCAAAAGGTTCCGGAACGGGCGGCTCGTCTCAAAACTCACACTAGGAATTTCGCCATATTTTAGGGCATCCCGGTGTGATTTCGATGCTCATCCTTGGCATACGGTGTAGGTCCGCGCTAGGCTTCACAAGTAGGCCAATGCGTCCAAGCATATCTGGGTCGGACCCCTGTATCCTTTTTCTGCTCGAGGGCGATACACATCTGCAGCTTCATCATACAGGGCGTCGTTCCAAATCGATCTTAGACACACGAAAAAAAGATGCTTTTCGTCACGGATGCGTTTCCAGGGGGGAGGTATCTTATCGTGTACGCACTTCCCATTCTTGAAGACTTGCAGAAGACATCCAGTAACGGAGTTCTTCGTATAGCAAGCAGATTCGCTGAGTATTCATCGCCATTTTTGTCCGTAACCCAAAATCCACTGCCGTAAGTTGATCTCTCGCCTCTTCACCGTAGCTTTCAACGAGTTTGACTCACAACAAATCGAATGGAGAACCCCGAGTCCATAGCCGCTATATGGGTAACGGTTGCTGGCAGCGACGCAAAAGGTTCCACCACATGGGAGGTTGTCAGATTGTCTGATGGTTCGAAACTGGACGAAACCCTCTACGGCGTACTTTGGTAGCGCATCGAGAAACACACTCGCCGGTGTTGTCGCCCAGCACCAAAATCGCGGGTGAACGCTAGCGGGATCCACTTGTGGTTTTGCGCATCGTCTTCCCTCAGCAATCCACCTCCTTTGCGCTAGCACAAGCGCCGGTTGAGAAGCCGCTTTTGCTTCATCAGCTCTTCCAAATGAGATTGCGCTGCTCCTTCCGCTGAAGTCCTCAGTGCGTTCCATCTTTGACATGCCACATTCTCTCTGAATTCCCTCAAGACGTGGGAGCGGTGTTACTGGAGGGTCTTATACGCCGCTCGTCTCCCTCTCCCTCTCTCTCGCGCCACTCGTCCTCGTCCACCGGGGACTGTGTTGTGTGCTGCCTGCCCGTTGTGAGAGAGACTGCTTCCTGTGGGTGCCCGTTCTCCCTCCAGATTCCAGAGCCGCGAACCGTCACGCGACAACCTTCTGACCTTCCTGACCCATTCCTGGCCTGTCCCCATTTCAACTTGGACAACGGTCAGAACTCAACTCCGCACACTCCAGCCACTGCAGCAGTCTCCCGCTACCAACAACCCCCCATATCACACTCATGTCTCCCCCACAGCACCAGCAGCAACCGCCAGCACCGACAACGACGGTCTTTGTCGGCACTCTCATCCACTCGACAGGTCTCGCCACACTAGAGATCATCGCACCAGGTGTTCTCGGGGTCGACTCGAACGGGAGGATTTCGTTTGTGGAGAAACTAAGACATAGTGGGGAGAGCGAGGGAGACGATGGTGTGGAGGATGAGAGGCTGCTGAGGGAGTTGTTGACGAGGGTGGGCGCGGAAGGGGTTGAGGTATGTTTACGCGAGAGAGAGAACAGAGTGCGAACTGCGGCGAGCGAGGCGACCTGCAGGGTTTGGTTCGCTCCTCGGAGCCCGAGCGATAGGCGACAGCGAACAGTCGGTGGTTGTCAGGCGAGCGAAGCGAGCCCCCATTTTCAGCTGTCAGCGGCAGCGGACGCTCGTCTATATCACACATTGCCCGATATCCTTGTCGCGAGCGAGAGCAAGCAGGATGTCGTTTCATCCTTCAGACAAATCATCTCATCCCTCATCTCGTCAATTCCCATTCATTCCACTCCACCACAGATCCGCCGGCTCCCATCACACTCCTTCCTCATCCCCGGCCTCATCGACACGCACGTCCACGCTCCACAATACGCCTACACCGGCACCGGCTACACGCTTCCCCTCCTCGACTGGCTCACCACCTACACCTTCCCCTCCGAACGCAAGTTCTCCTCCCTCATGCACGCCCAAACCATCTACCCCAAAGCCGTCGCGCGCTCCCTCCGCTGCGGTACAACCACCGCCGCCTGGTACGGCACCCTCCACCTGCCCGCCACAAAAGTCCTCGCGGAAACCTGCAAATCACTAGGCCAGCGCGCCTTTGTCGGAAAAGTCTGCATGGACCGGAACGGCGGCGAAGGCTACGTCGAACCCTCCGCCTCAGACAGTCTCGAAACAACAAAAGAATTCATCAACGCCGTGCAATCCCTCAACGCAGACACAGTCCAACCCATCCTCACCCCCCGTTTCGCCGTCTCCTGCTCCTCCGAGCTAATGAAAGGCCTCGCACAACTCGCATCCCAGCATGCCCTAAGAATCCAAACCCACTGCTCCGAAAACCCCGCCGAATGCTCATTCATCCGCGATCTCTTCCCCGACTCCCGCGACTACGTCTCTGTCTACCACGACCATGGCTTGCTTACCAACCGGACCGTCCTCGCGCATTGCGTTCACCTCTCGGATGCCGAGACCACCCTCCTCAGTGAAACGCAGGCGGGGATATCCCACTGCCCAGTAAGCAACTTCGCCCTCTCCTCGGGGGTCTGCAACGTCCGCCGTCTCCTCGACGCCAACATCAAAGTCGGCCTCGGCACCGACGTCGCTGGGGGCTGGAGTATGAGCGTTGTGGAAGCGATGCGCAGCGCGTTGGTCGCGAGTAAAGTCGTGGGGTTCACCCAACGGGACGCGTTACTCGCCTTGTCGAAAATCCCGAAAAGCGTGGTGGAGGATGAGGGACCGGTGCTGTACCATGACCAGCCGCATCGGCCGTTGACGGTGCCGGAGGTGTTTTATCTGGCGACGCTGGGCGGGGCGCGTGTCCTGAACATCGCGGAGACGGTGGGGAACTTTATACCGGGGAAGGAGTTTGACGCCGTGATTGTCGACCTTGATGCCCCAGAAACGACAACGAGTGAGATAGATGAGGCCCGCCGCCCCGTGACCGTGTTTGAGCATGATACCGTCACGACGATGTTTGAGAAGTGGGTGTTTTTGGGGGATGATCGGAATGTGGCCGGGGTGTGGGTTAAGGGGAGGAGGGTTGTTTGAAGGTGGGGGAGCCTGACTGGGTTGGAGGGATATTTTGTACATCACAGACATAGGATACTTTTTTGTGACATAGCACATAGAACGCTCTACGCCTTCACGCAATCAGGACGTTTCTTACGCAGTTGCCCAGTTTACACTACTCTAGATACATAAACTCATGGCGTTTCCGTACATTATGCATTGGAATCCCTGTTATCCCCGTCTTTCGAAGTCTGACGGCCCTCACACGCGGAGCGGGTTCCGAAAAGGCACGAGCCTCCGGGAGCGGCATCTCCCGAGTTCGAATGGTCCGCGCTAAAGGAAACCCGGAGACAAATGCCCTGCGGCCGGACGTCTGTGACGGAGCCGCACGTACATGTACATTCCATGTTCTAGCATGTGGATAGCGTCTTTCAGGTGAGCATGCCCGAGATGATCAGTCGCTTTGAGACCGTGGTTGCCAGTAGTAATAAACGCTGATGCACTGGTCAGGAAGGATTGTCGAAGCCATTCTGGGGTAAGTTGAAAACGCGTTCGAGACGCGTTTGCTCGAACGCGTTTGAGGTAATCCAAAACTCCGACGGGAAAGTCCGGTCGTTGTCCGAAAGTACAGTACGTGTACCAACCAAGGCGATATGACGGACTCTGCACGCCGACGATTCGCCTCGTAACTATCAGTTGTAACGGTCATCCCATGCCGAAGCAGGGCTAGAAACGGTCATCCCATGCTTGAAGGCGAATATCTAACCCACGTTACTGATCTATTATTTAGGACCAGTTGCGCCATACGTTCGACTAATGCCGGCTGTGGCGCCTAGGAGCGGAAAGCGGTGAGAAAACTGGAGGTCAGGACTGGAGGTCCAGAGTTCGTACAGTACTTGAGCTCGACTCGAATTTTATGGGTAGATGGCCATCTGCGCCCACTCAAATTATCTCTCGAGTGTGAAAGGCGATGCGCGTACTCTCACGCGTAATCTCACAGTCGCCATGTGCCAACGCGGCGCACACTACCCCTTGCCCTCCTTGCTTCCCCTGATCAATTTTACTCCTTCCTCTATCCTTTGATCGGTTTCCGCTTCCCTTGGGTGGGCGGACCACCACTTCCCCTCTCCTGAGCACCCGGCGTTCGTTGCCCTTTCTCTTCATTACATCTCCTTATCAATCCAGTCCTGCTCCTGCGAGAAACGCCGGCATTGGTTCGTCCCAGTCCGTTGCCTGAAGCAGAAGGACCATCCTGCTATTCATGAAGACTCGACCTCCAAACCTTGACGAAGAACTGCATTAACCCACAACGTACGAGAACGGGTGGAAACTACAAAAAAGTCTATAGAACACTGCGCCGCTCGAAACGTCGAAGGACCGAAACGTTCCACTCAAGAGCGGATATAATTTCGCGCCGCGAGAATTGATCGAAACCTGCGCTTCCGTGCCTAGGCTCTGCTGGGTCCCAAACATAGTCGAAGAGACGCTTTAATCTGCAGAGAACGAGAAGAGACTCACTCCCGACGCTTCGACCGAAGAGATGACCAGCGCCAAGAGTTATACCGGGACGCCAATGGGCGAATATTGCCTCTCGTTCTCCGATTGCCACAAATCCCTCCGTTCCTGCGCGAAAACCGCCCGTCTGCACTCACCTCGAGAAAAGGCCGCCGAATCAGGTACAAGTATAACTAGGGGCGCTGCTTCTTAGGGAGAGGGAGATGGGCCTTGGATTCCTGAGGATATTATACGATGCGACGCGCTGTCGATTTTCTTGGCAAGTTCCCGCCCACAAATATTGCCATGCAATGGAAGTGGAGAGGAGAAGCTCAGGGCGAATAACATCCCGGGATATGGATGACACTATTTGCATCGTTCTCTTCAATCCGGTTGGCCCAACATGATCTGAAGAAAGGTTGGGGATAACTGACCGGCGCCTTGCCATTTGAAACCGTGGAGGGACTATGAGTTCGGACGGCCGCGTTGTCGGTTCCTAAGCATCCATCCATTCGGGCCTACGGGGATCCCTGCTCCGTCTAAAACCTTGTACTTTGTGGAGAGTCAGTAACCTCTCTTTGAGGTTGCGGGCGAGCTACATATACATATAAAGCCCATGGTAGGTTGTCTCATCTCCCAGCATTCCATATGTTCGCCCACGAACTCTGTTCTGCAACTCCTCACCGACGATTCATCACCGCTATGACCAAAACAGTCGTCGAAGAACCCTCGCCCAAGACAAGCGAGCTGGGAGCTTCTCAATACGCGAAAAAAGCGAAAGACCTTGTCGCACTCATTACGAAGATTCGCCAGCATGGCGGTCAAATCGAGCTGTCTCTTCCCAGAATCGCCGTCATAGGGAACCAATCGGCGGGCAAGTCGTCGGTCGTCGAAGCCATCTCGGGCATTCCTCTCCCGCGCGCCAGCGGAACATGCACCAGGAGCCCCATCGAGGTGCGGATGGAAGAAAAACCGGGAACCGCGTGGAGCTGCCAGGTTGTCCTTCGATGGGAATCGGACGAGAATGAGAAACAGTTGCTCAATACCAAGGAAGAACCGTTCGACACTCCTATGACGAAGGAAGCCGATGTGGGTCTCCGCATCGCTCAAGCGCAGAGGGCGATCTTGAATCCGGGAACAGACTCGGCTTATTTTCTAAAGATGAACGAGAAGGATCTTAAAAAATATGTCGACAAGCGCCAGTTCACTAGCAACATTATCGTTGTGGCTGTGACCGGACCGGACGTTCTCAGCTTGACGCTCATCGACCTTCCGGGCATCATCCAGACCCCTCCGCAAGACGCGAAGGAGGATTTGGTGGGGCTTATCAAGCAACTCGTTACGAAATACATCGAAGACAAGCGCACCATCATCCTCAAATGCGTGACGTGCGCGGACGATGTCAATAATCAAGAATCTGTACGTTTTGCGAGAACATACGATGCCACAGGTAAGGCAGCCTTGATTCATTCCCAACGAGTCGTTTGCAATTTCTCATGCTTGCGTGTCCAACGTAGGCGAACGCACGGTTTGCGCCCTCACGAAAGCAGATCTCATCGAGAGATCATGCCATGCCCCGTGGATGAACTTTCTGCTTCATGGAAAGCCCACGTCTTTCGCGGTCGTCAACCCGGCTCCGGACAGGCTTGACCGAGTGACCTCGAGAGAAGCTCGCGACGCCGAGAGTCAGTTCTTCAAGAACACTGAACCATGGAATACGGTTCCTCCTCTCAACCATGTCCTGGGGGTTCAGGCGTTGGCCCAACATCTGTCGGTCCGCCTGACACAGTTGATCAAGTCCACTTTCCCGGATATGAAGGCCACGGCGAAACAACTGCTGAAGGAAGTCAATAACGACCTCAAGCAGCTTCCAGCTGTACCGTCGAACTCCCTCTACGACTTGCGGCAGGCTATCAAGAAGCTGCGCAAGACCATTCATACCCACGTTTACGCACAACATGGGTATCCCCAATTGTGGCAGACCGATCTGAGGTACGCAAGTAGCCCCATTTTCTCTCATTTCTCATAGATTGTATAATCAAAGGGCTTAACTGTGCGCTTGAAACCCAGCCTTTACCAAGAGTTCCGAGATGACATCCAAGCAACACGGCCCAAACTCGCCGCGCCAACAGAAAAGGAAATAGAAGAGTCAGACAAAGTCGAGGAGACGAGATGGAAGATGCCTAGGACCACATACACTCTCGCATACGTTCACAAAATCATCGACGTCTATAAAGGTCGCCAAATGGGCGGAGAATACAACGAACAGTCGTTCCATAGGATTATCGAAACCTTCATGGAAGTCTGGCCTGAAATTTCCCAGTATTATATGGGCCGCTTGGTGGAGGATTTTAATATTCGAAGCGACCGTTGGATCACAGATTCATTTGCGAGATTCAAGCCGCTCCTGCTGGAAACAAGGTGAGAAGCATTGGCAAAACTCTCGCATGCATTCGTGACACACGGAGGTGAGCAATCTGAGCATTATCAATGCATTCACAGGTTAATTGTCGATGACTTGCAAAAGGATCTGTTCAAAGAGACTGCAGATTTCGTCTTGGAGTTCTTCACCCTCGAATCCTATCCCCCGTTTACCCTTGATCCGGTATTCCACGACAAATCCGCGGCTCTTTACAAAACGTATGAGACGGAAACGGCGCGCTGGGATCTCAAAGAAACCGTACCAGAGTCCAACGAGGACCGAATTAGCGAAGCAATCGCGCTCTTGAAAGAGGCCAACCTGACCGACTTGACCGTGGACGACCTCTACGTGGCGTATTGCCGCAAGCAAGGAAACGACCACACGACCGCACTCCGTCTCATATCTCGAGTGCAAGCGTTTTTTGACGTTGCGGCGCAGAGATTCGTTGACCATGTCGCCATGGCGATTGACACAAAGTATGTGATTGGGATGGAGAAGCACCTTGAAGAACGGTTGGAAAAGCAGCTGGCCACCGATCAGCAGCGGGCGGCAGAGTTATTGGTTGAGGATGACCGAGTTGCGGAAAAACGGAAGGAGCTTATGGCCAGGAAGGAAAGATTGGAAAACGTTTTGAAGGAGATGATGAGGCTCACTGTTTGAAATTGGGACGAGAACGGCGTATTCTCAATGTGGTATGTGTGTCTTTTCGCTATAGTTGAATTTCTTGCTCAATTCTCCTGTGCCTCAATCAATGGGGATGGGCGTACATATGTAGCAAAGCACCGAATATCTCTAGTAGCAGTTATAATGCATTCGGAGGCGCTTTGAACGAAGGAGTTTCATATGCACCGCTCACATACGAAGGCCCATAGAGCGGCCACGCTGAGCTTCGACAGTCGAGGTCTTTTGGCGGTTTCAATGATGTTGAACGCATCACGGAAGACCGAGAAAGGATCATATCCTCTTGCTCCTTTCGCTCCCATTCCTATGTGTCGCTTGTTGAAGAATGACAACTGATATCACAAATGAAATCGACAGCGCGGCCCTCTTGTCAGTCAATTTAAACACACGTTCACGTGACGTAGGCAAGAGTTTAATTCCACGTGCCCTTCGAGCCCACGAGCAAGAGATCCAGCTGGGTTTTCGGCCTTCACGAATCAAGCAGAGATTCAGCAAAGCAGCAGCAACCATGAGGTACATATCACCCACCGGCATCCCGCACGACGGAGGAAGAGGGGCGGAGGGCTTTCGAACGAATAGGCGGATGGATGGATGGGATGGATGGATGGATGCACTTCGTTGAGGAATCTAGGTGGAATGGGGAGACGAACTGGCCGATGTGGGAGCGGCATTAAGAGACACTCGTTGACGAGCAGACGACGTAGGATGCTGTTTGAATAGTGGGAAGTAGGGAGGCGAAGCCAGGAGGAAAGGAAGTGGTCGATGCGCGGGAATTGCAGGCATGACCTATGCATGACGACGGCAGTCCACAAGCAGAGGATTTACCCAGACATTTGTTTCCGTTTACAGCAAGATTCAAGCCAGCGGCGTCCGTGCCGCCACCCGTGAGTTGCTCACCTTCTCCACGGAGGAGAAGCCCCGTAAGTTCGTTGAGACCGTCGAGCTCCAGATTGGTCTCAAGAACTACGACCCCCAGCGTGACAAGCGTTTCTCTGGAACCGTCAAGTGAGTATCAGAATCCAGGGGAAAGATTTCATTTTAGGGTCAAATCGGGGACTGATGCGATGAATAGGCTCCCCAATGTGCCCAAGCCCAAGATGAAGCTTTGCATCTTGGCTGACCAGCACCACATCGACCAGGCCAAGGCCATCGGCCTCGAGTTCATGTCGGTTGAGGACTTGAAGAAGTTGAACAAGAACAAGAAGCTGATCAAGAAGCTCGCCAAGAAGTACGACGCTTTCCTCGCTTCCGAAGTCTTGATCAAGCAGATCCCCCGTCTCCTCGGTCCCGGTCTGTCCAAGGCCGGAAAGTTCCCCACCCCGGTCTCCCACAACGACAACTTGGAGGACAAGGTCACTGAGATCAAGTCCACCATCAAGTTCCAGTTGAAGAAGGTTCTTTGCCTTGGTGTCGCCGTCGGTCACGTCCAGATGACTGAGGACCAGCTTGTCAACAACACTATGTTGGCCATCAACTTCCTTGTCAGGTAAGATTCTACGATTTCATGTTCTCAACGTTTCGTAGCTTTCATGGTCAGTCTCTAACCATCATCCTCATCCTTCCCAATCGAACAGTTTGTTGAAGAAGAACTGGCAGAACGTGAAGTCCCTCTTCATCAAGTCCTCCATGGGCAAGCCCGTCCGTGTGTACTAGATGATGCTTATGGGACTTGGGAGCCACGCTCCATGCGCTTGGGAAAGGGTTTGCGCTGAAACTCAGAAAAAACTCTATCTGCAGCGTACCAAGGCGCCGCGCATCCTCATGGGGATGTTGCGGTCGTCATTTGGGAGCTGAATCTCTGCTCAAATAATAGTAAATATATTGTTTCAAAAAAGCTTTGCGCAATTGTGGTTTCGGTCCCGATGGGTGGGCGGCATAGGCCATGTGAAAGAAGAGGAGGTTGGACGAGGTATTCTATTGCAGCTCAACGATGGATCTCTCCTGATTCGATCATCGAGCAGAACGCAGGGATGCAGGGGTATGGTGCTGCCTGACTTCCGCATCGTGCTGCTCCCGCGCCACTACGTGAGGGTCAACGGTTGGCAACTTGTCATGGCTCGCTCTCCAAGAAGCCCGCTCAAGGCCGGCACATCATCGACGCATGGTGCAGGTGATTGTAAAGCGATTTCTCGCATCTGGCTTTAACAGCAGCGTGACGACCATTCCATACAACAAGGCTTGTTGTTCACATGGTACGTCCACAATCCAGACCAGCGCAGTTCGGATGTTCGGGAACCTCCGCTTTTCCGTAGCTTTTTTCACGGATGCGGCAACGTCCTCCGACGCCACCGGTATTGGTTTTCGACTACTTTTGGTAGGGCAGCTGCCGACGGCGGGGACGACTCGGAATGTGGTGAGGTCGCTCTGCGCGGTTGGGAGGCATCAATCGGGATGCAAAATTGTGCACAAACCTGTCAGAATGACATAGGATGCCCGCTGTTTGTCACTTCCCAGCGTTTCCTTGCCGGACAGGTGGTAAACGCAGTGGTAACGGTACCCCACGGCTATGTGACCTTCTTGAAACGTCAGCTCGGAAAGGAACGGAGCCAACTTTATCCTGGGATGGACATTTCAGGTTGACAGTTGTCATAGGTCCCCAGACAAGGAACACCCGCGGGCATCCACTATGCTCGAAGTCTAGAGCTAGTCATCCGCGAGGCCATTTGCGTAGATCTGATCCTTTTTGCAGCTGCGCACTGACGTTTTTGTCCTCCAAAAATATTTGGGCGGGATGAAGGTAAACCCCGACAGAGTCGTTGTGTGTTCAGGGTTCACGAGTGCTCAAACTGGAGGGCATTTAAAAGAGCTCGCGACTTCTGTGAGAGCCCGTTCGTAAGAGTAAGCAATCCTTCCTCCCCATCTCAACGGCCGTTCCTCATCGTTTACAGCGCTCCACAATGGCCCGCATCTTCTCCATCCTCGCCGTTCTCTTCGCTTTCGCGGCGCTGTCCACCGCGGCGCCGACCACCTCGCCGGCCTGCATCGTGCAGACACCGTCCGTGAACCAATCTACGTGCAATTGGTACACGGATTGCGCCGAGCCTATCTTCCAGTGCGGTAGCAAGGTAAGCTGGGGCTATCTTGCAATCCCATTTGTGTGATATGCGAACCGAAATTGACTCCGCTTTCATTATAGGGTTACCCTGTCGGCTATGGATACTTCTACTGCAGCAAGTTTGCGGAGGTTGTGCCGAAGATGAGCGAGAAGGGTCAGACTTGGTAAGTCCGGTTGGTTGAGCGCTCTCTCCTTTCGCATCATCTGGGTTCCAATTCCAACATATATCGTCCATTTTTATCATGGCAGGCTTCTCGGCGTAATGCAATGCCTCCAATCCGCACTCTCCCTCAAGCTCACGACACCTCTCAGCTGCCCCTCAGTCCGCTCCTACGCCTTCGGCACGCACCCGACCTGCTACACCTCCGGCCAAGTCAGCTTCTGCGAGCTCGGCGTCCCCGACCTCCTGCACCTTGCGCCGGTGTTTCAGGAACGGCCGTGGGATTTGATCACGATCGAGTCGCAGAAGCAGATCGCGACGGTGTTGGGGACTTGTGGGAAGCAGTTTGCGGAGAAGATCAAGGGGATTTTTCATTTGCCTCATTTGGCTTAAATATAGAGCTTCGTGCGTAGAGAGGAATACTGATCGGAACGATGGTGCGGGACGGAGGATTGGCGTACGACGGCAGAGGTGGCAATGGGACTTGACATAGCTTTCCATTCTCGCCGCGACAGGAGACGTCCGTACGGTATGTAATAATAATCTAGATGTATAGAGAATAGATATATATATGGTTCGTCACATATCGCCTCCTGGCAAGCTCATCGGGACGAATGTATCGAACCGCTGCCTTGCCAGCATCTACGCGATCACGCAAACGTACAGAACGCATCCGTCAACAGGATGCTCACGACGCCGTGGTTTTCTTCACACCCGCGGGCTTAGGGCCCGCCGTCCCTCCCGCTTTGGGCAGTGCCTTATCTTTCGCGGGAAGGGTGGGTTCCGCTTTTGCCTTTGATGCCGGGGCGGTGGCGGTGGATGTCGTCGTGGAGGTTGATGTCGCGGTGGTCTTGCCGAGCGGTTTCGTGTCCGCGGGTTTGGCCTTGGGAGCCGGGGCGGACGGCTTGCCCAGTGGCGCGGTTGATGTCGACGGTTTGGCAACGGCTTTGGATGTCGGCGATGCCGCAGCGGGTTTCGGTTTCACTTCGGCGAGGCCTTTTCCAACCACCGGCTTCGCAGCACCTGTTTTGGCCGCCACAGCAGGTTTAGCGACCCCCTTCTTCCCCGCCGGCGCCGCCTTCGTGCTAGAAGCCGCCGCTGAACTCAAAATCCTCTCCTCCTCCCACCACACCTTCCACCACTCCTGCCCCTTCACACCCGCCGGACACTCCCCATCCCCACCATAAACCCCAATCGCCGCCCTTAAACTCCCCTCAGCATCATCCAACCTCCCCCACACCCCCTTATCAAACCCACCAAGCAACGGCAACACCCCCCGTGCGGTCGCAGCCTGCTGCATGGCATCATGCGCGGCGAGTTGCGCCATCCCGAGCGCGCAGAGGTATCCAGCGTCCGTGGGGGTGTGCAGGAGGAGGGAGTGTGCGATGTGTTCCTGTGGGGTGTAGTGTGGGGTGTCGTTGCGGGGGGAGGTGAAGGCCGAGGAAAGGGGGAGGGTTGTGAGGCTTTTGGGGGTGTGCTCCGCGCTGAACTGTTTGAGTAAGGTCTGTGAGGCGGGGAGGAGGGTGGCGCGGAGCATGGTGTTGAGGAGTTCCGGTTTTCCTGTTGTGGTGGGAGGTAGGACTCGCACCAGCGCCCCCGCACCCACACACCACGACTCCACCAGCGTCCGGGCCCTCACGCTCCTCCTCGGTGTCGCCCGCACCGTATCCGGAAGGAGATACAGGAGATCCAATAGGACATCAGTGGCGGCGGCGGGGTTATGTGTCAAGCGGTGTAGTTTTGCAGTGAGGAGGTGGATGGTTGCGATATGGTGCGTTGCGTACGAGTCGACGAGGGTTGGTGGCGGCGCGGAATGGGAGAAAAGGGAGAGGGTGTGGGATGTGAGGTGCTCGGTTAGGTAGTGCAGAGCTTCGGTGAGGGTTGCGGCGGGGGTGAGGGCTGTTGCGGTGGTTGCCAGTGCCATGCCCTGTGGGGGAGAAGAATAGCAACATCGATGAGCGGAGACGTCACGCTCTCCCAACGAGGGCTTCATCAAGTGCGTACCAGCAAAATCCGAGCCTGCGCATGCAACGGTCTCAACCCGACCGCCGCGCGCAGGTGCTTCACAGCCGTCTCGTTTTCGCCGCGGGTCAGCAATACCCGTCCTAGATGCATGCTACGTTCAACGAATCAGGACAACCTCCCGGCCGAATCGGTCAACCGAAACTCCCCACATTCACCATCGCATACTCACAGCGCCTCCGCCCCACCCCCCACCGCAATGGCATCACGATACTTCTGCATGACCTGCATCACCGCCGCCTCGCCCTTCCCCACTCCACCAGCCGCGGCGCTTTTGTCGGCGCCTTTGGCTCCACCGACGCCGGAGGATTTGACGACTTTGGCGACGAACCATGTGTAGAGGTTTTGCACTTCCGCTGCCTACGGTGGGGGGAATAAAATAAAGATTCAGAAAAGGGAAAGCGTTGTGAGTGTTGGGGATTTCGGAGCGGCCATGGGAAGACGGACGATACACGAAAAGCGCACACCTACCTTATCCCCCTCCCCCACCTCTTTCAACCTCCTATACTCCCCCTCGATCGCCCTCAACTTCCCCGCCTCGCTCCCCCCCCTCCCAACCCCCAAACTCTCCAGCAATCCCTCCACCTCATCCCTCATAAACGATTCCACCGCCTCATTTCCCGCCTCCACCTCCTCCTCCTCATCGTCATCCCCACGGGCAACAGGGAAAACCTCATCAACAAGCACCCCCTCAGCTAAAACTTTGGCGAGGGAAATGTGCAGGTCGGGGTCGAGGGGGCGGAATGCGATCTGGGACGCGTGGAGTTGGGAGAGGTGGGTGAGCGGGACGGGGGAGGGGCGGGGGGAGGAGAGGCCGTGTGTGTCTGTGGCGAGTTGGAGGGCGGCGTGGAGGGATTGTGTGTATGTTTGGAGGAGGGTGGTGGGGGTGGTAGTGGAGGGGAGGGGGAGGTTTGCGAGGTGGGATTCCCATTTGGTGGGTTTGGGCGGGGTCGGTGGTGGGTGTGATGCGGGGGCGGTTAGGGGACACATGTGGGAATGCAAGTCCGTCTCGGTTTTGCGTATACGGGATCCGCATCCGCACGCTTCGGTGCATGGCTCTTTATGTTTCAAACCGCGGGTTTCAGCGTCCGCAACGGTCTCCCCGGGCTTGCATACACCCCCGCACTCCGCACACATCGCAGGCCGCGCACGGCATCCGGCTACATGGGCGGAGAGATCACGAAGCGGGGCGGTGGTGCCGCATGTGAAGGGGCATTCGACGGTGATGGACCCGGTGGTGCGTTCGAGGGCGGTTGCGTGGATCCATTTGTGTGGCGTAGAGCTGGTTGTGGGAGGGCAGAGCGGGCAGTTGGCCATATGGGGTGTTGAGGTTGTCGTTGGCACCGCTAGGGAAGGCCCGGTGCACGGCACCCCACACATCTCGAGACATGTTAGGCAGAATACATGCGGACACACCGTTTCGGCTCCATTCGTGTCTGCGTCGGCGGCGGACGCCAAAGCAGGCACAAGCACCCTTGGCCGAAACGCCATCGTATAGCACAACGAACACGTCGGCGCCGCTTCCTCAATCCCCCCTGTCGACACCCGTGGGCGAACAGGAATCTTCTCTGCACAAATAAAAATATCAGCATCCAGCCCCGTCACATCCACCCCATCAAACAACTCACACACCCTACCCTTCCTAAAAACAACCCCATACCCAACTCTCTCCGTTCCATCCCGACTCACAACCTCCACGCACACCTCCGTATCCCCCATCAACAACTCCACGGGTGCCGTCGTCGCGATCTCGCCTGGGTTGTCGTATACACGCAGGCTGACATGGGCGCGAGGGTCGGAGGGGGTGGGGGTGAGGGTGACGGTGGGCGTGGGGACGTCTGCTCGGTGGATATGAGTAGATGATTCAGGGGACCGGAAAGTGTTCTCGCAACAAACGTACCTATCTGAACCACATACCCCGTCTCGGCCCGATGAAACCCCGGCCTAAGCTCCCCGGCGCTGACTTCCAGAGACCTCAACGTCGCGTCGGATGCTAAACATCACCCATCCCCCACAGAGTCAGTTTGAACCCCCCCATTTCCGCTGTGTATGTCACTCAAATTGTCAATCAACTCACAAGAGGGCCGGAACACGTTGAGCACATAGCTGCCTTTTGTGGACCCGTCTGCGGCGTCGACGGCGATTGTGAGTTCCTGCTGGCCTTCTTTTAATCCCACCACTGCAAAATAAGAATGTTTAGAGCGGATGCGGGATGGGAGTGCAGAGAATAGTGGACGGACCTCCCTCCCCGTCGGATTTAAGCACCTGGACGAAGGCGTCCGCTTCGGTGGTGGATGCTTTGATTTGTAGCGCTGTTTGTATGCAGTGGTGTTAGAAAGCGGAGGAAGGGAATGTGGAATACGACAGCCCGTCGGTTCACATCCCGCATCCCTCTTCAAGTTCGCCCCTCCCCACCTCTTCCCAGACGTGGCCGAAACCCACCTTCAACATCACTCCCAACCCCCACCGCATAACTCCTCACACCCTTCTCGAACCTCGGCTCCAGCACCACCACCTCATTATCACTTTTCTTCCCATCGCTGGCGGTGCGACGGGCGAGGATGGTGAGTGATTTGAGGGTTGTGTCGTCCATTTTTGGAGGGGTTCCTGTTTATTTGTTGGTTTGGTGGGCCTATGGTTGGTGAGGACCCACGGTCCTAAGGAGCATGCAAGCAAGGGCGACGCGTTATTTCGACGCGTCCCTGCGAAACAACAACACCCATCTCCGTTGCTTCTCCTGCCACTCTCCGTCCTCCCTCCGTGCGTTCTCCATGCAATGCCCGTCCTCCCTCCTGCCATCGGTCTCCCTCTCGTCGCAGCCTCCTTTATCCTCCACCTTGACCGTCGGTGGGTTCTCCCCTACGTTCCCCTTGATTTGACTCTCGGTTCGCGAATCCCGAATCTCAAGCCCCACCAGCGCGGTACAGACATACATATATAATCTTTTGCGCCGAATACACGCGCGGGTGTATGTATGCGCAGGGTACCTCCACATCCACGTATCCTCCCTCTGCGGGTGCATGTTCATACTAGTAGCTCTTCCTCTCCGGTGCAGATTCGAGAGGAAAAAGTGTCGAAATGCAGTCGCGCAAACATTACCTAACACGCGTGCGGAACGCGGGGGGCATCGCATTCCGAACCCTTGCACATGGGTTGCAAGCAAGCGGTGGTGATATATCCGGTGCAATCTGGGCTCCTGTCACCATCCCAATCGAGCGGTCCCGTCTCGCCACACCTGCGCGGGCGAAACAAAATGTTGGCCAGTATTTGTTCTAGTGTCTGGTGTCTGTCCACGAGGTGGGGGAGGACATTCGAAGGTTGAGTACGCACGTAGAAGCAAACGCACATGAAATAGAGGACGACCCGGAACCCCGTCGGCCGACGTCCACCAGTAGCATACACTGGTGTACAAGTCCGCGGTCCCGTTCCAGAGGCGGTGTGTGTGAGGAATGCGCAACAGCAACTCATCCCACCCGCGTACCGCACACCAAATGCTGACCCCCTCCCACAACAGTTTAACTACCTAGCGCTAGCCTTGAGCCACCTTGGGGGACTTACTATGCCACCGCCGCAGCAAAACTATCCCTCAACCGCCAATCCAATGTCGGTACCTCCAACTCAGTATCAGCTGCTTCAGCAGCCAGCACTACAGCAGGCACCTTTCTACCCAACTACGTTGGCCGGTCACCCACAATATGCGAATCCCCAACTCCACGCTTATACATCGATGCCATATACAACGCAAACACCATACGCACAGCAGCAATTCTTGCATCCAGCCGTCTCTGTCCCAGCATTCAATCCCTCCAACTTCCCTATCCCAATTCGACGAGGATACTCACGCGGCAATTCCAATTACTACACAACCGGCGGTAACAGTCCAGGCAATTTCGGCACGTTTGGCAGTAACCCCACCCCTAGCCGTCGCGGCGCACCGTCGCTACCGGCCCGCCAGCTCGCGTCTTTCAACCCTCCCCGCGAAGGGATATACGAAGCGACCTACTCGAATACCCGAGTCTATGAACTCGAGGCCCCGAATGGCGTATGAGTAATGCGGCGGTTTCAGATTCGTGGATTAACGCTACGCATATATTGAAAGCGGCGGGAATGGAAAAGAGCCGGAGGACGAAGGTTTTCGAACGGGAGGTGCATCAGGGGTGAACATGAGAAGATTCAGGGCGCTCTAATCATCATCTGCGTCATTTCATGCGCTGCGCCTGATCGGACTGCGGGTGTCTGCGCCGAAGAAGATGGCGCATTGAACGAGGACGTGCCCGCCGAGCCGACCTGCGTAACGTGTGGTGCAGCTGTCGGCATCGAAGCAAGCGCATATCGGGTGTTGCCCCGCCACCAGCCGATACTTCGGAACTTCGCTTAAAACCTACAGGACTTGATCTCGCTCCGCGTGTCGTGCAAAGCGACGAAGTGTGGGAGAAGGGGTTGGCAGCGCTGTTGCCATGTGATCCAGCGGGGCCTGTCGTTGTACCGACTGTTATCATCGCTAAAGCTCCTGGTAAGGAATATTTCTCTCATCGAAAAACCTCTTCTCGTATCAAGACTGACAAGCGCAAAGCTTCGTCTCATCCGAAAGCCGTATATCGAAAATCAAGCGCCACTTCGTCCGCAACGAAGCGCCGTATGGGGGATTGTTTGTTTCCCTCCTGTTTCTACATGTTTGGGTTTACGATACTTGTAAGGGAGATCTGTGTCCCACTCAAACGCATAGGCAATTTTTTCTCGTATAGCCCGGATTGCTGCCGAATGTGAGTCCTCAATTTCCACACCGAACCCCAGCAAGTGGAACGAAACTCGGGCGAAAAAGGGTTGCGACAACAGCTCCGAGAACGTGGGCTTCTTACTGGACAGATACGCATGCAAGCCGGCAACGTCAATGCGATCCATTCCCTCCATCTGCGGGCACAATTGAACAGCCGCTTCGTGGACTATACGGACTGGTCCTTCCAAATCTGACGCCCCGTCCCAATCCCCCGTCAGTTCGACGAGCTCACCCGATGCGTGCGGAGACTCCGTTTTGGGGTGAGATGCCGTTTCGGTTTCGGCCATGGCGATGATAATGCCGCTGGCGAAAACACAAGTCTGGGTCTGTGTAATAGCCTGGGGAGGAGAGCAAACGTGAGTTCAAGGTCTCCGTCTTTGAAGACGACGGTCTCTGGGAGTATGTATCTGGTAGGCCAGCGACCGCTGGACGAGTGCAGTGTCGTGAACAGAATGCGCTTAGCCTGTTTGTGCTCCAAGATCTGTGCCCTCGAGAAGAAAAAGAGAGAAGCGAGTCCAAATAGGCGCGCATTGCGTCTATTCGAGAGCAGATTCGAGAGAGACTTCCGCTTCTTCCCACCGGTGCCCATCTGATTGCCCGTCCCCACTCCCATCGGCTGTCCAGTCAGTCCCTATACACTCATACAATAGGTCATTCTCCCAGGACGACTCCCCTCGCATACCCACCTAACCCTTTTCCGCAATGTCCGCCGCCACATCATGCGCTCGCCGCCTCCTGCCGCTGACCCCATTGATCCGCGCCGCGACCTCCCGTCCCACCACAGTCGCCGCCGTACGGATTCCCGCCGCTGCAGTGCGTGCTTTCTCTGGTGCACCTGTCGTTAGGTCTGATAAGCTATTTTTGGTATGTTTTTGTTGGATCTGGATGGAAAGGGTGACTTTGACCGCTAGGTGGGAGGAGTGGATGGATTGCAGTTGGTTGGTGGGACGTTTATGGAAGCAGAAGGAGAAAGGAGCGCTTATAGAAGGAGAGCTTAACGTCGAGGACCGACTATTAGCAACGAGGAAGGCTTCATATGGGCAGTGTCTCGTCAGTTCAGCGATGGAGGCGGATGCTTCGACGAACTCAAATCGTATCTCACCTCTTTTCGCCCAATAACTCCTCCACACAATCCTGTGGCTGATCCATTTCCCTTCTTCAACTCTTTCATCTGCAGCACCGCGACACACCGGAGAACAACGACACGATCGCATTCGAGTTCACGCCTGAGAACCTCAACCGCGCAAAGGAGATTATGAAAAAGTACCCGCCGCAATACAAGAAGGCGGCTACTATCCCCCTGCTTGATCTGGCGCAGAGACAGGTATGGAGCTTGGGATTTGGGTGTACTGGGAATGTGTCGGTCGATTTTTGTGGATGGGGTGGGAGCACCCTATTGATGTTACGGCGCCGATGGAAGAACGTGAGGAGGACAGATCTGGTGAGCAAGAACGCAGATGCTCAAAAGGCCTGGTATTTCTTCCCTCCAATTCCAGAACGGCTGGACATCCATCGCAACAATGAACTACGTCGCCAAACTCCTCGAAGTCCCCCCGATGCGCGTCTACGAAGTTGCCACGTTCTACACCATGTTCAACCGCGAACCCACCGGCAAGTACTTCCTCCAGCTCTGCACCACCACCCCGTGCCAGCTCTGCGGCTCCGACAAGATCCTCGACACAATCGAGAAACATCTGGGCATCAAGGCGGGGCAGACTACCCCCGATAAGCTGTTCACGCTTGTTGAGGTTGAGTGCGCGGGCGCGTGTGTGAACGCGCCGGTTTTGGCTGTTAATGATGATTACTACGTACGTCGTTTCTGTTTTCATTCGTACCGAGATACCGCACCGAAAGGCTCATATACCTTCCCCTTATGATTTCAGGAGGACCTCACATCCGAAGCAACTATCAAGATCCTCGACGACCTCAAGCGCGGCACCTACCCCAAGCCAGGACCCGTCTCGGGCCGCCAGAACTGTGAGCCCCATGGCGGACTCACTTCCCTTACCTCCGAGCCCACTGGACCTGGATTCAGGATCAGGGCGGATCTGTAGAGGGAGGATGTTATGAAGTTGGGGTGGGGAGGGGTGTAGAGGGTGTATGTTAGTCCGGATGTGTATGGAGGGGAGGGAGGGAAGAGGGACAGAAGGCGATAGATGTTGCGAGTTGGGTATAGAGATGACTAGGGGACCCTCTTGCCCCCGCGGGCGGCCGCCACAGGGCTCCACGACGAGTGTGGCGGACGAGGGCCATGTACCAACACAATTCGATGAGTTGCAAAAGGCAAACACATGGATCAATGGAAGTGCGGTGTCAAACAGAAGTCGAGCCGAATGCACTTCTCCTAAAGCTCCTAAATGGACTTTTGCATATACCGTTGCGATCGGTCATGTAATCATTTCCAGTTATCTTCACAATCCCCCGTATGCCGGATGGGTGGTCGCAGACCGTTTTCCTATCTGACTGGTCTTTCTCCTCCGCACTTCCCGCGTCGGGTTAGGGTTAGGGGTCGCCGCACTCCCATCCGCCCGATCCACGTCGACAACGACCTACAGTATCGCGCACTATCCGTTGCTCTTCACTTCATACCGAGTGCAAGAAATGACATTAGCTGGGGAGCGCGGAATCTGTAGAGTGAGGAAGATGATGGACCTGCAGAGCAACTCCGCGTCGAGAAAGAGCGACTAGCAGAAATATGCCGAGTAACGACAGAAGAGAGATAAGGGGAGAAGTGCTGCCTCGAGCAGGTGCGAGTAGCAGCTTTGAGAAAGTTGTCTGGAGCTGGACTCGGGGCTTCGGGCAGTGGCTTTGTAATCCGAGGTCTATTTCTGACTCGGCAAGGCCCATCTCCCCGTCCATGCCACGACCCCTGGAAGCTGCTGTCCCCACGACCTCAAACCAACCACCTTCCAAGGAGTCTCCAAGTCACCACCTCTTTCCCGAACCGTAAAGATCCACCACATTCATCGCACATCTCAGAGGCCAGAACAAGCGGTGGTGGTAAGGTTTTATTATTTTACACGTGGCACGGCGGAACAAAGACTTGTCAAAACGGCGCCAGCTTAGAAGCCTACGAAAAAACAAATCGAAAAAATTCACAGAGAAAAACGATCAATCAGTGAACAGTGTTGACATATACAAACAAAAAGTAATTTTTCCACTTACGAAGCTTGGTGAAGAACCACCTGTTCTTTCCGCTGTTGTAGCGCTCCTCGAAAAGCTTCTTGATCGCCTTGCGGGACTCGACGCGCTGCGTGGGCTCCTTGAAGCTCTCGGCCGAAACAACTTGCTTGAGGTCAATGTCGAGGTTGTACCTAAATTCATTGAGGGAGAGTGTGGGTTAAAATCGACTCTTCTCACTCTCTTGTGCATGCGTGATCCCCTTCTTCGCGACGAGGATGTTGGATGGTTGAATGATCGGGCTGCATGGGTGAGGGGAGTATTGCGCCTTTGGCACAATGTGGTGCTCGCTGCGCTCGCAAAAGATCTGAAGCTCGCTGAGGCTCGCTAAGTGCCGTAGTTAGGTGCTCTGCTCGTGCTCACTTCGCTCGCGAAAGGCGTTCGCTCTGGCCCGGTCTCCCCGACCGAACCAACCTCGCTAACGCTGGTGATCCAACGTCCCCCCCTTCCTTCGACTGCTCCTTCCCATTTCCTCCTCCTTCTCTTTCGAAATTCCTACCTAGTAGGCATCAGGTGGTTGTAGTTAACCGCCTTGATGAAAGCCTTGACACGGGACCTCTTGGCGACACGCTTCTGGCCCATCCCCTTCGTGATCTTCAATGGGTAGCGCTCGACACCGGCAACGATGGCGTGGGGGTAAGGCCTCTCCTTTGTGCCCTCGTCAAAGTTCTTGACGATCACGGCCTTCTTGCCGGCTTGGCGACCCTGGAGGATCAGCACGACCTAATTGGGAGGAGGGAGGGACATGCAGAGGGTCAGCATGGGAATTGGGATGGAATTGTCAAAGGTCCTTCCTCCGTTCTGTCTCCGAAACACCTTCCACACCGGCTGCTGCTGCTGTCCGGACCGCCTGCCCGTCGTTGAGTGGAGATGTGTGGGAACCCTGGTGCATTTTCCCACGACCTATTCTTCGTCGCCATTTCCAATTCCTCCGTCCCTTTCCCGCACCACAAAGCGCACCGGCCCGCACGCACGCTTCTCCACCACCCATTCGTCCCTCCCTCAATCGCTTGCGCAAGTTGTCCTGAATTCTTCGAATTTGTCGTTTGTCGAAAATGCCTGTCCCCCAAACCGTCCACCCCTATCCATCCATCCATCCATCCATCCATCCATCCGGCCCTCTCTGTGTTGGAAATGGCGATAGGTTCTCTCTGTTGGGAAGCGAGGTGGTACCTTTCCGTTCTTGAGGAACTTGACCATCTTGTCGAGTGATGATGAATGTGTCGGGCCGAAGAATAGCTCGTGCCGTTGACAACGTTGTGGGGAGTTCAAACGGCGATTCGACGGACAGGATCTGGCGTATACTTGAAGGGGGGAGGGATTAATTATTGGGGACGACGCGATTGAGGAGCGGTGATTGGCTGTGTTATGTGCCGGGAGCGTAAGGTACGGGTGCTATGTGGGGGTCAGATAAGTGGGACAGGATAACCCTATGATAAGGGGGGAACCCTAATGACCCCATCACTGTACGTCAGCAAGAACAAGAGACACGCATATTACTGGTAAGTGAGGCCCCCGTTTCCGTCCTGTGGGAACGCGGCTTTGCCATCTATTCTATTCGGGCCTCTTTCTCAAACGCCGCCCCCCTCCATTTTCCCCACGCCCTTCAACAAACACGCGACTGCAGCAGTTCCCCAGTGCCGACTGCCCAATACAACTCTTGCCCATCAACCAACCAACTGCACTTACTTGTAGGTGAGTAGCCGGGTGGCGTATGCTTGAGGCCTTGACTGTTACCGACCCAGCGAGTTTCGGGCCACATTGTTGATGGATGGCCGTGAGAAAATTCCGCAATCGTGGTTCTGAGATGGAGAACATTTTGTATCGTGTTGGCACAGATAAGCAGGCTTTGGAAGGCATGGTACTGGGAATGAGGGAGTGGCACTTCAAACAGGGCGCCGATGGGATTCCACGCCTTTTGCGCGGCGCCTTGGGAAGGACTTTTTGTCAAGACATTCTAACAAATATCACAAACAGCACAACGAAATCACGGAATTTAGAACCACGCGCAGCCTCATCTAGGCGACACCATCGCCCTCTAATTTCGTAGCGGCGATACCTTCATTTTCTGTGTGTGCCGAAAGTGCATACAGCCCAAGCCGACTCGACACCCTCTTTTCGCAACTGACCTCATCGAAAGTATGTATCCGACGTGTGTTTGTAGTCAGTCATCTGGGAGGAGAAATAACACGAGTTGGATACGCTCCCACCCAGAAAGTTGGTTACTCCGTCCCGATACTAATCCATCCTTCTATTCAAATCTTTCAGCTGCCTTCCCAAACCACCTCCGCGTCCCCGTTCGACCACACCGCCGCAATGGGCGAGCGATTCAACTCGGACCAGTTCACGGTCCCGGCCGAGTTTCCGGAAATCCTCAAGGATCTCAATAAGGAGATCTTGAGGGCCCAGCCCCAGGACATTTATCAGTTTTGCTCGAATTATTTTCAGAAGAAGTTGGAGGAGCAGAGGACTAGGTTGCTTTGTAAGTTGGGGAATCACGAGCGATAGCGAAGTGCGATCGCGAACTAGCGAGTCCAGTGTAATACCGAGCGTCAGCGATGACGAACGCGTTGAAGGGCGAGCGAAGCGAGCCCATAGTAATACTGCGCTACTGTGCGAATCCGAGCGTCAGCGACGGCGAGCGTAGCGATGTCACATTGCGCCAAAGGCGAAATGTTCTCCTCATCGCGGTATTTAGCATGCGCCGGCAAGCTCCGCTCATCCATACTTTGTAACTTCGCTTTGTAATTTCTCGCCTGACATCAAGACTCACGCGCGAACTCAATTCTTCCTCCAATTCTTATAGCAGACGGATACGGGTCGGGAGGTAAAAGTGGCACACCATTCGCCGAGAGTGGTAACGGCGGCAATGTCGCAGCCGACCCTTTCAGCGCGCCCACCGAAAACGCAGGAGGCCAAGACGAAGAAGACCACGAGGAGACCGGCCACGACACAGATGACCACGACGACGAAGAAGATGACGACGTCGATGACATTGCGCCCCCACCCCCTCCGACCAACTACAACCGCGGGCGTCGCACCTCAGTCAGCGCCGAATCAATGGCCCCAACCCTCGACAAAGATTTCGTAAAAGTCGTGATCCCCAAGTCCGACGACCAGAAACAACGCATCGAAGCCGCCATCCGCGGCAACTTCCTCTTCAAATCCCTCGACGACGACCAATACCACGACGTCGTCAACGCCATGGCCGAGAAACGCGTCTCCGCGGGCGATGAGGTCATCAAACAGGGCGGCATCGGCGACTTTTTCTACGTCGTCGAGACGGGCGCCCTCGACGTTTTCGTCTCCCGTAACGGCCAGCCCGCGGTCAAAGTCTTCGATTACGGCGCTAACGGCTCCTTTGGAGAACTGGCACTGATGTACAACGCACCCAGAGCCGCTACGGTCGTCGCAACCCAGGAATGCGTCCTGTGGGCCCTCGACCGCGTCACCTTCCGCCGTATCCTGATGGAGAACACCTCCCGCAAGCGACGCATGTACGAGGCATTCCTCGAGGAAGTGCCCCTCCTTGTGTCCCTTGAACCCTACGAACGACACAAGATCGCCGACGCACTCGAGAGCGTCTCCTTCAACGACGGCGATGTGGTGATTAAACAGGGGGATGTTGGCGACGCGTTCTTTATTATTGAGAGCGGAGACGCGAGGGTTATTACTACTGATGAGAATGGGATCGAGCATGAGATGCCTGGGTTGCAGAAGGGCGATTATTTCGGAGGTTTGTAAATCAATCCCATCATATCACTTCCTATCCCTTCATATCACTCCCATATCCCTTCATATCACATTCCCTTCCCCACTAAATCTTTCTTATGATCTTCAGAATTGGCCCTCCTCTCCGACAAACCAAGACGCGCAACAGTGATCGCTCGCGGCCGCCTGAAATGCGCCACCCTGGGCAAGAAGCCGTTCGTCCGCTTGCTGGGCCCCGTGGTGGATATCATCAAGAGGAACGCGAGCAATTATTTGACGTATTCTGAGAGGATTAGTTTGGATTGATGGGGGAGGTGGATGGGGGGAATGGAGGGGATGGATTATGGGTGAGGAACGGGTAGGAGAATATGCGGTGGCGGTGAGGGAAGGGTAAACACTTTCCCCCTGCTGCTCTCTACCTCCTCTCCGATCGACATAAAAGAAAATACACTTTATTTTGTTTGCTTTCATATGCGCTTCCTCATGTGTCTTCGCCATGTGGAGGGTTCGTTCAGAGCGGTGGTTGGGGGGGGGGGGTGACTCACGCATGTACCTGTGAGTTCTTCCACCTTCACGCTCCCCGTGCACAACGTCAACGTGCTGTCCTGTTGCCCAGCCTCGACACTCGGTTACAGAAAAAGGCACCCCTCCCACTCCTGCCTCCCTACGTACTGTAGAGGCCCTACGCTATATACATAGTTCTAACCCCCCGCCACGCAGTTGAACCCCCCGTCAACGCGTACGTCAAGATTACTCCGCGATTGGCTAGCTGTTCCTAGCCAGCGCTCGTTCCAAACTTTGTACCTTCTAGTTCCCCCCCGCCATCAAGTCATGACGGGAAGTGGAACGGGAAGAGGAAGAGGGAAGAAACGCCCAGCAACGCCATCTCAAAGTCCCAGTGCCAAGAAGAAGAAGGGGGAGAGAGGTACCGACGCGCTGCAGCCTACGATACATGCGTTCTTTGGGGGCGGGACGAAGAGCGGTGGTGCGGGGAGTCAGGTGGGTTTGCGATGAATGCGGTGGGGTGCGGCAAGGGCGATGGGAAACGAGGGATAGGAGGGCGATCAGAGCGAACGGGTTTGCGAGCGCACGGACGGGGGAGGGGGATGGGTGTTGGGTGAACGAGGAGCGGAGCTGACTGTGAGAGGGAGCGGACTGGTCGGGTTTTGGTGCACCGTCGCCCAAACGATGTAGGGGGGAGAGCCCCCTGGGGAAGAAAGAAAGCAGGCCGGTCGACCATCCAATGCTTTCGCCTTCGCTTCGCCCAACGATCCGTCATCCATCGCTTCGCGAGAAACGTATAATTCAATCATCAGCCCGACCTGACCTTTTTTCATTTTGCTTCGCAGGGACAGGACGACCGGGAACAAGTACCGGAAGCAGTGCTGAAAGGCGACCAGTTTGCAGAATGGGAGGAATGGCCGCCGGAAACCTGGCATCAAAAGCTTCATCCGACACCTACTTCCGACAGCAGACCCATTTCGGAAAGCTCTGTGCCACCACGTTCCGATGACGATGAAGATAGGCATGCGGGCGGCACATCCGATATATTAGCGACATTCGATACGGATTCAGCACCGGCCCAGGATTCGATACCACCACCACACAACCCCCCTCCACCATCCTCCGCCGCACTCCCACCATTACCACCCCCAATCCTCACGCTAAGCAGCACATCCGATCCCCCACCCTCCTCCCCCACCCCAGACATCCGGTGCGACATCCCACCACCGCAATTCGACGCCACAGCACTCCCAGCATACTGGACACCCGGCTCGCCGACGCCGTACCGCTGGCTCGCGGACCAGTTTGCCCTTGTGGAGAAGGTCACGGGCAGGCAGTACGTTTGATCTCCTATTGTTGTTGAATGATTATACCCCTTACCCAACCCCCTGCGTATTTCATTGCCGCGCATCGCATTTCTGTAAACATACATCTCAATAAGAATCCATCTCTGACCAATTTCTTTGCGTCTCTTCTTTTCTCCTCTCTCTTCGCATATCATGCAACTCCACCTTACTCCCCTCGACAAAATGGATACACCTCCCCCACAACCAACCTCAGAATAATCACATCAGTCCTAACCAACATGCTCCGCACAATCATCTACACCTCCCCCACCGACCTCCTCCCGGCCCTCTACCTCTGCTCCAACTCCATCGCGCCCCCTTACAAAGGTCATGCGGCATCAGATCACCCTCCTACCCCATACCAACCCCCTGATATCTATCTATCTTTACAGGCATCGAACTCGGTATCGGCCCGCAAATCCTCCTAAAGTCAATCACAGCGATCTCAGACCTCCCCACGAAATCGATCAGGCAGGCGTGGGAACAGAAGGGCGACTGGGGCGATGTGGTTGTGGGCGCGAGGAGGGGGGTGGGGACTCTAGCAATGGGGAAGTCTCTCCGGGGGAGGCTTACCGTGCAGGAGGTGAGAGACGCGCGAAAAGAATAGGGTGATGGGGTGGATTCTTATGGTTTTTTCTCCCGAAGGTGTATAAAACCCTCCACCGCATCGCGGCCCTCCGCGGCGCTGGGACCGTGAATGCAAAGACGGAGCTGGTGAAGAAGGTCATGGTTGCTTGTCAGGTACGGGGTGCTCACCATGCATGGGATCTCCCCACGTAAAATATTCATGTTTTTTTTGGAAGGGCGAGGAATTGAGGTACCTCACCCGCACGCTCGTCGCGCATCTGAGGATCGGCGCCGTGCGGACCACTGTGCTTATTGCGTTGAGGTGTGCGGTGCGATATGTATCACCCCTGTTTTCACGGTTTTTCCTTCATGTTTGACCCCCGTGGAACGACCTTTTTTTGTGTTTAGTCATGCCATCCTGCTGGAAAAGAGCCTGACCCCCGCCGAGGTGCGCGGGATGAAGGCCGACGCGTTGAAGGCGAGGATGAAGGGCGCTGAGGCGGTTTTGAAGGTGCTGCTTGTGTGTTTTTTTTTCGCGGAGGGGCGGGAGACAGAGACCATTCCCGAAGGCAGGGCATTGATGTACATCACCCCCTCGCTGGTTGTAGGAATGCTACGCCCAGGTCCCCAACTACGATATCATCGTCCCGCTGTTGATGGATCCGGCGGTCGGGTTGGAGAGGATCGGGGTTGAGTGTAAGGTATGCCGGGGTGTGGTGATACCACGGAAGGGGAGATGATGATGATTTCAACGATATAAACTCACACACAACCCCCGGCACAGTGCATCCCCGGCGTGCCTATCCGGCCTATGCTCGGGAAGATCACGCGGGATCTAGCGGTACGTAAGGAAGAGCATCCGCCCCATAACGAAAACCCCACAGCTCATTCTGCAATATATGTCATTTTCTTTGGGTGCTGCAGGAAGTCTTTGAAACAATGCACGGCCTCAACTTCTGCGCGGACTGGAAATACGACGGTACCGCGGCATCTCTCCCTTTCTCGGCATCCCCTCTCCCGCATTTTGTCTCACCAACCAAAAACAAAAAACATCACATTCACAGGCCAACGCGCCCAAATCCACCGCACCTCCACGGGCCAAGTGCACCTCTTCTCCCGGCACCTCGAAACCATGACCGACAAATACCCCGACATCGTCGCGCTCGTCCCGTCCGTCTGCCGCGAATCGACCACGTCGTTTATATTGGATGCCGAGGTGGTGGCTGTCGAGGAGGGGCAGGGGGAGGGGGAGGGAAAGAAATATACCGTAGCCTCCTTCCAGACGCTTTCGAACCGCGCACGCAAGAACGTCCATGTGAGGGATGTGAAGGTGCATGTATGTGTGATGGCGTTTGATTTGATGTACTTGAATGGGAGGGTGAGTTTTCCACGTCCCTGGGAGTTTGTTCGCGGGGGGGATTTTGCCTGTTTGCCCTGAAGTATGCGCGATGATATTTCAGAGTCTGATTGAAGAGAGTTTTCGAACGAGACGGGATGCGATGCGCGCGGCGTTTGCGGAGCTGGAGGGGGGGTTTGGGTTTGTTCCGCAGGTATGATTTGCGGATGGATGGCAACCTCGGGTTCCTAACTGACCGGGGTGCGTGTCCGTTTTGCAGCTGGAATCAAAGGATCCGGACGAGGTAGGTTGGCCCCAACGCCCATCCCACCTCGGCGCTGCGAATGGGAAGATGCTTGATTGAATGTGTTTGAGTAGGTTCAGGCTTTCCTACATCTGGCCCTTCAATCCGGATGCGAAGGTACCCCTTGCCATTACCGCCTCCCAATATCCCCCCACCAACTAACCTCCTCCCCCACCAACTAACCCCCCCCTCCACCATCTGACCTCCCCCCCTCCTTCCCCTCAACAGGCCTCATGGTTAAAATCCTCGACTCCCCACCCCCCAGCCTCACCGCCACCCTCCCACGGCACCTCTCAACCTACGCGCCGGACAAGCGGTCCCAATCCTGGCTCAAAGTTAAACGCGACTACCTGACCTCCCTCGCCGACTCGTTCGACCTCGTCCCCATTGGCGCGTGGCACGGGAGTGGCCGGAAAGCCGGGTGGTGGAGCCCGTTCTTGATGGCGTGCGTCGGCGCGGATGGACGCGTGGAGAGTTTTTGTAAATGTATGAGTGGTAGGTGTTTGGCCGGGTGGGGGGGTATGACCGGGGCCCTGCCGTAACGAGCTTTTGAAGGATTTACGGACGCGTTTTATAAGGAGAACAAGGTAGATTCGCACGTCGCGTCCTACCTACCTCATTCTCTGGTCACTCAAACTCATTCTGCTACTCTTGTCCAGGAACGATACTCGCACGAAAACCACACCCTCCTCCCCGCGCCCAAACCCTACTACGTCGTCCACGAGAGCATGCGCCCCGACGTCTGGTTTGAGCCGCTTGAGGTACGCGATGGCGACTCGTGTCATCCGCGGATGTATTCTGATATTTTGGGGGTTTTTTTTTGTCGAGGTGTGGGAACTCCGCGGCGCCGACCTGACCGTCTCGCCCGTGCACCAGGCTGCGATGGGACGCGTGGAGGCTGATAAAGGGATCAGGTGAGAAAACAAAAGAACACATCAAGCACAGCTAGCCCTGTCTCTCACACCGGCATGGTTTTCTGGGGCAGTTTGAGATTCCCCCGCTTCATCCGGAAACGCGAGGACAAGAATGTGGAGGATGCGACGGGGCCTGATGAGGTAAGATGACTGCTGACACAGTGCTGGTGATTTTGCACACACTTATTGGGTTGAATTGGTAGATCGTTGAGATATTTCATAGGCAGCGTGTAAGGGGTCCGCCTGCTGCGGGGGATCTGGGTGGCGGGGAGGGGGACGGGGACGGGGAGGAGGGGATTGAGGATGGGGACGGGGACGGGGAGGAGGAGGGGGACGGGGATGTGGAGAGGGAGGATGGATGAGAGGCTTTGTGTGGAAGCAACCGGACGGAGGCTACGGCGGAAAGCTGGGATGCCGGGTCCGGAGTCTACAGGTAGCGCCGCCAAGTTGGGGGGGGCACCCACTCTCCTCTGTCTGAGCATGTCTTTTTTTCTGGGGGGGGGGGGGGGGGGGGGGGCCTGATGCGTAGCAGCGTATTCCACATCTGGGACAATGTACCGTTTCACACCTGCACATCCGGCATCAATACATGAAAACCCAGTAAACTGGACAAAATCTCGTTCTGCAGTGTCCCCATAAGGCCAGATTCTCGTTCTATCCATGCAGTGGAAATGAACACCCACCGCAAGGTCACTATATACAAAAAACCAGCTCGCCCGTAGCTTCTCCATCCCCCCTCATCCATCAATTGGACGTATCACAAACCTCCCACCCGACCCGACACGTAACAAATCCCCCCAACATATATCTCCCATCCCATCCCACATAACCACACCGCCCCTTCAACTACCCAGCCAAAGGCGGCAAGCTCCGCCCCCGCGCAACCCGCTCATCCGCCCTCCACTGCGCCTGCAACGTCGGCGCGTTGTGGGTAGGGGTGTACGGGGGGAGCCGGTCGTGGGGGGTTGACATGCGACGCCAGATGTTGCGGAGCCTGTTGGATTGGAAAAAGTGAGATATGTGATGTGAGTGGGGGATTGACTGAGGGGAGATGACGAGGGCCGATGTTACCGAGTGTTCTGCATAGCGGCAATCTCGACCTTCCGTTGCCACATGGTGAGTTTCTGGTGCAGTTCTTCTTGTTGCGCGTTCAACGACACGTAGTCCATCACCTAGGCGAACATGAACACACCTGCGTTAACAAACAACCCCCCAACTCAACCCCCCCGCATGGGCACCCGCATTCTCACATCAGGAACCCGGTAATCCTCCATCTCCCCCTTGATCCGCCGATTGACCTTCTCGGCCGCCGCCCGCTCGGCCTCGACGATCTCCGCCTCCGATATGAGTTTGGATAGCAGGTCCTGGCGTTGCGCGATCTCGGAACGGAGGTGGTGCGAGTCGGTTGTTAGCGCGTGCAGTTTCGTCTGTGTGTGGGTGTGGCATATCAGAATCGTCATATTCCACGACGAACAATGAATCGGAGGGGGTGGTGATACCACAAATAGACCTTGTGGTGATTCAAGACCTGCATCGTATTCCCCGCGGTCATCTTCAACTTCAGCAGCTCGGCGTTGCGTTCCTCGATCTTGGCGAGGTACTGTTTGTTCTCGATCTGCAGCTGGTCGAAATCGATCGCGTGGAGGACCTCGCCCATCTCTTCTTTCTGTTTGAGCTGCTGGTGGAGCTTGTTCTTTTGCAGTTTTAGCGTGCTGTTTTTTAGCCGCGTTTTTTTGATGAGCGCGTCCTGTGGGAAGGAGAGGATGGGAGTGAGGGGGTGGGTGATGAAGCGATGCGACGAGGAGGTGCGGCGGGTGTGATCCGCAATTCTGGGGCCTACGGCGCAGTTGGAGCTCCTCGCCTATCGTCTCGCCTCCTCCTCGCTCCGCTCGGCCGTCGCTTCAGTCGCAATGAACACCCACCTTCCCCCTAATCCTTTCCTCAAACCACCTCACAACCCTCTCACTCACAACCTTCCCCGTCCTCTGATTCACAGCGCCGCCCACAATATCCCTCCGGAACTCATAGTACTCCCTCGCGACCTCGCCCAGCCGCACATCCATCTCCTCCATCTCGGCCTTGAAGTTGTCGAGCACGCGCGCCCATTCCTCCTTCTGCTTCTCGATCTCGTCCTTGAGCTCCTCGAGTTCGCGCGTCGCGATCTCGGTCTTCTGGTCCGGTGTGAGCGGGGTCGGGGGGAGCGGCTTTTCGGGCGCGGCGGGCTTTTTTTTGCGACGCGGGGCGGCCGCCGCGGGGCCGCCGACGCTTGAGGGCCCGGTGGGTGCGGTCGCTCCGGTGGTTGTTGTCGTTGCTGTGGGACCCGCAACACCGCCCTCGGTCTCGTCATCCCCCTTCATTGCTCCGCCGCCTCCCCCGGTAGCCCCTCCCGCAGGAACTCCCCCTCCCGCACCGACAGCGACACCGCCGCCATCCCCGCCCACCCGCTTCAAGAAACCTTCAAAAAGGGTGTTCTCCGTCCGCAGCACGCGGCCCTTCTTGAGCAGCTCCTCTGCGAGCTTGACGAGCTCTGTGTCGGTGTAGGTGTCGAAATCGGTGTCTTCTAGGAGGGTTGGGGGGAGGGGGAGGTTGGTTGGTTGGGAGTGGAGTGGGGCGGGGACGGCTAATGGTGGTGGTGGGAGTTGGGAGGCGGTGGTGGCGGTGGGTGCGGGGTCGTCCATGGCTTTTGGATTTCGTTTGGGGCTGCGGTTTGTTGCGGGGGATGGATTGGGAGTCTTGTTTTTCCACTTTTTGCACTGTTTCCGTTGCGGGTGTTCAAAAAAGATGGGCGGTTTGATTCCCTTCCTGCAATCTGAAGAGGGGTAATTTGACAGGATTGACGGTGTTACGTCAGCGTTTTCGACAGCGCGGGGGGCGCAACCATCAGCCAACCCTACTTATATACCTGAACCCCAACGCCAGTCTTTGTAAAATAATTGAATGCAGGGATCATGTGACTTTGATTCGCAGTTTATTATGTCCGAATCCCTCTCTTGTGGGCGCTAACCCTAACTCCCTCGGTTAACCAGGTTGGCTGGGAAGGACGATTTGAAAGGTGCGACTGGTGGGAAAGCGGGAGTGGGGAAACCACAACTGCAAACGTGCGTGTGATTGCCAGCAACGACGACCACACACGACATACTCCCACCCCATCCCCCCCCTGCCCAAGGCTCCCACCTCTCCTCCATACTTGTCTCTGACGCTATCCGCCGCTCGCCGCTCGCTCAAAGGGATTCGCTTCGTTCCGTTCATAACTACCCCGACGACCAATTCAATCCTGACCCTGCAATCCAACGCACAATAACGACTAAACAGCTGCAGCAACACCCAGGCATTTTATCTTATCGGGCGCTCGCTTGCTCGGGAGTGTCCACCACCGGCATCATGGATCCTATGAACGGCTATGGTAAGGACTTGTGTCCCAATTGGGGGATGGTAGGCATGTTCCCCACAAAGTGATCACCCCGCCCGATCACTCGGAGTACACCTCCCCGCTTCCCAGAAAGAACCCCATTCCCACCGCTTCTCACAATCCCATCCCCGCAGACGCACAGTCATCCTTTGACGACAGCGACGAGATCAGCCAGGAAGACTGCTGGGATGTCGTCACGGCTTTTTTCAACGATAAAGGGCTCGTCAGGCAGCAATTGGATTCGTTCGATGAGTTTGTGCAGAATACCATCCAGGAGATTGTTTATGAGAATGCAGAGTTTCAGATTGTTACCCCCGGGCAGCATAGTGGGACGTTGGGGGATGTCACGGTAAGCCGCGAGCGGTAGCGAGGCTTACTGGGAGACGAAGCGTCAGCGAGGTCGACCAGAGTGAACGCCTTCGCGAGCGACGGCGAGTGCGGGCGGAGCGAGTCACATCGCGCCAAAGGCGCAAAACTCATCTCACAGGATTACTTGGCGAGCCTCAGCGAGCAAAGCGCGCAGCTCCGCCCATCGGTCACTCGCGGACGCTCGGATTGTCTACGGAGGGATGGATGATAATAACAGTTTTTTTTTGTAGAAACGATATTCAGTTACGTTTGATCAGATTTACCTGAGTCGACCGACGCATTCGGAAGCAGATGGAGAAGTTCGGAGTTTGTTCCCACAGGAGGCGCGGTTACGGAATTTAACGTAAGGATTGGGAGGAGGCTGGGGCTGGTGATGGTGATGAGGTTGTAAGGAGACGAGTGGCAGAGCGGGAAATATGGGAAAGAAAGCGATTTCGCGGAGGGCAGTCGATGTGGAGGACAGGGACGGGCGCTAGAAAGATATCGAGTGAAGGGCCGAAATTGCGCTGAAGGCTTCTGCTCTGTGCGTCACATCCCGCCGAGCAGTTGCTAATCTTCGATACCACAGATACTCCGCACCCCTCTACGTCGACATCAAAAAGAAAATCGAGTTTGCAGATCCCAAACACCCCCGAAATCGCGACGTAACCCTCGCCAGCGAAATGTACTGGCAGACCGAACAAGAAGAAGAAGACTTCACCCGCGTCTTCATCGGAAAAGTGCCCATCATGCTCCGCTCCAATTACTGCAGTTTGGGCGAAATCACGAGCTCCGAGGCCCCCTCACTGAGCGTCGAGGATGTCGGGGAGTGTCCGTACGACCAGGGCGGGTACTTTGTCATCAACGGATCGGAAAAAGTGCTGATTGCGCAGGAACGGATGGCGTTCAACCAGTGCTATGTCTTCAAGAAAGCCGCGCCGGGGCCGTACCTGTACAGTTGCGAGATCAGGAGTCAGGCTGAGAAGGGCAGCAAGTTGCCGTCGACACTGTTTATCAAGATGATGGCGCCACGAGCTGGGAAGACGGTACGTAACTGGCATCATTCCCCGCTCTCTCTTACTACATCACTCACCGACCCATTCCGACTCCTACAGACCCTCGGCTCAACCATCAAGACATCTCTCCCCTACATTAAATCCGACATCCCCATCATCATCGTCTTCCGCGCCCTCGGTATCGTCACCGACCGCGACATCCTCGAACACATTTGCTATGACTTTAACGACCACCAGATGCTGGATCTGCTGAAACCGAGTGTCGAGGAGGCGTTTGTGATTCAGGATAGGACTGTTGCCTTGGATTATATTGGGAATAGGGGGACGCAGGTGGGGGTTAGTAGGGAGAAGAGGTTGAGGTGAGTTTTGGGAGTTTCAAGGAAAAGATGGGCTTTGCATTGCATCCGAATCACAAGTAAGGCCTGGGCGATGGTTCCTGACCGAGCATGATCTTCCAGATACGCAGCGGACATCTTACAAAAGGAAATGCTGCCCCACGTCAGCACAACCCCACACACGCAAACGCGCAAAGCCTTCTTCTTTGGGTACATGATCCACCGCCTTCTCCTCGCCGCCCTCGAACGCCGCGAACTCGACGACCGTGACCATTTCGGCAAAAAGCGCCTCGACCTCGCCGGCCCGCTCCTCAGCAGCCTGTTCCGCACGCTGTTCCGCAAACTCACCCAGGACGTGAGCCGCTACACCAAGAAAGTCGTCGACAGCGGCGGCGACTTCAATCTCTCCATGGCCGTCAAGGGCGGCACCATCACCCGCGGTCTACAATACTCGCTCGCAACAGGGAACTGGGGCGACCAGAAGAAAGTCATGTCGGTCAAAGCAGGCGTCAGTCAGGTGTTGAATCGATACACCTACGCATCCACACTCTCCCACTTGCGTCGTCTAAACACACCCATCGGGCGTGACGGCAAGCTCGCCAAACCCCGTCAATTGCACAACACACACTGGGGCATGGTGTGTCCCGCCGAAACGCCCGAGGGCCAAGCCTGCGGGCTCGTCAAGAACCTGTCCCTGATGGCAACCATCACCGTCGGGCAGCCCGTGGACCCCATCCTGCAGTTCCTCTCGGAATTCGGAATGGAAGCTCTCGAAGACACCCCGCCCTCAATCATCCCAAGTTCAACAAAAGTGTTTGTGAATGGACAGTGGCTGGGTATCCACCGTGACCCCGACGCGCTGGTTAATACTTTGAGAGGATTGAGACGAGCGGCGGATGTCAGTGTGGAGATTTCGATTGTGAGGGATGTGGTTGATAAGGAAGTGAGGGTTGCAACAGACTATGGAAGGATTTGTAGGCCGCTGTTTGTGGTGGATGAGAAGACGGATATGTTGGCGTTGAAGAAGTCGACTTTGGAGGCTTTCAGGCCGGATGTGAGTATACATAAGTATGAGAGGAAGGCGGTAAATGCCGGACAGTCGCTGACAACATTATCCCCACCACCAGCCCGACGGCGACGTCGAACCCACCCAAACCTGGCCCTCCCTCCTGGAAAACGGGCTGGTAGAGTACCTCGACACCGAAGAAGAAGAAACCGTGATGATTGCAATGGACATTGAAGAATTGCAGCGCGTCCGCGCGATTAAGCGCGGCAGCGAGTGGGTGAAGGAAGTGACGGACAAGACGGCGAGGTTGAGGTCCAAAGCGGCGTATGCGAGCAGGTTTACGCATGCGGAGATTCATCCGAGTATGATTTTGGGGATTTGTGCGAGTATTATTCCGTTTCCGGATCATAATCAGGTGGGTGTGGGACGATCTTTTTTTCCGAGGGTGTTTTGTGTCTCGCCTTCTAATGGGGGAGAAATTGGCAAGGTGATTTGGTGATCTGACTCACCCGACTTTTTTTTTGTGAATCACAGTCTCCGCGTAACTGTTACCAGTCCGCGATGGGCAAGCAAGCGATGGGCATCTTCCTCACCAACTTCCAAGTCCGCATGGACACGATGGCCAACATCCTCTTCTACCCCCAGAAACCGCTCGCAACCACCCGCGCGATGGAATTCATGCACTTCCGCGAACTCCCCGCCGGCCAGAACGCCATTGTCGCCATCGCCACCTACTCCGGTTACAACCAGGAAGACTCCCTGATCATGAATCAATCCTCCATCGACCGCGGCCTGTTCCGCTCAATGTACTACCGCGTCTACATGGACACCGAGAAGAAAATTGGATTGATTGAGAGCGAGACCATCGAGAAGCCGTACCGCGAGGACTGTTTACGGTTGAAGCATGGGTCGTACCATAAGATTGAGCACGATGGGCTGATTGCCCCCGGGACAAGGGTGAGCGGGGAAGACATTATCATTGGAAAGACGGTGCCGATCAAGGAGGATAGCACGGAGATGGGGCAGCGGACCGCGGCGCATACCAAGCGCGACGCGTCGACGCCGCTGAAAAGCACCGAGAACGGGATCGTGGACCAGGTGATGGTGACGACCAACGAGGCCGGGTACAAGTTCGTCAAAGTGCGCATCCGCAGCGTGCGTGTGCCGCAGATGGGCGACAAATTCGCCTCCCGCCACGGACAAAAAGGAACGGTTGGAATAACCTACCGCATGGAAGACATGCCCTTCTCCTGCCAAGGCATCGCGCCCGACATTGTCGTCAACCCACACGCCATCCCCTCGCGAATGACCATCGGACACTTGGTCGAGTGTCTCTTATCAAAGTTGTCCACCATGACGGGCATCGAGGGCGACGCGACCCCGTTCACCGACGTGACCGTCGACCAGATCTCCAACACGCTTGAGCACTACGGGTACCAGAAACGCGGGTTCGAGGTGCTGTACAACGGACACACGGGGAAGAAGTTGCAGGCGCAGGTGTATTTCGGGCCGACTTATTATCAGCGGCTGAAGCATATGGTCGATGATAAGATCCATTCGAGGGCTAGGGGCCCGGTGCAGATCTTGACGCGGCAGCCGGTGGAGGGACGGAGTAGGGATGGCGGGTTGAGGTTTGGGGAGATGGAACGGGATTGTTTTATTGCGCACGGGGCTGCGCAGTTCCTTAAGGTACTGTGAACATCACCGTCGTTTCACATATCGGATGGGGACTTGATATTAACGGACTATGATAACGTTTTTTTTTCACAGGAGAGGTTATTCGACGCCTCGGACGCGTACCGCGTGCACGTGTGCGACCGGTGCGGCCTGATGGTGATTGCGGACCTGAAGCGCAACAAGTACGAGTGCCGCATCTGCAAGAATACCACTGAGATCTCGCAGGTGCATATCCCGTATGCGGCGAAGCTGCTGTTTCAGGAGTTGATGGCTATGAATATTGCGCCGAGGATGCTTGTTACGTGAGGGAGGGTGAAGGAGGATGGAGGTTGAATGTGAGGATGGGCCTGAGCGGAGAACACATGCCTCGCTTTGCATCGCTCCGTCGGCGTAGGATGTCTCACTCAACGGAATGGAGACCCCAATCAGCGGGGAGTGACGGGCAAGTGGATTGGTTTATGGATCGAAGCTTCGATCGCTTCAGAATGAACGGTTCCCGTTTCCCCACAAAGCAGGCACGGTTTTATGTGTCCCCTCTGCTTCCCGGGGTAGTGGAGGTGGAGGAGAAAGGGAATCTCTGTCTCTCTCGCTGCATACATAATGTACATTTTGTGTTTATTGCATATTATTCTTATCCACAGAGAGGAGGATGTGGAGAAAGCGTTTCTGGTGGAACGGGGAGTTGTGATGTGATTTCGCGTGGAGAAACCAAGAAACCAGGCTTGAGCTTTCCGACATCAACATCCGCTCAAGCAGCATTAGAACTTCAACAGCAACCTACGCATACACTCCTTGGTCAGCTTGCAGGCACTATACAGCGTTTGCCACACGACACACACATATTCGCCATCTGTAATTCCCTTCATAAAAGCATAATGAACCGCCTCACACCATCCCTCCGCCATATCCGCCTCGTCGCACCACGGCCGATAACCCCGATATCAACCCGGCTATGTCCTCCACGGAGTCTAGGGACGGTGGCGGGGTGCCGGGGGTTTGCGTGCGGGGTGGGGATGCAGAGGGATGTGATACTGAGTCTGCACATACGGTCGAATGCGCATTCGAATGGGGATGGGGGGGCGAGGAGAATCCCGACGAGGGGTCTCGCATCATCCCCAGGGACCCAAAGCAGCGATCCATCACCATCACGCTCCCCGGACCCAGCATCAGTGACCCCCGACGACCCGTCCGCCCCGCGCACATGCTGGCACTGCAACGCGACCCTCGCGCCGTCGTCCATCTTCTGCCCCGCGGAAGCGGCCAACGACCGGATGGTGATCCAGCCGATTGGGGCGGATGCGACCTATTTGGATGTTTTCTTCCCGGAGGGGGCGGACGAGGTGGGGGGGAGGGAAGCGAGGAAGTGGCGGTTTGATGTAGATGAGGCGGGGTTGAAGAAACGGTTCCTGGAGTTGCAGAGGGTCGTGCATCCGGATGGGTTTGCGGGCAAGTCGAAGGTATGTGCGTGGGGGCCATCAGACCAGTGGGGGATTTACATGCTTGACACCTCACCCCCACGGCTTCTCTCATCGTCACACAACACAACAGACAGAACGCCTCTGCGCGGCCCAACAATCCACCTTCATCAACAAAGCCTACCAAACCCTCCGCGACCCGCTCGCGCGCGCCAAATACCTCCTGTCCCTCCACGGCATCGCCGTCGACTCCGAAGCCGCTGGATCCGAGCCGCAGATCGACGACCCGGAGGTGCTGATGGCGGTGATGGAGGCGAGGGAGGAGATCGAGGAGGCGCGCGGGGAGGACGAGCTGCGGGGCATCCAAGCGGAGAATGAGGGTAACATCCCAAAACCCAAATCGGAATGTTTGTGCGGGCTGAACTGACGCATTTATACTGTTTTTCTTTTTTTTTTTTAAACCCAGAACGGATAAAAACGACCTTGAGGGAGATTGAAGCGGCGTTTGCGAAACGGGATTTGAACGCTGCGGCCCAAGCGACCACCCGGCTAAGGTACTGGCGGAATATCAGGACCGCGATCGAGGAGTGGACGCCCGGGGGCCGGGTTGAGATCAGGCATTAGATGAGGAGAGGATTTGGCATCGGACTCCCCTTACGAAGCCTGCCGCCTCTGCCCCGTCTCCTCGCCATAGCACCATAATGATCAGCGGAACCACATCTTACATCGAGTAGGCTAGCTCCATCACATTCACACGTAGCAACACGGTTCAATGTACATACATTTACATTTAGGCATATATAGATGGAAAACGCAACCCTTTGTATCCGGCACCGTTTCGTGCATACGACCAGGGACGTATCTCGCAAGGAAGTGATATCAACATCACCCGCATATCGTTTTGTAGCTAGTTGCATGCGTATAATGTATATTGACAAAAAAAGAGTGCGAAGATCTCCGCAGGGGGTATATAAAACTCTTTGAGCGTGAACTCATCACCAAGCCTCCCAAAAAAACAAAAACGAAACGCGTGCTGTGATGCGCTGCGTATCCTCCCTCTTCGGCCGTGTACATCATACCCACCGCCCCCCAAAAAAACACAGGGTTATGATTGCCTACTTCCGCGCTACACCGATGGTTGGGATGGCGCGTACGCGCGCCGATACTTTGGGCGGCGCGACGATGGGGATCCCCGTCGGTTCCGTCTGTGCTGGCGCTGGCGTCGACGGCGTTGTATTCGCGCTCGTCCCTGCATTTGCATTCCCACTCGCAGCAGCACCTTCGCCTCCCCCACCTTCCCCTCGGCGTCGCGGCACCACCCGCGGTCCACCCATCCTCGGCTTCACTCCACCCGCCCCGGGGATCACGGCCCTACTCGGCCGCGGCACCGATAACTCGAGCGGGATATCGACCGCCAAGGGTGCGCCGACGTCCGGTTCCTCGACGGGGGGCACGAATTTCCTCGCCGCCTGCGGCACCGGCCGTTGCATCTCCTCCGCATCCTCCTCGTCCTCCAACACAATCGTCGCCGCCCCAACAACTGCAGCAGCGGCAGGCGACCTCTCTTTGACCACCGCCTCCGCATCGTCAGCATCGTCGCGTTTCACCCGCTTGCTCTCGGGGCCGGGGGCGGACTCGTCGTCGTCGTCGTCGCCGTAGTCCTCCCCCGCGGCCCGCGCAGCCATCTTGCGTTTCTGCACTCGCTCTCGGACACTCTCCTTCATCTTCTCCGCGACGTCCTCCGCTGTCAAAACAAAAATAACACACAATCAATAACCCCCGTCATCCCACACACCCCCAAAAACAAACAACCACAAAGCATATTGAGGATTTTTGGAAACCGTACGTAGATTTCGACGCCGGAGGATGGCGGCAGAGAGTTTCCGGGCGTTGGTGCGTTCCTCGGCGTTGTATTTGGCTTTGATCTGCGCGCGGGTCAGGTCCGGCAACAACAGGGAGATCATTCCAAAATCCGTGCCAAAGTAACTCAGGCCCTACAACCGTCCACCAAAAAACCCCCCATTATCAGTCAACGCATGTGGATATATATACCCCAGTGTGATACCCCCAAAACGAACCTGATAAAACACCTCGGTGCGTTCCCCCGTCCATTTGACTCTCCCCATCCGATCCTTGCGTCGGAAACTGGCGCTCGTGACGTGGCGCATCACGCCTTCGTCCACCGTCTCCAACTCGCTTTCATCCAGGACTTTGTTCTGCACGACTAACGTCTCCGTGTCGACGACGTAGCGGCCGTCTGCGCCGAGTTTCAATTGCGGTCCCGCTCTTCTGACGGGTTGTTGTTCAGGCTCTGAGGGGGCGGGAGAAGCGGAGCGGGAGCGGACGGAGGAGGCAGCAGGGGATGAGGAGCGGGTACGGGCCTCGCGTTTTTGTTCGCGGCGGAGCTCTTCGAGGCGGGAGAGTTTGCCGGAGGGGAATTTGTGCTTGATGAGGGCGGAGAGGGTTATTTTTGGGAGGGTTGTTTCGTCGAGGATCTCAGGGACGTCGTCGGCGGGGGTAAAGTCCGGGTCGGCGGTGGGGGAGGAAGGGGAGTGTTCTTCGTGGGTGGGAGAAAGGGGCGCGGCGGAGCTGATGACGGTGGGGATGAAGGAGGCGCGGGAGCCGGAGCGGGCGCGGGTTATCATTGGGGTTGAGGGGGGTGGGATCTGGGTACCATGATAGGGCTGTTAGCATCACGAATTGTGTATCTTCGAATCCCAGGTCCCGAACATACCGATAGAGATGAGCTGGTATGGGGTGTCGCGATGGGCAATGCTCTGTCGGTCTCTTGCGGCTTGTCGGCTGGTAAGGATGTCTTCTGGCCCGGTATTAGGATCGCCTGGGTGCGAATGCCCGGTACAATGCCTCCTATCTGAGTTTGCGGGGAGGGAAAAGAAGGAAGATATGAGACCCAGTTGGTTTGAGATCCATCAGCCGTCAACCAAAAATGGAACGAAGCGAAGGCCGAGTTTGCTTGGGGCGGATGGTTGAAAGAATATCCTGCTCGCTTCCGCTCGCGACAAGGAAGTCGGACGGTATCGGTGAAGGGAATATGGCGCCTTTGGCGCAATGAAGCTCGCTTCGCTCGCCTGGCTCAAGCAACCCAGCCCCTCCCTCGCCCTTCCCTCGCCGCCATATGGCATTCCACGCGAAATACGCAAAACACACCTTAGGTGGCACACCCTTCCTGGGCCGACCCTCACTCGCATTAATCGACACATGCTCCTCATCATCCAACACATCCGTGTCCTGCATGGTGGCGACGACCAGTGCTACACCGCCGGTGGGTGTTTGTTCTTTTTGGAGGAGTACGTCTTTTAGGATGGGTGCGGGGAGTGTTGGTTTTGATGGTGGTGCTGTTGTTGCTGGTGCCGTGGATGGAGGTGTCGGGATGGCTGGCGCAGCGGTTATTGTGGGTAGTGGTGTTTTCTCCGGTATACCCGATCCTGCGACCTCTACGGCTACTGCATTCGTCGCATTCACAACCACCGCCCCTGCTCGTCCAGCGCCTACCCCTATCCCAGTCCCAACCCCAGCAACCGTCCGCCTAGGCTCCACCACCACCCCTACTGCCTCATCATCCCGCGATTCCACCTGCGGTTCCTGCGTCCCCTGCGCCTGTATCTGCGTTGCCGGTTGTTGTGGCACACCCACTTCCGCGGTTTCGACAGGCGTAGCTCCCACCGCCGTCGCTGCCGGCGTATTCGTATTCGCATTCGTAGGCGTAGGCGCAGGCGTAGGTGTAGGTGTAGGTGTAGGAGTCGGCGTGACCGTTGTTGTTGCTGCATTTAGCGTCGGCTGCGAACCCCCTCCAGCAGCTGCAGCTGCAGAACCAGGCCGTGGCCTCCCTGGCCTCGGTTTGACTTTGGGCGCAGGACCGAATTTGCCTGGGCCTCGGCCTGTAGGTGGGGATAATGGGGTTAGGTGTTTCATGCGGTGGGATGGATATGACGGTGGGAGGGTATACTTACTGACTCCTGAGAGTGTTAGCTCTACCATGTTGGGACTGGAGAGAGACTATGGGACGCTGGAGAGAGGGAGCAGTGCGACTGTGAGAGAGCGTATGGAGTAGGTTGAGAAGGGACGCTGAGCGGGGAAAAAAGCCGTTCTGGAAAGAGGGGTGTTCTAAGAGAGATCGGACACGCGCGGAGTGGGACATCCCCCCCTCAAGGCGTTATCATATCAGGGACGGCTTGCAGTTGCCACACCACACACTCCTGCTGGCCATGAACTTCACTATGATGGGCGGGGAGCGACATGAAGCACGAGTGTCGGTCCTTCGTCGGCGAGTTGTTTGCAGGGTGCCCGTTGGGTGTTTGCAGCTGCCGAGGGGGGGTGCTGAACGAGGAGGGAGTGCGACTAAACGAGACAAAAAGAGCCTGCGCGTTCCTCTCAGCGCTCACGGCTATTACTGTACACTCCTCCACAGAAGAGATCACTCGGCACAGCACTGCGCCATGACAAACGACGAACAGGACCACCAACAGCAGCACCCGCATTCCGCCTCTCAACACCTCCTATCCTCAGCCCCCTCCCCTCCGTCCCCTCCCTCAGCCCCGGAAGCACAAATGTCGTCAACAACAACCGCAACCCCACCCCAACGCCCTCTCCTAATCCTCTACGCAACAGAGACAGGCACCGCCCAGGACGTTGCGGAGCAACTTGCAAGGGAGGCGAAGCGGAGGTGGTTTGATGTGCGGGTTTTGGGAATGGATGAGTATGATCGGGTGAGTTTTGGTGAGAGGGGGGGAGGGGAACGAGGAGGAGGAGGAGGAGGAAGGGGCGGGCAGGCGGCGATGGATGCGACGAGCGAATGCTTCGGCGAGGGACAGCGAGCAGCGAAAATGAGCCACAGCGAACGGGCGGTCTTAGTCAGACCAACCCCATATTCCTTGTTGCGGCCCAACCATCCAACGTTCGCTTGGTAGTCATGCAGGGGCTGCGTCGCAATGTATGTTTGATGGACCCGCGGGCGATACCTTGCCCCATCCAGATGCGATACGATCTTGAACAGTGACTGACTCAACCCTCCATGTTACTCCACAGTCGCAGCTAATCAACGAACCCCTCGTCGTCTTCATCTGCTCCACAACCGGCCAAGGCGAAGAACCCGCCCCAATGACCAAATTCTGGAAGTTCCTCCTCCGCAAAACCCACCCGGCCGACATTCTTTCCCACATGCACGCAGCAGTGTTTGGCCTCGGCGACTCCTCCTACGCCAAATTCAACTTCCCCGCCAAGAAGTTGTACAAACGCTTAGCGCAGTTGGGCGCCCAGATGCTGTTGCCGCGAGGCGACGGCGATGATCAGCACTACATGGGGTATGAAGGTGGATTGGACCCGTGGTTGGAGGGGTTTTGGGAGAAGGTCTTGGCAAAGTGGCCGATACCCAAGGGGAAGGAGATAGTGAGCGCGGAAACGATCCCGGAGCCGAGTTTCGAGATTCGGTTCCTTGAAGACGAGCCGACAGCCACGAATGCGGTGGATGCGGGGGATGCGACAGCGTCTCCTTCGACATCAACGAACGGGCACACAGAAGTGAGAGAACCCCACCACCGCCGCCCCACCCGCCTCACCGCCCACCTCACAACCAACACGCGCCTCACCGCCCCCACCCACCCACAAGACGTCCGCCACCTCGAATTCGCCCTCCCCCCCTCCACAACCTACAACCCCGCCGACGTCATGCTCATCCACCCCCAAAACCTTCCCACCGAAGTCGCATTGGTCCTCGACCACTTCAACTGGACATCCATCGCCGATAAGGTCTTCACACTCCACCCCACCGCGGATCATATATCTCTTCCGGCCCACCTACCCACCCCCCTGACACTACGGAATCTATTAACATGTCATCTAGATATCCTCGGTCGCCCCCGCAAATTCTTCTTCCACCTCCTCGCATTCTTCACCACCGACCCGCTCCACGCCGCGAAACTGCGAGAATTCACAACACCGGAAGGTGCATCGGAGTTGTTCTCCTACGTCACGAAACCGCGTCGAACGATGTGGGAGATCCTCCAGGATTTCACCTCGGCCACCGTTCCTCTAAAATACCTCCTGGACCTGATCCCCCCGCTCCGCCCACGCTCCTTCTCGATCGCATCCTCGCCCGCGGTGCATCCGCACACGATCCACCTCTGCGTCGCGATCGTCGGGTACAGAACCAAGCTCCAGAAACAGCGAACGGGCGTGTGCACGGCCTACCTCGCCCACCTCACACCGCCGTCGCCCGTGCGCTTTGAGATCAAACGCGGCTCGTTGAGATTACCGCGGGATCCCACCACACCGGTGATCTTTGTCGGACCGGGGACCGGGGTCGCCCCCCTGCGCTCCCTCATCCAACACCGCGCCCACGCCAACCGCGCACACCTCGACACCCTCGTCTTTGGCAACCGCAACCGCCACGCTGACTTTTTATACCAACCCGAGTGGGAACACTTGGAGCGCGCGGGGATGAAGCTCCTGACCGCGTGGTCGCGCGACCAGGACACGAAGATATATGTGCAGGACCGGATGCGGGAGCACGAGGCGGGGGTTGGCGAGACGATGAGGAAGGGCGGGTGGGTTTTGGTCAGTGGGTGAGTCACACTTCATAAACAAGCGGTTTCATTGTCTACGTGTTTTTTTGAGGGTGTTGATGTGGGGGTTCTTTTTTTAAGGAGTGCGAATAGGATGCCGAAGGACGTCACAGCCGCCCTCGTCGACATCGTCGCTTCTCAATATTCCATGACCCCCGCGGACGCTGAGGAGGAAGTAAGGAAGTGGGTGAGCGAGGGAAGGGTGCAGATGGAGTGTTGGTCGTAGAAAAGGAACGCCCTCGTATGAAGCACTCCCCCGTTGGTAGTGCTGTTTGTTGGGCAGGGCATGCACCGCGTAGGGTAGATGTAGAATAGAATGTGTCAAGTGATCTATGCGTTGCGTGATTTGATATCCCCAATTGGCGAAAAGGAGTGATGTGATGTGAGAGAAACCGGATTGTATTAGGGGTAGCTTGAAATGCATTAAACGATGTGAATGGATGCCGAGAGAATTAGGTACAAGATGTAGTAATATGCTAAAATGATGATGATATGCTATGCGTGCATGAAGTGTGAGAGGGAAAACCAGCGGGTCCCAGTAGATAGTGGTACAAGTTCCTACCTCCCCACCCACTTCCTCCACCTCTCCCTCCAGCACCTGAGCTCCTCCCTCGCGGCGCCCCTGTACATGCGATTGCCCCCCAGGAACAGCAGCGGGTTCAGGAGCGTGTACGCGACGGCGCCAAAGTAGCTGATGCTGTCGACCCACACGGGCACGGGCTCGAACGTGACGAGGTTGTACCCGATGGAGAGGAAGAGTGGGAGGATGCAGAGGTAGTAGGAGACGACGATGATGAAGGCTTGCTTGGCGAGGGCGTAGGAGAGGGTGGCTGCTTGGGTTTCGAGGAGGCGTTTTTGGCGATGGGCGAAATTGTTGGAGGGGGTCGGGGTGCGGCGGGTGGTGAGGGTTGTGAAGAGGCGGGCGGCGGAGCGGGTGGGGCGGGAGTTGGGGGGTGGGGAGGAAGGGAACGGGGAGGCGTGGGCTGGGGCGGAGGTTGTTTGGGATGGTTTGGAGAGAGAGGATGAAGGGCTTGTTGGGGAAGGGAGCGGGAGGGAGCCTGCTGATGTTGCCTTTGGGCCGACTTTGTTTTGGGGGGATCCCCCCGAGGTGCGTTTGGAGGGGAGGAGGGAGTGGAGGGAGCGTGCGAAGGGGCCGGTTGAGAGGAGGGTTGTGATGGGGGAGACTGAGGTGGCGCGGCTGTTGTGTGGTGGGGGTGGTGGGGAAGTGGGTGTGTGCCGCGAATTGAGAGGGGATGTGTAGGCTGGCGGGGGGTATTTCGCCGTTGGGGCGGTTGTCGCGTTTCGGGAGCCTTCCATCAATGACTTCCCGTTGGTGAAGGATGTGGAGAGGTCGCCGAGGAAATTCGGAAGGGGACTTGCGGGGCCGTTGGGTCGCCCAGGGGATGTAGGCGAGCGCACGGTGACTGGCGCGGGTAACCCATCCACATCGATGGAAGGTGTGATGACCGTCCGTGGCGGGGGTGTGACTTTGATCTCCACGTCGTCGGGGTTGCCCTTTTGGCGGTGGATGGAGCGGCGGCGGCTGCGGGTATGGTTTTGGCGGTGGTCGGGAGAGGAAGGGGTTGGGATCTGGTTGGCGGTGAATAATGAAGGTGTATTCGATCCAGCGTCGGCTTGATGTACTCGTTTCCGGTCGTCGAAGCCGCTGTCGTCGTCGTCGTCGTCTTCCGAACGATCATCATCCTTCTCATCGTCATCACTAAAATCGACCATCTCATCATCCTCATCATCATCGTCGTGCTCCCGCGTCCGATCTATCCTCGGTTTCCGCGGCGGCGGCCTAGCGTCCTCCAGCTCGAGGTCGTCGTTATTCCCAAGGCACCCATTCCGCAACCCTTCACTCTTCGGCAGATAAGCCCCATCCAGATGCGTATACGCCTCCGTTGCGGCAGTCGGCTCCCCAAATCCGAACCCAAGCGCATCCCCATCGGCCCCGGCACCATCGAACGCGGGTCCCCCAAACTTATTGAAATTCGACTCGACCATATCGACCGCCGCATACTGCACCTTGCGGAACTTCTGGTAGATTTGAACATACATCCACAGCACGCCAATCATGGCCGTCGCAAACGAGGCGAGGGCGGTTAACGCGATCGACGCGCCGCGCCAATCTCCCGAGGCCATGGAGGGCAGGCACCAGACGCCGCTGGGCATGACCGTCGCCCACGACTGCATCATGAACGAAAAGGACGTACACAGGAACCCGAGGCCGAAGATGGCACACAGGATCCATCGCGCGTGCAGCATGGTGACGTCCTTTTGCAGGTTGATGGTGATATATCGTTCAGCGGTGAATGCGACCATCGAGAACTGGGCGACGATGCCCCACAGACCGTCGATGAAGCCCTGCACCTGGCACGCGCCGAACCCGCCGACATGGTGACCCAGGATTGCGGCGCCGACGTGCCGGCCAAAGAGGGCGTACCCGACCGAGATAATGTCCATCCAGAGTATGCTGAGGCCGAACAGTTTTGCGGGGGAGACGGGCACTCGCCGTGCGATCCAGAGGGTGAAGACGCCGAAGATGAAAGCGAAAATGCAGAGGGTCATGCCAATCCAGTTGTAGAGGACTTGACGTTCGGACAAGCGGAAGGGGAGGCTGTTGAGAGGAGTCAATATAGACCTGTTAGTCGGGACACTTCGGGAGGGGAATGGAATGCAGCTCCGACTCGTTCGTACAAGTATTTCCCCTGGCTCATGGCTTTTGGTATGGGATCGAGATAGTACTGGCCGTCAGCGTCCGGCGTCTGACCGAAGTCGTCTGGCGGCTCGAATGACGGGAGCGGCATGGCAGAGTTGAGACCTTTCCGAAGTGAATTGCGAAGGTGTCAGATGCTGCTATAGTCGTCGGTCAAGGTTCACCTGGGTGCAGTGCCTCTTCCGCACACACGCAACCGAGACACACACACATACCTTTTGCCAGCTACCGTAGGCTACTGTTCTCTCCCGGTGTGTCGAGGAGGGATGGCGAAGGCAACGAATACTGACCACCTATACAGAGTAGAGTAGTGCAGCGCCCTGGTTGAAGTCCGTCCTATGTCTGTCAATAGTAGCGATACCGTACAGTACAACTTTCTATTAGGGGCGGCAATGGCTTGACTTGGTTTGACTTGGCTTGACTAGACACCGTAGCCAGACCACCAGGTGGTCAAGAGGGTGGTGATCAAACCAAGTCATGCCCAGCCCAGCTAGCCGTTGGTTAACCACGGGTAAGCTTACATAATAATGTGACAGTGTCTTTTGACACATTCATATACAATGGGCTTAGAAGGGAATGTCCTAACCCTAACCCTAACCCTAACCCTAACCCTAACCCCAACCCTGACCCTTAGAAGGGAATGTTCTAACCCTAACCCTGCCTAACCCTAACCCTGCCTAACCCTAACCCCAAGCCTAACCCTAACCCTAACCCTGCCAAATCATCGCAGTCATCGCAGTAATCTTGGTTAACCGGTTAACCGGTGATCAAGCCATGACTTGCCACTTTGTAGCCAAGTCAACTGATGGTTTGCTACTTTGCTAGCCAAACCGTAGCCTAGTCAGACCGCGCCATGGCTTGACCACGGTTAACCTCACCATCTGCCGCCCCTACTTTCTATTGCGTTTGGGCGACGTCCGACGGGAGGCTTCAAGACGGGTGATTAAACCCCCCAGAACTACCGGAAAAGTAACTCAGGGGCACAGCAGCAGCATCGGCAACCGCATTGCCCCCCAGCAGTATGTACATACAGTCCTAGCGACAGCTCATACATATGCACGCACGCCAACGGCCATATTCCTTTTGAAGCCTCCACACTCATCCCACTGAGACTGTCGATATTCACCATGGGGGATGACGAAGCAGCCAAACAAGACGACTTCATCGCTTTCGACATGGACGAAGAGCTCATAGATCAGTGTGACGGGCCAGTCCCAACCTCCTCTGTAGCAGCCCACGGCACCGGCACAGGTTCAAGATCGCGCGCCCCCCCGACAGCAATACAATACCACCACCCGGGGCAAAACAGGCGGTCCCGCCAACCGCCGAGGCCCCCACAACGACCCGGGCAACGTCCATTCCAAGCCGCGATTGAGGAAACCAGAGATAAACAGCCTCGAGGTGTTGACGCCGTTACCCATCCCACCTTGGCAACCAAAAGACAGGAAATATTCAAGGAACTTGTTGAAGATGCTGCATGAGGAGATTGATGATTATATCTCGTACTTGATCCCCACCGAAGCTGGGCATGCTATGTGAAGGCCAACAATCGACCGCATTACGAGTGTGGTACATACTGTACGGCCAAAGGCTGATGTGCGCATTTTTGGGAGTTTCGAGACCAAACTGTATTTACCTTCTAGGTACGGGTGAATTCCCTTCTTGCAGGCCCCCGTCACAGCGGGGGACCCTGCATGTGTATGAACAAAGATGTTGATCCAAGCCAATACATCTTACACCCGCGCGCAGTGATGTGGACGTGGTGATATTAGATCAGACAATGCATCTCCCACCAATACGGCAAGTAAAGGAGGCCATCCGAAAAGCAGGAATTGCATCAAGGATGGAATGCATAACAGGCGCCAAGGTACCAAGGCAGGAGTTTGCTTACCCCCGTAACCCCCTTTTCCACCCAAAATGCGCGACAATTGCGCAACCCCACACCCCCCGAGGTCCCCATCATCAAGATGATGAAGTCCATAACAGGCTACCCTGCCAACATCAGCGTCAACGTTGCCGCCGGCATGCACGCCACTGAGATCGTCAAAACCTTCCTGAACGATCCGCGGTGCGGCGAAGGATTACGGGTGCTGCTGCTGATCATGAAGCAGGTCCAGTTGCAACGGAACCGGAATGAGATTTTTACCAGTGGGATAGGAGGTTACACGCTGATGAGCATCATTGCGGCATTTATGAGGGTATGGGCCAGTGATTCAGATGTCGGCGAGGGTGCGGAAGGGAGAAGCTGATGTGTCATGTTGGAATTACGCAGATGCATCCGAGACTGCAGACGGGACGAATACAGGCAAAAGGTAACCTTGGAGTGCTGCTGATCAAGCTGTTGGAGTTTTACGGAGTCAACTTCAACTATGAGGTGGTTAGGATTGCAATGGATATGGAAGGAGTGTGGTATTTCCCCAAGGTGAAGTTCGGAGATTGAATGGGAGCGCATGGTCATGGGACTGTGGAAACCAGGCTGCTTTGATTGACAAGCTTGCTTTGATTGTTTTAGTCAGCAATATCCTGGAAAGACTAACCCGGTGACGACGAACATACCTATGTTTTGCGTTTGAGTGAAGACAAAGCCAGTGGTGGTGGGTTAGGTGGGTTAGGGTTAGGGCTTCGGTTAAACGATGATCTATCTCATTTACCATAGAGAATGCCCCTCAAACATCCATCTTCAAAAACTCCACCCCACTTCACCTTCCATCTCTCGCAACGAGTTTGATGTAACGCCTTTTGGAGTGGAAGGCGACCTTGTTGGCGATCTGGATGAGGATCCGAATGAAGATCTTCGCAATGCAACAACCGCATCTTCTCGCGCCATGTCAGCCAATCTCCAAGGTGAAACTCCCACATCTTGCGGCTCTCCTGCATGCAGACATGGGTTTCCTTGTTTTCCGGAGGATGTAGACATTTACGATTGTGTCGAGGACGATGCGGGTCCTGACAGTCATGACAATGCCGATTGCAACAGCGACAGGGAGGATGGAAGAAGAAACGAGAACGTGAATATTAGAGAACGAATGCCAGATGTCGATGAAGTGGATCTCCGGAATGGGGATGAATCCATCATACAATTCAAAAGGTGGTGAACACTTTATTTTCTTTGGTCTTTCTTGCAGACGCAGCATGAAATGAACAATTTCTACCGCATTTCATGCTGACTTTGTTGACGTTTTGTACAACCAGTTACACACTTCAAGATTTTGACATGACAAAGTTGAACCATGCGGAATTTCAGGGATTGAGGGAATTCTTCAGCACCCCTCGCGGATTGTTCCGTGGAAGTGGTCAAGCAAGAAATGCCCAAACAATCGCCAAATCTCGCAAACAAATTTGCGGGTATCTTGGATGGCTCAAAGAGAGCGGGCGTAAGAATCGACCATTGTTCGAAGATTTCAAAGATCTCGATCTCTTCTTGGTGAGTGGCGCCTTCCGGTTTTATCAGGATTTCGATGTTTCAATGCGCGATATCCTGTCTGTTTTTGGGATACCGGTTCATCCCCTTTTCACGTCCTCTGGTTGTGAATCAATACTCAATTCCTCCTTTTTGTCATATGCAGGACAAATACGTGGACGGCTATCCCGTGGGGATCAGAGGGCTTGCACAAGGTTCTGTAGCCAACGCCATCACGGCAGCCATCGATGTACACAAGTATCTGGATTTTCTGGAATCGGAATCGTCCGTTAACCGCCGTGGAAAGTCTCTTAGCATCGCGCGCTTGCAGAATCAAAGGAACAAGGAACAAGCGTTGGCGGAGCGGGAGCGACAAGGTTCCGCTGAAGAGACCGGGACCACTATCTTATGGGAACAGGTAAGCCAATTCTCTAAGCATCTTCTGACCACCTGATTGAGCTTATGGCATATTTCCAAGATTGCTAACTCGTTGTCTTTCACCGTATTCCTTTTCATGCTTAGTTTCTGGAGGCTGTACATTGTCAGAGAAGAATTGTGGACGATCTCTGGCAAGGCGAAAAAAACTTTAGGAATCCTTGCAGAAGAAGTGCAAAAGTATCTTGGGCTCCCTTTTTACGCAGTGATTCCGCCGTCAGGAAGCAAAAAAATTTGGCCTCTTCCGGATCGCATCCTTACAGAAAAAGAAAGCCGAATGTCGTTGAGGAATCATATCGCCCTCATTCAAGGACGCCATGCAATTGTCGTCAGCGACTACAAGAATCGGATGTACAACGGGTCCAGAGACACCATGGAACTTCCAAACGATGACAACTTGATTATCAAGTACCTGACCTACCTTCTGAAGCCCGAAGTCCGTGTTTTGCTGACCAAAGGCAAGATGTATGGATTCCTCTTTTGCAGAAAGATCGGTGATGCTTTCGAAAACGCGGGAGATTGGAAACGTACCTTGGAAACAGTGTTCAGAAACACATCGGTCTTTTGAACATTTCCAGCAATGCTTTGCGTCATTCCTTCACGACGTTTATGGAATCAGTTGCCAATGAGGATCACGTCCGTCTGCAAGAGTTGACGGCATCTGCTATGCGTCACAATGTTCGGTGAGTTGGAAGACTCCCGTGAGTGTAAAAATTCTAGTGATGCCGAGGCTCCCATAGTGCCGAGGATCTTGTCTTTCTTTTTGTCCAGTTGTTAAACCGAGCATCACACCATCGACTCATGCATTTATTTTGTTATTGTGAAATGCAGCAGAAAACGTACAACAACACTCCCGCGATCCAGCGGAAGAGGAACGCGGTTGAAGTTGCTAGCAGGATTTGCTAGCGGGACCGCGAGAGGCAAGCATCCCTCTCTGGGAACCCCGCGGAAACCGACATGAGAGGCGAGCATTCCTTTGGGAACCCCGCGGAAACCGAGACAGGAGGCGAGCATTCCCTTTTGGGAACCCTGCAAGAGCCGAGGCGAGAGGCAAGCATTCCTTTGTGGGAACCTCGCGGAAACAGAGCATGGGAGAGTGGCCCCCGCCGTTGCAATTGCTGAGTGGTGAGGTGGCGCAAGGAAACAGAGTACTGCGGATCGTCGGAAGGTGGTTGCTGCCTTCTGCCGTTGCAAATGGTGCGAGGTAAGGAGGCCAGGGAAGCCGGTGTCGGGAAATGTTGGACGTGCGGAAGACGGAACGGAGATGGAGGATGGATTGAGCGAAAAAGGGTTGGCAGATGCAGGGCTTGACGGGTTCTGAACTTCGCAGTGTTGGAGCAGATCAAACTGTTATGATCTCGACGACAGAGGCGGAAGCGAAGTAGAGAAGACAAGGCGAGAGCGATGGACGACAAGAGATTGTATTGGCAAAACAAGAGACAAGGACTAGAACAAGAGATGAGAAGAACTGTTGTTGATCTGCTGGGGAGGAAGGGAATGGACGAAGAGAGGCCGGCTATTTATAGATAGACAACCCAGCAGATCAAAGAACAACAACCACAAGAGGGGACAGGGGGGGCGCCAGCTGTGCTCCTAGAGCGGGCGTGGCGAGCGTAGAGAGCAAGCTACAGCTGCTGGCTGTGGAGAAGTACTGGGGGGGTTGACAAATGGCCGGAGATTGGCTCACAGATGAGCGGGGTAGAGGAGGAGCGGCGAATGGGGGATTGGCGAAATGAGAGGTGAGAGGAGGAGTGGCAATATTGCGGGAGGATTGGCGAAATGAGAGGAGAGAGGAGGAGTGATCATTATGCGGGAGGATTGGCGAAATGAGAGGAGAGAGGGGGAGTGGCATTGACATTGGCATTGACATTGGCATTGACATTGACATCGACATTGACATTGACATTGGCGTTTCACATGGGCGTTTGACATTGGCGTTTGACATTGGCGGCTGTCAGTAGGTAAGATTATGGTATGGGCGCGTCGTCCATAACATCACCCCTCCCTTTAGGGGTGGCGGCAGCGGCGGCGTTGAGTCTGGTGTGGTCGCAGAGGAGGTGCTACGGGGACAGTGGAAGGCTTGTTGGGGTACGTGCTGTGGAAGTCCGTGAGGAGTGCATCGGTATGGGTGAGGTGTTCCACGGGCTCCCAGGTGTTCTCGGAGTCAGGCCAGCCTTGCCATTTGCCCAAGTACTGAAGGCGCCGACGATGGATGCGAGAGTCAAGGATGGCTTTGACAACCCACTCTTCTTGACCCTCAACAGTCTCTGGAGGCGTGGGTTCGGGTTGGTGTTGTTCGGGGATGGTGAAGCGGGGTTCAAGGAGCGAAACATGGAAGACATCGTGGATTTTGTAGGTAGCCGGGAGTTTGAGACGGTAGGCAACAGGATTGATCCTTTCAACGATGGGGAACGGCCCAATCTTGCGATTGTCAAGTTTTGGAGAGGGCCGGGTCGTCTGGAGATTTTTGCGGAGGAGCCAGACTTGGTTGCCAGGCTTGAAGTCTGGTGCAGGAATTCGCTTAGCATCGGCGTAGCGCTTCATTTGATCTTGGGCTTCCTTGAGCTCAAGGGCAAGCGGTTCATGGACTTCCCTGATTTGTTTAGCGCGGGCTTCAGCGGCGGGGTTGACAGATTCAGAGGTAGCAGAGGCAGCGAAGCTGAAGCGGGGGTGGAGACCCTTGTTGGCATAGAAGGGGGTGGTCTGGGAGGCGGACTGGTGGGTGTTGTTGTAGGCAAACTCGGCGGACGACAGAAGCTGTTTCCAGTTGTCCTGTTGGTGGTTGCAAAAGCATCGCAGATACTGCTCCAGGATCTGGTTGGTGCGTTCCGTCTGGCCGTCGCTATGGGGGTGGAAGGCAGAGAAGAGGTTGGCTTTTGCCCCAAGGAGTTCGAGAAGTTGATGCCAGAACCGGGACTTGAACTGGGGTCCTCGGTCAGAGATGATGTCGTCGGGGAGGCCGTGTAGACGGATGATATTGTGGAAGACTAGGTCGGCGGTGGACTCGGCGGATTCCGACTCGCTGCAGGCGATGAAGTGGGCCATCTTGGTTAGGCGACAATTGACGTTCAGGATGGAGTTGTACCCATCCACGGGAGGCAGACCGGTGATAAAGTCCAGGGACCAAGATCCCCAAGGGCGGGTAGGGATACTGTTGGGCTGGAGTAGGCCGTACAGTTTGTGTCGACTGGATTTCGCTTGGCTACAGGTATCGCAGGACTTGACGTAGGCCTTGACGAAGTGCCACTGGTTGGGCCACCAGTAGTTGCGGGAGGCGAGTTCAAGCGTCTTGGACATCCCGAAGTGGCCGGCTAGGGGTGTATCGTGCATGTCATGGCAGACTTCAGCTCGGAGCTCATTGGTGGGGACATAGACAAGGTTGTCATGCAGCAGGATCCCATCTTCACGGAGAATCGCTTGATACAATCTTGGGTTTCCTCGGTCCGTTGGGCGCTGGGTATCTTGAGCTCTTTGCGGATGGTCCTAGCGAGGGGATCAGAGGCCTGGGCGGGCTTAATCTTGTAAAGCAGCGAAGTATCCATGGGTGTGAGGTAGGCAGCGGCAAGTTGCAGGCGTTTGGCCAGTCAAAATTGTGGTCGCCTGGGAGCGGAACGCTTCTTCCCCCTCTCTCAGTTCATGTTCGGAGCGTTGGGAGAGGCCATCAGCTTGGTGCTGCTGGGAACCAGGGCGATAGGTAATGACAAAGTTGAAATCGGAGAAGAATATCGACCATCGGGCTTGGCGGCGGTTCAGGGTGCGGGTGGTCATGAAGTACTGAAGGTTTTTGTGGTCTGAGTAAACGGTGATCTTGTGACGGGCGCCAATGAGATGGTGTTGTCACTGGGCAAAGGAGTCTTGGATGGCCAGAAGCTCCTTGTCGTAGATCTAGTAGTTGATCTCTTCGGCCGTGCATTTGCGAGAGTGGAAGGCCACGGGGTGGAGCTGATTGTCCTGGTCAGGTTGGAGGAGAACTGCACCGAGGCAAAGTCGGAGGCGTCAGTTTCGACGACGAAGGGCTTCTCTGGGTCCAGGTGAGCAAGGATGGGGGCGGTGGTGAATGATTTCTTCAGGTTTTCGAAGGCGGTGTTTGCGGCGGGTGTCCAGGCGTACGGGATGTCTTTTCGGGTCAGGGTAGTGAGCGGGGTAGCAATCTTGGAGTAACCTTGGATGAATCGGCAATAGAAGTTGGCCAAGCCCTTTGCCATTCTTGGGGGGCTCCCAATCCGTGATGGCAGCGATCTTCTTGGGGTCCATCTGGATGCCCCTCTTGGAGATGATGAAGCCTAGGAACGCGACGGATTTGCAGTTGAATTCGCACTTCTCGGGTTTGGCGTACAGCCCATGCTGGCGGAGGCGGGACAAGACTTTGCGGACGTGCTCGGTGTGATCTTCGGGGTTCTTGAAGAATATCAGGATATCATCGAGGTAGACGACAACAAACGCATCGAGAATGTCGCGGAAGATGTCGTTTATCAGGTACTGGAAAACACCAGGAGCATTGCTGAGTCCAAAGGGCATGACATTGTATTCGAATAGGCCGTAGCGGCAGCGGAAGGCGGTCTTCCCCTCATCGCCTGGGCGCATGCGTAAGAGGTTATAAGCGCCGCGGAGATTGATCTTGGTGAGGCAGCGGGCACCACGCAAACGATCCATGATACCGTTGATCAGGGGCAGGGGGTAGCGATTCTTCACCATGATGCTGTCCAGGCCCCGATAATCGACGCAGAGGCGGAGAGAACCGTACTTTTTCTTAACGAAAAAGACTGGCGCAACGGCAAGGGACTTTGAAGGTTTGATGAATCCTTTGGCGAGGTTTTCTTCAAGGTATTCGCAGAGTGCTTTCATTTCTGGTTCGCTGAGGCTGTAGATCGGGCCGAAAGGTGGCTGTTTGCCTTCCTCCAGATCGATAGGACAGTCGTAGGGCCGGTGCTCGGGGAGAGTGTCAGCATTTTTCTTTTTGAAAACGTCGGCAAAATCTTGATATTCGGGGGGCAGGAAGTCTTTGATGTGTTTCTCGGGTGTCGGGGGGTTACCGGGGCCAGGCGAGGCTGGGAGCTCGGGTTTCGCAGGGTTGGCGTACGCGACAAAGACCTGGTCATGCCTTGCTGCGAGCCGGAAGGCTGGGGCGGAGATGATCAAGACTCGGAGCGGCGTGGGAGCCGGTTCTGGGGTGCTTGAGCATGATCCCTTGGGTACTGGAATCGACCATGTTTCGTTGACGGGGACTTCATCCTGGGGGATGCGGATCAAGGGCTTGTGGGTTCTGGCAGGTGCTGGGCTTGGGGGTACCGGGGAGTAGTCCCAATTCGCGAATTCATGGTACTGACAGTCGCAACGGAAACCGACCGAAAGATTCTTGAAGTCAAGGTTCATGTCTTGGAGGTGGAGCCAGGGAAGACCAAGGAGGATTGGGGCGTGAGGTGATTTGGTGACATGGAAAACAAGTTCTTCGAAGTGGTCGTCAACCCACATGCCTACTGGTTGGGTGTGATGGGTGATTGGCCCAGCAGAGCTGGGTTGACCGTCAACGAGTTCGATCGTCAGGGGATGCTGATGCGGGACTAGGGGGATGCGGTGTTTGCGGGCAAAGTCCCTGTCGATGAAGCAGGACAGGGCCCCATTGTCAATCATGCCTGAGGTAGGTATTGGGGCGCGGCTGGATGATACCATGATGGTAACGGGGTATTTGAAGGGTTCGACGGGACCCAGCGCAAGCATGGCACGTGGGTTAATTGCGGAGTTTTCGACATGGGCGGCGGCTAGGAGGGTTGTGTCGGCTATAACGGAGTCGGGAACCGGCGGGGTGGCCTCTTCCGTTGCAGAAGCTGCGACGTTAGGAGGCCCGGAGGAGTGTGTCTTGTCCAGTCGCTGGGACTTTAATGCGGCCTTGGGAAAACCCTGTTCTGTGGAGGTTTTTTTGATGTCGACGTTGGCGGCACGGGTGGTGGTCTTGTTCTTGGCTGGGCAGGCCTTTACAATGTGCCCCGCACCACCGCAGTAAAGGCAGAGGTTGTCGGAAATGCGGCGTTGGCGTTCCTGGGGGCTTAGGGGGCCGCGGGGACGAGCGGCGTCAATCTGCATGGGCTCTCTGTGGTCGACGGTGGTGGTAGTGGTAAACGAGGTATGGGGAACTGGGAAGGTTTGGCGGGTTCCGTTTCGTTCCAGGCGGCGCTCAAACAGTCGGTTATCACACTGGATAGCCTGTCCCATCACCGTATCAATGGTGGCAGCAGGAGGCATTGTGAGCATCAGATCCTTGACGTCCTCTTTGAGGCCACGGCGGAAGGTAGCAATCAGCGCCTGGTCATTCCAGGAGACATCGCATTGTAGCTGGCGGAACTCGGCGACGTACTTGGTGGCTGCACGGGTTTGGCGAAGGTTCTGGAGCTTGTTCTTGGAGGTGCGGACCCTGTCGATGTCTCCGAAGAAGGATTGCATCTGACCGATAAAACTATCGAAGTTCTGAAGGCTGTGATCTTGGCGTTCGACTAGGGGCGCCATCCAGGCTTGCGCAGTGCCGGTGAGGTAGGTGCCGATCGTTTGGATCTTGATGATGTTGCTGGGGTAGCGGTCGGGCTGGAGAGCAAACATCAACCGGATGTTGTTCAACCACCCACGGAATTTGCTGCGGGTACCATCAAACTTCTCAGGCGAGCTGATTCTTGGCTCCAGAGTTCCGGGAGCAGGGTTGGTGACTTGAGGACGGGTGTACGCATCGGCTTGAACCTGGGCAGCACTGTTCTGGGCAGCTTGTGCGTCGGCTTGGGCTTGCGCCAGGTTGGCCTGCAAGTTGGCGTTTTGGCTTTGCAAGGCGGCAATGGCTTGACACATATCATTCCATTGCTCGGTGGTGAAAGGCACGGATTCGGATTGGGACATGGCGAGAGAGGTGCGGCAGATGCAGGGCTGGACGGCTCTGAACTTCGCAGTGTTGGAGCAGATCAAACTGTTATGATCTCGATGACGGAGGCGGAAGCGAAGTAGAGAAGACAAGGCGAGAGCGATGGACGACAAGAGATTGTATTGGCGAAACAAGAGACAAGGACTAGAACAAGAGATGAGAAGAACTGGTGTTGATCTGCTGGGGACGAAGGGAATGGACGAAGAGAGGCCGGCTATTTATAGATATACAACCCAGCAGATTAAAGAACAACAACCACAAGAGAGGACTGGGGGGGGGGGCGCCAGCTATTCTCCTAGAGTGGCCGTGGCGAGCGTAGAGGGCATTGCTACAGCTGCTGGCTATGGGGAAGTAGTGGGGGGTGTGGAGAAGCCGTGGGGGGATTGGCGAAATGAGAGGAGAGAGGAGGAGTGGCGATTATTGCAGGAGGATTGGCAAAATGAGAGGAGAGAGGAGGGGTGGCGATATTGCTGGAGGATTGGGGAAATGAGAGGAGAGAGGGGGAGTGGCATTGACATTGACATTGACACTGACATTGACCCTGACATTGACACTGACATTGACATTGGCGTTTGACATTGGCGGCTCTCAGTGTGCTGTCATGAGGTAAGCTTATGGTATGGGCGCGTCGTCCATAACACGAACAGCATAGAGCATCTCATATCACATCACACACGCGATGCCGCAAGAACCGCTCACTATCAATCACACCGCTGACAATAGTGATGGAAACTACATCACATCATGCGCGGAGACGCAAGAACCGACCTTACACACACACACATACCACACACGACGTCAGCTTCGGGATGCCTTTGCCTCAAACACATACATCACACAGTGCGTCAACACTTCAAAATGAACATGGGCTCTCCCTTTCTTCACATATCCCTCGGAGTTCACCTCGTATTTATTCGGCGCCCGCCTCAGGATCTGAGGGAGGTGTCGGGGATATCTCATCTTCAGTTGGATTTCATATTACACCTCTGTACTTCTACTTGATCCAAGACTTGCGCTGGCCACCCGAGCTTTCGGTGATACATTACATAAGGCGCCAAGCCTCACTGAAGCCACGCAAGCCCCACTGGCAGCCAATTTTTAAAGCTGTCAGTCAAGGGGCCGCTGCAAAAAGCTTCTTACTTTGTTCTTCACTATAATACACTGCTCTCAGCCCTCTTGGAAGGGCCCAATATTGTCTATGTTTCCTCTGACGTTACATGGTACCACCACCTCCCGCTAGCATCACCAAGACATTCCTCGTCAACGTCGCCCCTATACCGAACGTCACCCTTACACTCGTTCACCAGCAAGTACGGATGGACAGACTCAAGCTATCATTGCGGCTGTTGCAGCTGCTTTTGTTAATGAGCAGCGTGCTCGTACGCAAGACACCCAACGAGCCGAACATTTCAAACTTCTTATGCACGCTCGCAAGAACACTTAGCAGTAGTAGGCAGAGGAAGCAGATGACTGAGCAAACTCTATGTCGTGTGAGATGTAGTACTGTGAAGTATGTATTGAAGTCTGGATTACAAAAGAGGACGCAAGGTCTGAAGTGGAAGAAAAAGGGTGGGTTAGGGTTGCGGAAGCGTGGTGTAAGCGGGAGGGAAGTCACGTTGTGGTGGACGCCGGCAGAAGTGAGCGTCTGTCAAATCGAGGGGTACGGTCGGGTGTTGGGAAAAATAAGCTGCCGGTCTCTCAATAGCACAAGAAGAGATCTCAAGCGCGAGCGTAGTCTTGCCACCTTAATATCAAGGTGCTTTGAAAGGAGTCCTTCCTCTTATACGGGGTCGGGAATTACGGGTACGGGTACAAAATACGAAATCGGGAATATCTGCGGGTTTGACTACAAAACAATACAACGGGGTTAATCCAATCTCACTCTCAGCTCGTTTTACGAGATTCCTCAACTATCAAGTCCTCGGCGACGTCAGCAAAGTACAAGTCGCAACACTTGGGGTGAAACCCAAATTTGTTGTGCTGGCCGAGGTGGTTGCGCTCACGAGGTTGTGCTGACCGTGCTGGCCCTGGCGACCGCGCTGGCCGTGGCTGAAGTGCTTTCGACAATGGGGATGCAGTTCTTGCTGGAACCAGCCTGCGTTCCCACGGGACACTCCGCCACGCAGAACCCGTCGTATTTCATGTTCTTGCAATCGACACAACTCTTCGCAGATGAGTCGGTACAACCTCCCTCGCACCCCGAGTTGCATACGACGCATTTGGCCGAGCTAGATCGCGGTGCGCAGACGCTGAAGTAGCCCTGATTGATGCCGTAGTTTGGCGAATCGCTTGTCGAATCGCGTCGGCTAATAACGTTCGTGGAACTACGTCCGGAGATTACCCCAAGCTGATAGTTTTTGCCCGAAATAAGGGAGGCTGGAACCGTCCAAGCACAGAAACCTGTATTCGGGACGGGTCCTGCGGGCAACCCGTTGGTCGAGCTTCCAATTTGCCAAGGGGCGAGGACACTGGTGCGGATTTGAATGGAGACAGTTGAATACGGATCGCCTCCCAGCCAGGTAATGTTGAAGGTCTTGCCGGGGAGCAGCTTGCTGGTTGTATTCGGGCTTGTTACCGTAATCGGATAGTCAGGGCACTGTTCAGTGTTGCACAACACATTCAGCGGCACATCAGTTCCGTTGAGGCACAAACTCGGGTTAACAACGGCCTGGGTGTTGTTTCGGCATGTTAAGGTGTCTGTGTGCCCCCACCGGAAGGGCGGCTGCGGGAACTCCAAACACTAAACTCTGGGCTGTAGCTCGTTACGACGGGGCACGGGTTGACATTCAGGGAATAACTGCATTTGGCGGTGCCAACATTTTGGTAAGCACCCCTGTCAACGAAAGGTGCACGAGAAGAATAAGAGAGTGACAACGGCGCTGCGACACTTAGTGAGAGGATGTGCAAACCTGATTTGCTGAGAGTCGCGTTGTTGTTTTCGGAGAACGAGTCCTCGCAAACGGTTGGACGCCCGGTAAAAGGGTCCTTCGTAGCACTAATGCAATTATAATAAACGTTATCAGTTCCGCCTCCGCAAGGTTTGCTACATCCAGCGCCACCCGGAACGGGAATCCAATATGCACGCAAGCACGGATCCTGCGGCAAGAAATGATTAAATCGAGGAAGCAGGCCAAGGTGCGTAAGGACAAGGCCTCGTACTTTGCCCCCACCCCATACTTGGCATTCCCTCGCCAGTGTTGGGGATGCGATCGGCGAGCCCGGAAGGCAATAGTAAGCGTAATTACAACCCATCCTGCGAAAGGTGGTTGCGTCAGACGATCCCAGTGTCCAGCGCGGAAAGACTTATCGAAGCACGTACCAGGCGCCCTGGTATGGGAACCCGCACTGCTCCTTTCTTGCCGAGGCGCTGTATTCACATCTTCGTACACAGAGAGGTTGATGAATTCCCAGATATTCCAAGGGAGAACGAACGCCTGTGATAATGAAACGCCCTGCATCCACCACATTCAATTGCTATCGCTTGATTTCCTCCGCAAGGATATGTCCCGCATGACCATATATTGCATTCCATGTGCCCAAGAGGCTTGGTCCCTAAGGCGGCGCACGAGAAGTCCGCGAGCACTCCTTAAGGTAAGAGTAAGAAGAGGACGGAGGGATGAGAAGCCAACTTTGCGCGACGGGTGGCGCTAGGGCCGGCGCCGGTGGAATGGGATCCCGCTTGATGGTGGAGGTGTAAGTAAACGGCGCTCTAGCTGGTGTCTCGCTAACCAAAGTTATAGGCCACTCCTTTGGCAGTGTTGATCTTCCGATCTTCTCAGGGGTGATCTTTCCCAAGGGTCCCAGGTCGAAAGGAGGTAGACCTATTTTGTCCAGCTACGGTAGATCCATAATAAGCAAATGGCCAGGATGTATTAAGCGCCTGCAAACTTGCATCGGGCTCCCGTACCTACCCAGAAAGTCACGTCCATGCCATAGAACGGCTGCACCGAAAGGTTGAAAAAGAAAGCAGCCTCGCCTTGTTGCTTGACAGCAGCATTGGTATTCAGACCCACGCCTACGTAGGGCGCGAGCGTTACGCTAGTTCTGAGCACAGGGTCAAATGTGAGCAAGAGCCGAGGCTTCAGCTTCAGTTTGAGTTCAGCGGTGCCCTGAGTTGCCGCCACGAAGGGATGCTCCATGAAATCGAACGTGCGTTCAACCATCGGTCTGCTCGACTTTGGCCCCGGCTCCCATTTGTAGCCGACTCGCAAGGTCTGGGTTACTGAAAATCCATACTGAACCTCCCCGGTTGCTTTCGCGTCGATTGAGGCCTCCGCAAATAGGGCGAGGGTTGGTTTGATATGCACAGGGAGCAGGCCCACTATTATAGGACCTAGTGAAGGAACCTCAAAGTCGGATCCTAGCTGTCTCTCCCATACATTGGTGTACGATGCCTTCATCTTCGCAACAAGCAAAGCATTGAAGTGCGCAGTCCCTTCGAAGAACAATTGAAATCGTTCCAAAAGTGCCTTAGGCTTCTCACACACCATTAAAGCGTTGCCGATTCTTTGGAAGAAATTTTTGACGGCTTTTACAGTCACCCCTGCGTTCCCGAAGTACATCTCAAAATGGACCGAAAGCTTGAGATACGCACGCCGTCGACGTCATATCGGATGGATGCCGCAGGGTTTGATACTCTGCTATATGCTGTGTAAACTCCACTATCTGTGCGATCACAGTAGCGGGCCAGTGCAGCTTGTTCGCTTCCATGCCAAATGCACTCCGATGGGCCGATCCTCAACTCCGTGGGTTTGATTTAGTTGTGGAAAGGATGTACTTTGGCGTACACTGGCCTTGGAGGATGCGGTCGCGCCGAATAGGCTGTGTCCGTCTCGATGTTCCTGAGTCGTGGAGTTGTAAGTGAAAGTTCCCTATGGTACGATGAGGGCACTGACCGGAGGTGGCACGCAAAGGTAAAGGACAGGATGACTATTGAGTGAACAGTTGAGCGTAAACATGAGGAAAATCGAAAGCATGTATGTATCGAGAAGGACCCGGGTTGAGGGCTGGCGCCATCTGCGGACGGCACAAAAACGAAGGAGCAAGGGAACAGCTAGAGCAATATCATGGCAGCGGCACAATGCGATTATAAGAGTCCATGACGAAGAGCCGGCACCAATGGTTTGGGGAGCCATGGAATCCACCGAATGCCCCACGGGTGTGTCCACGTTTCTTGAGATTAATGTGCCTTGGCAAAATCCTGGCTTGCCAGATTTCATCGGTGGAATGACTGGTCAATTTGGGACATCAATGTGGCCAGGGCATGCAGAGCTACTTGATGGAACGAGGCCATCCCAAGGACCTTGCGACATGTATGCGCACAGCTCAGACAGCATGATGAAAATGACAGCGATAAACCTCTTGATTCTTTTCAAGTAATCTAGCGCTCCGGTAACTGCGGTCTGATCTGGAACCTGCTCTTTCTTTGCTGTGACGTACAGGCTGTTTGCATTTTCTAATAGCTGGTTCAACAGTGCCTTATAAAGTGTTGGACTGTTTGTTGCCCGGTACGCGATCGCCGCTGCCTTATTGTCCTCGAATAGCTCGTCGATGAATGCGCTTGCGGTGAGAGAATAGTCAGCGAAGAGCCGTACGATAGCGTGGAAGCATTTTTCGGCGTCCTGCTCCAGCAGCTCACTCGCTGTCGGACGCCATCTTAGGACTGTTCGGGGAATGCGTGTACGGAGGGCGAGGAAAGTAGATCGCTTTTTATTCACTCATCACTCGGCCTTCTGCGCAACTTACAAGCGCCTTATGTAAGCGGGACGACGCGTTTGGGAATGGCTAGATTCTAGAAGTGAGTACAGTACAGTAACTCGTGCTAAATTGTGACAACACGGACTTCGGTCAGACACCGAAGCGGTGGTATACCAAGCAAAGGTGATGGATGGTTCTATTCGTTACTGATTTCTGCTCACATATACAAATATATTCCGATCACTGGCAATTACAACAGTCGTCATCTATGTCGTTGTCGGACAGCTGAGAGTGATCCCGGCTCTTCATGTGGGACAAGTACACTTCTATGACTACCAATTACAAGTGTCGTCTTTCCAATCGTTGTCCCGACAACCACCCTGGCAGTATTGGATCCACTTAATATTGCCGTCGTAGTCTGTGCAATAGAACAAGTCGTTGCCGTCCGTGTGACCTGTCGCTTCCATCACCGGGTCATAGTTGTTCCCGGTCGCTAGCAGATAAATTGCGTGTTAGGAGGTTCAGAAGCAACACAGATCGTCTCGTCTCAAGTACATACCAATGCTCCTCAAGGTGGAGCCACAGTATACTTTATTTCTTTTGCAGTTCCTAGCCTCGACTTGGCCAGAAACGCAGACGAGGGCGACGACAGCAAGTAGTGCGGAGACGAGGTTCATGGTTGAGGAAGGGATGTGTATGGAGGATGTATGCTAAGGGGAGACGGACGAGGTGCTTCTTTTATAGCAGATAGTCGCCTTCCTTTACAGCAGATCGTTGCGGCCCGCACTCAAGAATGAGTGTGGGGTGGGTCGTGTATGGGTGGGTGGGTGGATGGGGAGAAAGGCCGCGGAACGCCCACGCAATAAAGCAATTGCCCATGAAATGCAATTTTGCTGTACTCGAAGCACTTCGGAAGGCCGCTACTTATTCGTATCTCATGCCGATGCAACTCATGCCGCTTAGCACTTGTTTTCTCTCTCCCCGTCTCTAGCCCAGGGGGTTTTCGTGGGGAGTCAGCGACATATCGCGACGCGCAACAGCGGTGCGCCTTCCTGAAATCATCTTTTTCTCACGAACCCCATGCCACATACAGTCAGCTGATATCCCAAATGAGACTGCCTACAAGCTATCCAGCAGGGTCAGTGGAGGATGGCGCAGCAGGATCCATTGATGGCGTTCAATGCACTAATGGTTTATTATTCGGGCGTTCCATGGACTTATTCGTACGTATTTGGGCGTTCCGCGGCCCTTCTCCCAACTTACCCATCCACCCACCGTCACAGTCATTTCTTGGATGGGGCCCGCAACAATCTGCTATAAAAGGAGCGCCTCGTCGTCTCCCTGTTGCATTTGTCCTCTACACGTCCCTTCCGCCTCTTTCAATCATGAAGCTCGTCTCTGCACTCCTTGCTGTCGTCGCCCTCGTCTGCGTTTCTGGCCAAGTCAAGGCTAGGAACTGCGACAAAGGATTGGTATACTGCGGTTCGACCTTGAGGAGCATTGGTATGTAATTGAGAGGAGGGGGGGGGGGGGAGGGGGGCCGAGGTGAGTAAGGTGGGGGAGAGGGCGGGGAATGGAGAAAGTGTAGTGAGCGAGGGGGTGGGGATGGACAGAAATCCCGCCAGCACGGCGGTGGGATACTCACAATCACCCTCGCCTTGACAAACACCACAAACTCTTCGCCATTCTCATACCGCCGCACGTCCATCCGCTCCGCTTCCCTCACCCATGATCTTTGTTGCTCCTGAAAAGCTTGTTAACACACTATCTTTGATAGCGACCGGAACAAACTACGACCCGGTGATGGCTGCGACTGGCCACACGGACGACAACGACATATTCTATTGCACGGACGACGACGGCAATATCTCCTACATGTATCACTGCGACAATGGCTGTGTAGACAGTAATGCCAGAGGCATTAACGACTGGTGCCGTTAATCGGAGTAAACTTATGATATGCAATGGCAGAATTTAGTCACGAATATATGTAGAACCATTCACGTTGGAATCACTCCCAAATAGAAATAGTTTTCAATATCGAGGACACTAGTACCGCATTTTATCTGGAAAAACTTACGGTATGGCGTTGTTCCTCGGCAATTAAAAAGATCCAGATTCTTCTGGTTGCCAGATTGACCGTGTTGTTGTGCGAACTGAGAAGGCCTGGGGTATCAAGCGTCAAATAACGACGGTTTGGGGGGTTGGGGAGGCGTGTGAGGGAAATGCGGAAGATTCGATGAACCGGAGTTACCATCTTTGTCCTCGCTGTAGGGCCGTCTTCCAAATTGTATACGTAGTGACTGGAACAATATCACGTGCGCGTGTGGACATCATCGTGGAAAACCCAACGGTGAAATGAAATGAAGCAGGCTCACGGTCAAATTTGACAAGGGACCATCCTGTGCAGGAATGGGGCGGATTTGGGAAAAATTGCGTTCTTGCATACAAGGTAGATAAGGCAAACTCCAGGAAGTAGTACAGTGATATAATGCTGGTTGTAGGGACAGGATCAGCTCCACTGTCCACAACCAGTCCCGATTAGGCTGCAGCCGCCCGGTTACAGGCAATATCTACCAATTCGGTCGGTCAAGACATCGCCGGACACCATTTCTCAACAGCAAAGCCCAATACGCCACCTGGCATGCCGAATCGCACGCTCACGATCGAACACCGCAAACTGCACCCGACCCGCACATGGGAGCACGGCGCTTAGCTACTCGTTGCCCCATGGCACCTACCTGCGCGACGCGCGCAACGGGATCAGCATGGGCATTTCGCCCTCGGACGAACGCATCCATCTCGCGTTCAATATGCATGAGAGCGCGTTGACGTATATTGTGAGCAATAGCGGGTTGACGAGTGTGGCGGGCACGTGTCGTGGGTGGCCACGCGGTTTGGGGCGCGAGCACGACCGTGTCAGGCAATGTCGCGCTAGAGAGGTCATTATCCTACCTGCACTTTATCACCACGCCCCACTACGGCCTGCAGATGTTTTACCGCACGGGCAAAGCCGGCAACGGCGCCGCCAACATCGCGACCTACAACGGTGCTGGGTAATTACAGCACTACCAGCGGGTCGTACACGACGCCAACGGGGAAGACGAGCACCGGGCCGAGGAGTTGCATTCCGCACGGGCCGGCGTGCGATGTTTCCGGGACGATGTTGTTTGTGTATGGCACGCTCCGGGAGAGTGATGCGACGTTGCTGTGCAACGCGGGTTGCCCAATCATGACACCTTTTTTCATCCAGTCGAGCGACTACGGAAGGAATTTCAATACTTGGAAGAAGAGTTTGATATCCACCACGGGTAGCACGCCCTCTTTTGGCGTCGACGACATAGGTGTCAATATCGATACCATCGGCATCGACCAGGCGTTGATGGACACCGAATCCACCCCCGTCGTCGTCTCCAAAGGCAGGTTGCCGTTCGTCCTGCTTTCTTACGTCCCGACCCCCTGCTCGACCAACTGGGCCACTGATCGCACGACAAATGGGCAAGCGTTCCTCCTCCGCTGCGTGCGAACGGGTTCAATAAAACCGCCATCCCATTCCCCATCAAGTCCTCCACATCCTCGCACCTCGTGCTCAATAGCGCCGACGACGCGTATGTGATATACAACTGACCTGCGGGTTGTTGAGGGGACGAAGAGTAGTACGTATACGCACTGGGAGCTATTAGCAGATTTTAGAAGCGATCTTGGATTCTGGCAGGGCAGCAGGTCCAGCAGAAGGGACTCGAAGGAGGATGTCCGACCATACCCTGTACGTCCTCGCCCGCGACGACGGCTTTTACTACGTCGCAAAGTCGCTGTGTCTCGACAGTCGCATCGCACAACACTTCGCCGTGAACGGGTCTCTTTGGACACAGGTGCACCGACCGATCAGGTTGCTGGAGACCCCCGCGATACGCGACATATCGGAAAATGAGCTAACGTTGCGCTATATGGAACAACACAGGGGTTGACCGTGTCCGTGGAGGGTCATACGTTACGGCAACCCTTAGCGAGGATCAGATCCGCATCATCCAGCGACGACAGCTTCGTACTAGATCCGACGCGTGCTCTGTGTGCGGCCGCAGGGACATTCTGCCTCCAGGTTCCCTGGTCAGCATCGCCCCAGCTGGGCGTCGGGCCGTCAGTGTGTGTGATAGTTGGGAGCGTCGTTCGGGCGTCCTTGGTGAGCACTGTCCTTGCGCCGGTGTCTCGTCCTTGGTGAACGTCCTTGGTTGTTGGTCGGGGCGGACAGTGTTGGGTGGCGAAAGTCAGCGAGCTCTTGGCCCAGAAATCTCTATTGCAGTGAGCATCTCTTGACGTAAACCGGATATCTCTTGACGAAACGTTGTTTCCATGTCTGCGAGCGCATCCGTCATCATGGTGGTGACAGAGGACAGGTTGTCGTCAGTCTCTTGTGCGCAGTCGGCAACATTGGTCTTTACGGAATCCAGGACTACTTTGTACATGTCATCCTGGTTATCCGCCAAAAGGGTTCGGACCTCATTGCTGAAGAGTTGTAATTTCTGTGCCAACGAAGGTGATGGTTGTTGGTGGTAATGAGATGGGATCGGTACCATCTCTGGCGGGTAGGTGACCGGGTAGCCGGTCTGGGATGCTTGTTGGGGGTATGAGAGCATGGCAAGGTGTACTGTAGTGTAATGTAGTGTAATGTAAGGGGTCCGTTACAAAAAGTAGCAGGGTACTGTAACGGGAGTCAGGGAGCTACAGAAAGTGGCGGGGTACTGTAACGGGGAGTCAGGACGCTACAAAAGTAGCGGGGTACTGTAACGGGGAGTAAGGACGCTACAAAAGAGCGGGGTACTGTAACAGGGAGTAAGGACGCTACTTTAAAAAGACCGTGCACCCGGTCCTTGCGGTCCTTTGGATTGTTGGACGCGCCTGAGCGAGTGCAGGGTGTGTTAGAAATGTCCTGCGCTGACAGCAAGTGATGTTTACCAAGGGGGGCGCGCTGCACATCAGACCCTGACAGACCAACGCGACCAAGGTCCTTACTCGCCAAGGACGCCCGACCGACGGTCCCAAATCACACACACTACTGTCCGCCCCGACCAACAACCCTGAGGGCGGGTTAGGGTTAGGGTTAGGGTTACAAGACCCTGGGTTGGGTTTTATTATTGGGTTGCCTGGAACCCTAGGGTTAGGGTTAGGGTTAGGGTTGGTGCAAGCATAGGGGTTAAAGCAGGTATGAGGTCGAACCTGGTCTCCGTTGGTGTCAGTTCCCCTGGTAGTTGAATGGAAATGGCAGCGACTCCTCATGGTTTCATGTAGTTTAGCTTTGGATATATAGCGCAGCGTAGCCGCCTGCCTCTCTCCTCCATGTGGTGCCGTGCAGGCTCACATGGAGAACACAGCTGAAGGTGTCCGTTTCCATTAGGGATAGGTATGGGAATAACAGGAGTTACCGAGAGACTGCAGTACAGCCTTCTCCATGTCCTTGATCCTTGTCTTCACACGGCCTGACCAACGCCGAGAACCACATGGGTGGGAAGCTTTGTGATATGCAGTCTTGCTGCTGGAAAGCTGTTGGAAACGCAGGATATCAGGACCCGCGTTTGGCCGGGTATGTGAAGTTCGGATCGATTCTCCATATAATACAGTTTGACAGTTATATCAAGGTTTGCCACCCCTGTTTTCAAGATTGCCCATAGTCGAACGTAGCATTCAACCATAAAGGTGAAGACTTCCTGGCCCCCATGTCGTCCTGCTATACTCAAAGCTGCACTCAAAGAGTTGCAGGACGGGCGTGGTACCTCTTCAGAGCTGCTGTTGAAGTTGTTCACATTGTTCATGTTTGTTTCACGGTTGAGGCTGAAAGTAGCAAGGTATGTTTCTATCTTGATACATACTATGAAAAAAAAGGATGCAAACGCACTTAGCTCCTTCCACCTCCGGACTGCAATCCAGTCATGCAACTATTACCCTAAGCGCCGCTGGGGCTCCGACATTCTCTTTTAATGGGTGAGTCGGCGTATGCAGGAAGATCATCCGACCGCATAACGTGCGAGGATGTTGAGCACGCGGCTGCTGGAGTCGCTGCAATGACTACCCATGCGTTCCCTGCTGCAAGGATCTCGTTCGGAACAAGCAGCACAATGTGCCCTGCGGGCACATAGCAGTAGCGTTGGCCAGAGGGCGCAGCGTATCTTGTTGACACGGTATCCGACGGTGGGATAGACATGTCATTCAGCTCGTATAAAATGGCGATCAACGATTGTACGATTCTGAGGCGCGGCCAGGCGTTCCGTCGCTAGTTGTCAAACATCACAGTCCGTTCACTGACACATTCTGACAGCGCGTCACGAAGGCGCGGCCGGAAGTGCACCCCCCCCCCCCCCCCCCCTCTCCTGTCCCGTTCGCTAACCGTTAGACAACGTAGCTTCATTGACCGATCTTATCAGAAGGTCAGCGGCAACTTAGGCGCGGTCTCTTTCCTTGTCATTCAAATGGAAAGCCTTTGGCGACTATCAGATGCTGAACCTTATGATCTGTTACTGGTTGACGAGTGCGAAGCTTGTCTTAAACAGTTCAGTTGCTTACGAGGAGAGCAAATATATCGTCAGTATGCCCTGTTAGATCCAGCCACGCCTGGGTGTCACGAGAGGCGTCCTATGACTTGGTGTCGCTGATGTCACAGAGGAGGATGTGGTAATGATTCTCCAGCGAGACCTAGTTTCGTACATGGAAAACCGTATAGGACGAGCCGCGGTTCCCCTCGACTCGACAGTTCGTCCGGATTGATCCCATCAGAGTGACAGCAAACACCCGACAAAAACGAAAGTTGAAATCATATTGGACAATCTTTACATTCCCATCACAGCACTGGATATGGCCCCGCCTCTGCGCGTACCACCGCCGGTGTTTATCGGGCTTTGCTGCCTCACCTGGCTTTCCCGATGAAAGCCTCCACCTCCACAATATTTTGCGGAAACTTTGAGGAACTGCTGATCTTCCATCTGGAGAGTGAAGCTGTAGTCCGACGCTCGCTTGTTTTTCTTGGTCTTGTGAGTAAACATCACCGTGCCAACCTCGGCATCGGCTTTTGCTGTGTAGTTCGCGAGATCTATATTGATCGACTTTGCCGCCTGAAGATGACGGGTTCCCATTAGCGATTAATGTCACCTAACCTTTCGAGGTCGTTACCCCTTACATCCGCAGCTCCGCTCGCATTGCCCATGTTTGTATCCACCAGCCAAGCCATTGACCGAGTGCCGATTGTGACAAAGTAAGCCGTCTTCTTGGCCCAAGCCGCAACCAATCCGCTCTGCAGGACTGAGCAGTCCGGTAGCTCAAGCACAGTCTAAGAATTGATGCGTATTAGACACTTGGCTGGAATGCAACACATAAAATTTCAACCTACCGCTTTCTCAAACTCCAAAACTGCCCCCGCGACGCTTTTCTTCCTCGAACCCGCAGCGCCAATCATCGACTTCATGCCTCCCCCATCGCCAGAGCTTGACTCTTCATCGGGCATGTTGTCAGCTTTCGCCATAATAGTCTCATATATCCGCTTCCCGAATAACAAGCCTGGCGCCGCCAGCGACCCAACCAAGATGCAGATGGACACGAGAACAAGCTTGAAATTGAAGTTAACGGCATCCCCAGCGAGATAGCCAGCACCTACGGCAATGAGCGACATGACGAGAATATTGTAGATACCAAGGGCGATGTTTTTGGACTCGGAAAACACGCTTGAAATGTTGCGCGTTAGATACGCAACTGCGAGACCGGAGACAATCAGAATCCCATTCCACCCGAAGAGCAGACCACTGAAGATCCCTTGGCCCGGCGAGGAGGATGAACAGACGTAGTAATTGTTGCTTCCGGCTGAGACAAGCATTGCTGTTGGGGCGCTGACGATGGTCCATACGATCAGTATCAACTGCCGGAACGACCCGTTTTCTTCGTCAGATATAGGACGGAACTACGAGGCCCTTTGAAAACACAGAATGTCACCGACCATCGTAACTGACGTAAGACCAGCCGCCTGCATGAACACCTTGAAATTGCCTTCCGAAACTCTGGCAGCCCTCCGGTTGAAAAAGATCTGTGCATATCAGATAGAGATTTAGATATCAGATCTTCAGCGTGAACTCGGTATGTCATTTTTGCAAGTGGTTCCACCTTGTAGATTCGATAGTTTTTGATGATTAGGTTGCTCAACACCTAAAGGGCAGGAGTTTGGAAGGCAATGATAATATAATGAACATATCCATCCTTAAGCACCACAAAAGATATTGCAGCCACTTACTGTGGAAACGCTCATGCCTAGCAGCCAAACGGTCGTGGTGCACATTGGCGTTGACGGTTCAGCGGCGAATGTTACAATAGACAAACACCCAACCGCTGATCCAAACGTAATTAGCGCCGAGAAGTACGCGCCCCCGCTCTTGATGCGAGGAGCGTTTCTGAATACAATGAGGAGCACACCCATTGAAGCAGAAACGATAGCGCCTGCGATCCCTATTCCCATCAATCCTTTGCTGGTGGCCGTAAACCTTGTGACGATCATCTCGGCAATTGTCGGACACTGGTCTGGATAGTGTAACTTCCCGTATCCATCATCCCCGCTTCCACACCCCCAACTTGCCGTATGATTGTTATAGTACCCCGTATTACACGGGATACACCCATGCGGGTCGTCGTCCATTCGCGTGTAGGTGTGTTGAGGACACGCCGAGCACAACGCGCCGAAAGCCAAGAAGCTGCTGTTTGGTTGATTGCCGTAAAGTGGCTTGTCGGGCATGAGAACGTACCCACGTGGGCAGCCATAGGTGCGTTCCAACGGGCCTGTCTTGAGGTACCAACTCTTCAAGCCCGTGATGCCGGTGTTCATCTGAATTGCAAGGTGATAGGTGGCGTAGAATCCTGTTGCGTATGGTTGCGTCACAAAAGCTTTAGCAATATCACCTGAGCTCAATGCCGCTACGACGTCGGCACTTTTCCCTACGGCCACGACCGCTCCTGCCTTGATGTTAGCATTGGCAGACGGTGAAGCTTTCCTTTTCGACCAGGATCGATAGCTAGTCGTCGTGGCTGATGAGGCGAGGAGGATCCCGTCCGTGTTGGCGCCAGGCGTGATGGACGTAGTAAACGTAATGTCAGCGTTCGCAGCGTATTCCGCGTCGACGAAGACAGCGGTTTGTAGGTTGAGCGGGGCATTCTGTTCCGCATAGTAATCGATCATTCCCTGACACCTATCCATGTAACTGCTGACGAATCCGTCATGGTAAAAGCAGAGCGGGTTGCGGGACCCTGTAGCGTACAAATATTTGGCTGCGGTGTAACCGAGTTCCCAATCGTTCGCACCCACTTCGAAAAAACGTTGATCGGTATCATGCAAAGCCGTGTGATCCGCTTCTTTCTGGAGGCCGACGACGACGACAGCAATGCTGTACTGGTCCGCATAAACCTTCGCTGCGGCCAGGAAACCCTCGGTCGGTCGCGATATGATCAGACCCTGTGGACACGGTTTATTGACCGCAGGGTTGCTTCCACATCCAGCGAACACTGAAACAAGATATCCATCGAACACTGAAGCTGAGAAGGAACTTGTCGCAGAGAATGTGTGATACTCCTCCTGGATCGCGTAGCCCCACGCCGTGGCGGCGTCTTGTATGCCTCGTAATACAATTGGCATTTCCGCGTCTCTGTCGTTCCCATGGAGGATTACGGATATGCGGTAAGGTTTGGGAGCAGCAAGGATCTTGTTAAGGTTATTTAGAGTGTCGTTATAAAACCCGAGGTTGGACTATCGATGTTGTGGCAAGGGGACGAACGTAAGCGGAAGAAGCGAAGGAAGGAGGCATTAGATCAACGCAATACATAATGGACAACCGGTCAGCGAAGCAGAAAAGCCGGTGCTTACATTGGTCACGAAGATCGGACCCGTTTGCGCCGCGCCAGCGATAGCCGTCTCATTTACAGCCGCCAAAGTATACATATACGCTACAGAGAGAAACCCCAAAAAGACCTCTTGCTGGTGAATAGCGAACGTGATCTGATTTGATGCAATGTATGGCACGACCCCAGCGACGAAATCATACGTCCCGAACCTGATGACTCGGCTGGGTAATGTACTTCGGACCGTCTGTATACTCGTCAGAACGATATTCATCAGTTGCCCAGAGCTGATGATGATGGCATCAACGTCTGTGCGCGTGGTGGTGAGGATTTTGGAAAGAGTGGCGGAAGCCGTAGCCGAAGAGGATGACAATACAATGGCGTATGGGTTGGCCGTTGGGTCGGAGCCATTAAAGCTGGAGGAGAACATCACATTCGGACCGTAATATCCTGCATACCCTAGGAACAGAACGAGCTAGATTTGAAACCGAAGGCGCAACAAGGGCAGTTTTATTACTGACTACCTGCGAACCACCCGGCACACCTAGCCTGGGCGCTGGCGGATCCGGAACTGTGGAGAATGCACATCCCGTACTGCGAGCCTAGGCTTGCCATCTTCAATGCTAACAAAGTGCAAAAGACATCCCAGTCGATATGTTAGCATCGTAAGATGGGTCAGTGGCAAATGAAACGGTCTAATGATGCACTTATATTACCTGCCTCATACCCTGACTGAAAGTCATCCATTCCAACGTGAGTCGGAACCCCCAGGCTGGGGGACACCGTCGACCCGCCGCCCGCGCTTACGAACACCGGCCCATTGTTGTACATGGCGTCGTTCAGGACATCAACATATGCCGTAGCGTCTTGTATTGTCATGGTAAAACCAGTGGGCGAAGTCGAAGCCGACGAGCCCACGTTGGCATCGATCAATTTGATGTACGTGGATGCATCGCTGTCCGTCGCCACTTTTACCGTATGGTCGACTTGAAGAATATTAGCTGTTTTCCGTAGGCGGGGGCGTATGAATAACGGTGACAAAAAATCGGTGCGGACAGCCTCGGGATTGCTTCACCTGAACTGTTAAATCCGCCCCAAATTGCATTGTAGTACACCAAGTTTGTCGAGTACGGTGATAACATCATAAAGGACATCGCCGACTTATCGGGGAACTTGCGAGGGTGTCGAGGCCCACCTAGATCCATCGGCGATCGAGCCGCCATCACAGCCGCAGCTGCTAGCGCTGTAACGAGCAGCGAAATCATGGTTTCGCTTTTTCGTCAGGAGCACACGATATTCACAGCGGGTTCGACTCGGCTGGAAGGTATTTGTACTAGGAGTCGTCAGATTGATTGCGAGTATGACGTTATCCTCTAACAACTCACAAACGTAACGTGAAGCAGTCAGAGTCCAACTTATATCGGGAGCGCGTGGCATATTCATGACAGAGTGTGACAGGGCAATTCGACAGCGCAAGTTTTCTTATTTGTGGGTAGCTTGGACGAAGTGTCATTTATGGATGCAGCCTAAATGATTCCATCTGATAGTAGACAGCGAAAACATTCATAGAGGCGATTAGGCGCAGCTGAGACGCCGGAAGTATGGAGACTCTGTGATAGCTCAACTCGCGACACTGGTTTATTTATGCACCCCGTTGAAACCAGCTTGACGCAAAGCGCAAAAGGAAGTCAAGTCAAGCAGATGCGAAGTGACCGCAATAATTGGTGGACCTCCTGCTTTTTCCATCATATTACGGATGCAGTGACCTGCGAATGAATGACGTTGAGTAAGAAAAGTGCACCGGAGCAAAAAATGTAGATGAATGTGCCACTCACATCCCACTTATAAGGGGGGAAGGACAGCTCCAGATACATGGTCGCCGTTGCTGGCCGTTCTCGCGGTGGTTGAGTGGCTCCTCGTTATGACTCTTCGCTGTTTCTTGCAGCTTCAGCTTTGTTTATATGGCGCAGCGTAGGCGGCTCTCTTTTCCATGTGATGCCGTGCAGGCCCACATAAAGGAACACAGCCAAAGTTTTCCGTTTCCATATTAAACATAGTCTGGGAAAAGCAAGAGTTACCGAGCCTTACCGAGAGACCGCAGTACAGCCTTCTTCACGTCCTTGATCTTTGTCTTCATACAGCCTGACCCACGCCGAGGACCACATGAGTGCGGACACTTGTGATATGCAGTCTACGTTCAGGAAAGCTGTTGGGAACGCGCGATGTAAGGGTATCCGCCAGCGCACCCGCGTTTGGGCAGGGTGTGTAAAGTTCAGATCCATTCTCCATATAATACAGGTTGACAATTACACCAAGTTTCGCCACCCCTGTTTTAAGATTGCCAATCGTCGAATGAAGCATTCAATCATTAATCATAAAGTTGAAAACTTCCTGTTTCCCATGTCGTTCTGCTATGCACCCGGAGAGTTGCAGGACGGGTATTGTACCTCTTCAGAGTTGCTGCTGAAGGTGTTCACGCTGTTCATGTTTGACTCAGGTGCGAGACTGAATGGTTGCAAAGTGTGTTTCTATCTTGATACGTACAATGCAAAAAAAGGGCCCGTAATACTGGACAGGTGTTGGACGGCTGTGTTGGGACCACATAAAGCTGGTGTATGACTGGATTGGGGTTACCAGGGAGTCACACCAGCCTATCCAGTTCTCTCTCATGCGGTGGACTCGCTATATAGTCCACTCGGTGTATTTAGCGCGATTCGACAACATATAATATTTGGAAATGTGACATGGGTAGACATGTTCAGTAAAACTGTACTAGTTGTACACTGCTGAACAGACAGGAGCCAGGCAGAGGGCATGTATCAAAGCTTCTCTTTGCGCAATGCGAATGTATTCTATCAACAGGTGAACGCAAGCTACGCTTCTTTGCTCGCGAATCATCGTCATTCCCATCACCTGCCAAGAAGCTCGTGGTGGGAACGTGTGATGACACTCCTCGGGGAGGAATCCACTCACGCGTCCGTGAATAAGCTGAGAACCGTTTCCCATGTATCGTTACAGGCACACAAGCTCGATCGATGGTCAAGTTGCGCGGGCTACTTGTAGCAGCCCATAAGGGATGTTCGGCCCCACTTCTCCCCGCTCCGACGACCGCCACTTGACGACGGGGCGACATCTGGATTCATTTTTCGGTGACCCAGCAAATTCTCTCCACCGTTCAGGTGTACCCCAGGTTACTGCCAAAGCTTGCTCCAAGTGGCTCTGGTCGAGTCCATGCGTCAAAAACAGATTATCACCATTCGTAAGATTGCGCGATTGGGAGTTCTTGATGGTGCGCTGGAACATGGATATCCAATTGGCAACATGCAGCGGCCGACATGGCCGGGTAAAGGCCGATTGGAATGCCAGCCAAGTAAGCGCGGATGGTCGGCTCTGGATCAGTATAGCGTACTGATCCTGGATGGGTTGCAGGAATTGTTGGACTGTGATTCTGAGGTCGTCCATATTTCGCGGGGGTTTGAGAGCTCCGCGAATTAGGCAAGTTTCTGAAGTGTGAGTTTCGAAAGCTTTGGCTGCACGCTACCACCGCCAATTGAGGCGGTTTGCAGGTTGCATCCTTCCATCAGGTTACTGCCACTGCCACTTGAAGAGGTTAACAATAAATCCACAGAACATCAAACCATAGCTTTGCCGAGGGATGGATTTCACAACAATATAGAGGCGTGCTCAGCACTTTGGCTCCCTGGATCGTCGATCGACCCCTTTGAAGTTCATTATGGCAATCACTGCGGTATCTCCGTCGGGATGACGCGAGGTGACGCACCGATCGCACCCGAGTACCAGGCGCTGGTTCAAGACGAACGAGTGCAAGGCCCGTAAGGATTCTAGTGCCGGTTCTATTGTTTATATTCCGCTGTCGCTTGTCTGGTAATCGGATTATGGAAGGACGTGAGGACATATATACAAGTCTAAGCCACTTGGGTGTGCGGGGATGATGGATCCGGAACTACCAAGTTCGCGTGCCTACCAGGACGAACCTGGCTGTTGACCGGCCAAGTCCAGCTCAACTGCAGGACAGGTGCGCTGAGACTTGCTTCGAGCCCAAATGCATCAGGGTTTTGAGGTTGCCGTTAGAATGAGGGACAGGTTAGTGCACGCACACGGATTAAGCCAGGTATGAGGTCAGGCCTGCTCTGCATCGATATTAGTCCACCTAGTGGTGGAATGGCATTGGCATTGGTAGTGGCTCGTCATGGCTCCCTTCAGCTTCAGTATGAATCTGGATCGTTGGGGCGGGTGTGAGCGTCTCTCTACTCCATGGGGTCCCATGTAGGCCCACATGGAGAACACGAACGGAGGCGTTCGTTTCCAGTAAGCGGTAAATAAAGGGATAGTGAGAGTTTACTGAGAGACAGCACCATCGGCCAATGGGATCATGTTACTAGGCTGTCATCGGTTGACGCGTATGTTAGCCAACCCACCCCACTCGCTTTCCGTCTGTCCCATTGAAACTTTCGGTTTGTCAAAGTTGAATGGAATAGACATATACGTGACGCACGTTACTGAACGTGCATCTGTGTGAACCCACACTTCTTTTTGACCGACTGTTTCACCGCCTGAGATAATGGTCGACGTGTCGGAACTAAGGAATAAGTCCTTCAATCAGTCCGTACTCGTTGGAGACATTTTCACTGGTGAGAGCTACTGGCGGCCACTCATGCCACTCATAGACAAGGCCACATCAGAAAATCCTTGGCCAAAAGAACCAACTGAGAATACCAGATCCAGGACTGTCTGGTATCTTGTACTGGTATCTGAGGCGCGCGAAACCATCGAGAGCGACTCTTGTAAATCGATCGGGCTGCATCGGCTGGTCATTTGGTAGCTTTCAAAGTATTTCTGTCACAAGACAAGAAAGTCAGAAGAAGTAGTTTTTTTTTTAAGGTTTGATTATTCAGATCAAAATGTTGATATGAAGTTACCATGATACCAGCTGCTCTACGCCAGTCGACTTTTTTCACACTTTCGTGTGCCGAAGTTACCAGCAAGTTACCAGCTATCTGGTAAAGCTGGTAACTTCGCTTCGGAAGTTCGAATGCCAACTAGGGCGGCGAGGAACGCCCACAACGACTTATGCAAGGCAAAAGAACATCTGATGCAAGTGTCTCACCGGACAGCGTGTAGTGCTGTTGAGCAAGCGGTTGTTGCGGTTGCCGCATTGCCTACTCATGCTGTCCTTGCTGCAGAGATCTTGTTCACATCGAGCACAACAATGTGTCCTATAGGAACATAGCGGTAGCGTTGGCCATAGGCGGAGGGTATCCGGGTAAGCTAGCTGTTGTGACGGTTCTTTGACGATGGAATAGACATGGCTTTCAGGTCGTTTAAAATGGGATTTGATATGGGGTGCGGCATCCTTTTGCGCCCATTACAACTCCGCTGGTTCACACCATCTTTGACAGCGCGCTGCAACGCGTGGTCAGAACTGTAACCCCCAACAATTCCGGTATGTCCGTAAATGGAAACCGGCATCTTCGTACCTTCATTCAAAATGGAGTTGCCCTGATCACGATACCCTGCGCGTGCGTTCATTACCTGCTCATCGACCGGCCTTTACGACCTCTTTCTAGCTTACTTCGTTTACTCGAACAAGCTTATCCCGCTCCACCACAACGCTTGCTATTAACGAGGCGAGGGAGCAGAAACGTCTCAAAGCGAGTGAACCAGATTGTGGAAGGGGTCCGCCAGCGAAGCGAGTAGATCTCCTGGTAAACACTCCGCAAACCGAGGATGAAGGAGTCAGCGACATGTAGAGAGATCAGAGGTCTCCGGTTCGAACGCAAATTTATTTCTCATCCCAAGACTACTGAGCGTTCCACCTGCTAGGAGGGGGAGGAGCGTGGCTTGAGCTTTCGAGGAATTGGAGACTCTAACCCATCCAGCCAAAATGCTCCCGTCGGTGAATAGGACATGTTTGAACTTGATTCGCCACGCCCGCCAGGTGTACGACCTCGACGTCGTTCATGGGGAAAATACCAGATGTGGATACCAGATCCAAGACTGTCTGGTATCTTGTTCTGGTATCTGTGGCGCGCGAAACCATCGAGAGCGACTCCTTTAAATCGATCGGGCTGCATCGGCTGGTAATCTGGTAACTTTCAAGCCCACTTCTGTCACAAGACAAGAAAGTCAGAAAGAGGAAACTATCCTAAAGGATCAATTCTTCAGATCAGAATCATGATATGAAGTTAGGGTTAGGGTTAGGGTTACAAGACCCCCTGGGTTGGGTTTTATTATTGGGTTGCCTGGAACCCTAGGGACTTAGAAATTTTCGAGTTTTCTGGCTTTTGGGTGTGTTCTACAGTTCGAATTTTTGACTCTGAGGGATGTAGTGGCGGGGGGTGTTGCGCACCTAGGCAAGTCGGGGAGGCCTAGGTGTGCA